TATGGAGGCATCTCACAAGGTTGTGGTGGTAGCCAAAATGGCAGGATAGACCAACATGTGCTTAGAACTCCTGAGCGGAAGGTGAGATCCGAATCTGTACAAATGAGTATTGCATAAATCAAGGCCTGTGGAAAAGAAGAATGCTTTTTCATACCTGTGCCCTTTTTATGTTGAATTATACATCGTGTTCAAGGATAGATATTCATAAAGAGATTTGGGGTGGTGGGGGAGAGAAAAGCACGGTTAACAACATAGAATTTGGGTGAAACTAGAAAACTAACAATCTTTGGGTCCATGACTCACCAAAGTCAATGTGAGCTCAAGTGGTTCTGCCTCCCACCAGCTCTTGATCGTCACACTCCACATTCTGGCAAGATTAAAATCTGTTCTCTCCATTCATAAACAGAGCTTCTCGCATCTGAGTCACCCGAATTAAGGACTTCAAAAGGTTATTTCGTATACAATTTAATTTGCATTTCTTTCAATGTTTCAGCAAAACTTTCAGAAAACGATAGCTTAGAACAGAAGTCTTCAAACTTGGCAGCTTTAAGACTTGTGGACTTCAACTCTCAGAATTCCGGCTGGAGAATTCTGGGAGTTGAAGTTCACAAGTCTTAAAGCTGCCAAGTTTGGGGACCCCGGTTTAGAATGTCAATCTTGTTTTCTCCGATAAATTGGAGACCCAAAGTTCCAAATGAAGAAACCAGTTGCCGAGGTTCAAAGAACTCTTTAAACTTGAAAGGTAAAGCAAAGGCAAAATACAGGTAGTACTCGGGTTAGGACTCTAATTGAGACCGGAATTTCCGTCACTAAGCAAAACATCATGTGACTGTGTCATTTAGCAACAGCAGTTCTGGTTGTGTTGATTAGGGAAGGAAGTAACAGTACTGCCTCTTTGTAAAATACAGATAATCCTGGACGTACTACAGTTCGTTTAGTGACCAAAGTTACAACGGCACTGAAAAAAGTGACTTATGACCATTTTTCACACTTATGACTGCTGTAGTATCCCCTTGGTCACGTGCTCAAAATTCAGACACTTGGGAACTGACTCACATTTATGATGGTCGCAGAGTCCCGGGGTAATGTGATCCCCTTTTGCGACCTTCTTACAAGCAAAGTCAATGGGAAAACTCAATTCACTTAACAGCTGTGTTACAACTGCAGTGATTCACTTAACAACTGTGGGAAGAAAGGTCGCAAAATTAACAATATTTCACTTAGCAACAAAAATTTTGGGCTCAAGTGTGGTCGTAAATTGAGGATTGCCTGTATACATCCACGAAGGCTAACAGATCTGCCAGCTTTCTTTCTTCCTTCCTTCCTTCCTTCCTTCCTTCCTTCCTTCCTTCCTTCCTTCCTTCCTTCCTCCCTTCCCTTCCCTTCCCTTCCCTTCCCTTCCCTTCCCTTCCCTTCCCTTCCCTTCCCTTCCCTTCCCTTCTTCCCTTCCCTTCCCTTCCCTTCCCTTCCCTTCCCTTCCCTTCCCTGCACATACTGAACAGGTTCACACATCACTCAAAGCTACTATGCAGTTTATCAATGTGAGACAATGCTGGGTAAGACACCACTTGATGGTTATTATGTAGTTTGGTAGGGGCTTAACATAAGTGTACACTCAATTATGTGGTTTGTAATCCATACTGGATGGTTTAGCATGATGCAGGGATCCAGCCATTTGTGGTTTATTCAACAATTCAATAATTCATGGCTTAGTCTGGTGTTTATATGCAGACGCTGTATTTAAACAAGCTCAGAATACTGGAAAGACAATGTTCCATTTATTCCTTATGTAATCAAGTCACTAAAAAAATATAATGCATAGTCGCAAAATTATTAAGGTGAAACACAAGAAACCACAGGAATAAATGTTTTGAGTATTTGGGGAAGTGAGATAGTGAAGCACACAACTGAGACTGAAGTGTTAAAGAGCATTCCCATTATTAGCACCCATTCTGAAAGTTCAAAAGTAGTAACTAAAACAGAGCTTACAATTTCTAAAAAAAAGAACACATTTCACAAGTTTTTATACAGTTCTAACAACAAATATCACCACAGTCAGTTTCATGACAATTCCTTTTCAGACTGCAGCCAGACGTCCATATGGTCAAGTGATCATAAAATAATAAGAATTCTGAATAAAGTTCTTGTTGCTATGCTGTAGCAGGTTTACAGTTTCCCAGAGTGGATGGATTGCCAAACCATGATTATCCATTACTTGTAAATTAGCATTAAACAGCTATGCTTTTTTAAAATGGAAGTATGTCCCCCTGCAAAAATAAATCATTACCAAAAAATTACTGGAGAAAGACACATTATGGGATTTACTATTACAATATTCTATTGAATACCATCATATAGTAACAAATATTACTCCTTCTCAATTACTCCTCAGCGCTTGCTCGCTCTCCCTCCCTCCCTCCCTCTCTCTTACTATTGACCTACAGAGACTATCAAACTTACAATGAACAGTAATCCTCAAATATCTGTGTCTAGTTACTAGAGAATGGAATTTCCAGCTTGTTTGTGCTACATTAATCTTAATATTGCTAAAAATATCAAATATAACATACACACTAAAGCAATGTTTAAGCATTTGCAGTTTTGCACTTCTGCCACACTGTCTCTTTTTTTATAATATTTTAGATTTATTCTTTATTTGCATATCAATACCCACAATGCTCTTCAATGCGTTTAAGCCCTGGGAACAAGCTCAAAGATGTTCAGTTACTCTCTGTATGCTTTGAAACTTTCATAAACATTTCCTCATAGAGTTCACTCAGTAATTGCTTCTCTGGAATAAACTCTTAGAACAGAATTTCAGAAACTTAACAAGGGGTTATGAGAACTGTTACATAAGCTCTAAGCAAAAAGGAACCTAATGCAGAACTTTAAAATGCTCAGTATAAATAAGTGAAATTTAAATTCAAAAAGTCCCCTTTGCATCAAAGGTAAGTGCGGTAATATTTCAAAAAATGTAATTTTGCACATAAAGAAGAACATTTGAAGTATAAAAGGGGTTTTGAAAACAAAACCAGACTTCACCGACAAAGTTACCTGAAATAATGAAGATACATTTTGAACTACCTATTATTTTTATTTCTAAGCTTAGCTTGTGCACCAAACATTGCAAATCTCACCTTGACAGGTCTTCATCTCACAATTCTCTTTCTTGGAAAGAATAGAAGAGACAGCAATCTCTTCCTCAATGGTTGCCAAGGACTAACGGAGAGACGTTAGCCCTTTGCAAATTAATTTCCAGTCACTGCTATTACATAAACTCTATGAATAAACAAACCTTACATGTCATAGCATTAAAGCCATGATAACAGCATAGTATCTCCCAATAAAAGTAGACCTTGCTAAAGACTCTGATATACATATGGCCATTCACGCATTTTCAGAAGTCGAAGGAATCGTCTTAATTTTTCACACATGTCAATTCCCCATTTGTCCAGAATTTTTTAAGCGGAACGCACACTGGAATAGTTGGGAATATTTGGCATACTTTTATTGCCTGCGTATATCATTATCATCGTAAATAATTATAGTATATTATTTGCATTTAGAAGGTTAGCAATGAGCTCATCTCAGAAAATGCCAAAAAGTTCCAGTCCAACACCCCTATGACACGGATTCCATTTCCTGCTTTTTCTTCAGAACAATGTTCTGAGATGGGATTGCATATTTGCCTCCACCCAAGCATGTTTAAAATATCCCATCAAATCAGCTCACCAGCTGCACCTTTCTCCTGAATAGCCTTGCAGGCAGTCCTCGATTTACAACAGTTCATTTAGTGACTATAACGGCACTGAAAAAAGTGACTTATGAGCATTTTTCACACTTATGACCGTTGCAGCATCCCCTCGTCACATGATTTACATTTGGACGCTTGACAACTGATTCACATTTATGACAGCTGCAATGTCATGGGGTCAGGTGATCCCCTTTTGTGACCTTCTTACAAGCAAAGTCAATGGAGAAGCCAGATTCACTTAACAACCGTGTTACTAATTCGAGAACTGCAGTGATTCACTTAACAACTGTGGCGAGAAAAGTTGTAAAATAGGGCGAAACTCATTTAACAAATTTCTCACTTAGCAACGTAGATTTTGGACTCAATTGCGGTCATATGTTGAGGACTACCTGTATCAGTTTTTTGCTTAAAGGGGCTCGATTCTGCTTGCATTATATTCTTTTAATCACCATATTTTTAATTCTATCACCACGTGAATGAAGAATAAACATTCGCCATGTCAATGACCAAACAGACAAGCCCACTCAATGTTGGGGAAAAACAATGACAATCCCCCTCCTCTCAAATGACTAATATACCGGTATTTCAAAGTGGTAGCTGCAGAAACCAAAACTTTCTTATTTTTATCCATTGGCAGCGAAAGTGGAAAAACTCCAGAGAAGTTACAGTTGATGAAACACCGAGCGAGATCCGTTTTCTTAAACGTGGGTTAGTTTTGACAACAACACATTTGCTTGTAAATATAACACTGAATAATTGTGTTACTATCCCAGATTCTCCTAAACACTTATACGTAAGAAGACCCTCTTTTCTAAAACTGGAGATTTTAATTGTTCAGCTCAGCCGAGTTTTTCTGGTAGGAGGAAAACCAGTTTATTGAAGGGAGGAAGAATGGCAGGAAGTAGGATTCCACTCGTTTTGCCAGAACTTTTAAAGGACTTCCCAGGCGGCAGCGTCGTTAAAATTGTACCAAGGTAGCTGCCAGAGGATGCTGACTAATGAGATGCTAAATAATGGGAAATGAGTAAAAACAAGCTGTAGGGCATCTTGAAGTTTCCAAGGTTGAAACGCACTGTTGTACTACAACAAGGCCATGGATGGAACAGAATAAGGGGAATCTATGCCTCTAGTTCTTTGACCAGAGTGTTCAATAACATGTACAAGTTCACATACCGGTAGCCCTGGACTTATAACCATTCGTTTAATGGTCATTCAAAGATACAATGGCACTGAAAAAGTGACTCACCATCCAACCACCGCAGCATCTGCATGGTTATGAGTTTGAAATGTGTGCATTTGACAATTGTTCATATATTGGAAGACGGTTGCAGCTGGGTTGGGTCACCTGCATCCTTCCCAGCCAGCTTCCGACAAGCAAAGTCCCTGGAGGAAGCCAAATTCACTTAATGACCACATAATTCACTTAATGACTTCATTGATCCATGATCACCACTGTGGAAAAAATGGTCACAAAACTAGGCACAGCTTATTTAACCACCACCTCACTTTAACCACACAAATTCTGGTTCCAATTTTGATCATAGGTTGAGGATTGCCTGAATTGGGCTAAATCAAGCTTGATTTATTTAGTAAATACTCTAAACAGCTGCCTTGAATTCACCTAACTTACTCAGCAAAAACCAAGTACACAATATTTATTATACACAGTGTGATGTATGGAACATGTCAAAGGAATGCCAAGGTGTTTTCGCTCTAGGGAAACTCAATTATTTTTGCCAGTGTTAACTTATGTCAAGAGTTGCTGGCTACATTATGTGGAATATGTCTTTGCTCAACAGTCTAACTCGGATTAATATTTACATAAGAAGTTCTAAAGTACTGTAAAGAATTCCTCAAATCGCTAAACAGATAATCAGCCTTCTGTTTGCAGAATCATGTTATTAAAATAATTCTTCCTGTGAAATTAAAATAAATTCATAGGAGGATTCTCATAATACAATATTAATCCCCAATTTGCTTTATACAGGCCTGAAGCTTTCTCGTAAAACATTATGCATTTCAAGATCACCATTGCAGCCCAAAGTATAAATAGAAATCTTTTATGACAAAAGAGGAAGATTTCCCACTGTTCTCATTATTTGTCCCTATATTACTATACACAAAGAAATATTAAAATTGACCAGCCCAATAATACTAATTTTTATGGACGCTAAATGTATCCCGAGTGCATGCTATATGAATCAAAACACTGATATACTAATCTAAAGAGCTGAATGCCAAGGGAATATCTGATGACAGCTCATACTGGGACACCCAGACTTTGCTTCTTAGTCCCAGATGTTGAATGGTTCTGTGCAAGTTCCAAATTTGCCAGATTAGTGCTATTACATAAATAAGATGATGCTTGAAAAACAAATATAGTTTTGTATAGAGCGCACAGTTGATATACTGAAGGTCTTTGCCCCAGTATCTTCAGAGAGAAAAGGGTAAAAATCTATATAAAACTCTGGAGAGCTAATGCCAGGTGACACAGAAAATGCCATTTAAAAAACTAACTTTCTATAAGATACGAATGGCCTGGACCACAACGCCAAAGCAGTTAGTTATTGTGTATGTTTAGATGGCAAAACCCAGAGATTAACAAGAGATAGATCAGGCAGATCTGAGGGAGATTTGCAAGGATTTGTAAATCAACACAGATTAAGGCACATTACTGTATACGCAGGCTGCCGAAATGATGATGGAAGTTGAATCACCGGGAAGTGAGTTTGTTCACGTAGGACTGAGTTCAGCTTAGCCACGGTGCACAAAACAAACGCTTGGGCTCTGAATTAGTAAAAGAGAAGTGTGTATGTGTCCTTGGTTCTAGTAGGTGGCATTCAGGAGTTTACTCAAAAGCAAGGTAGATCTTGGGAGCCTAAAACTTACCCACTTTTGACATGACTTGCAACATTCCAGGGATAGAAGGTCAGCTAGGAAAAGTACAAAAATCAGCGTGGCAAGCATTTAATTTATTATCTTACAATATGCTGAACATTAAATGCTACCATAAAAGGCATTTTATGCACATTTATGGTGGTTACTCTTGTCGTAACGCAAAACAGCCAGAGATTCAATGAGTAATAATGCCATGTGCTCTGAAACAGGACGGAGGCTTTGCAGCTTGGTTACTTATTATTTTTAATTTAAAATATACATGTCTCCTTCATGTAAAATCATAGTAATTAGCTATTGAACGTATTTCTATGCATATTTCCTCCAAAGTAAGTCACATTACATTCAATACCACATTTCTCCGAAAATAAGACCCAATCGGAAAATAAGTCATAGCATAATTTTTGAGGGTTCTCATAATATAAGCCCTAGCCCCAAAATAAGCCCCAGTTAAGATTGTCAGCTAGATGGATGCATTTAATGCCATATTTCCCCAAAAATAAAACCTATAAAATAAAGTAAAAAATAAAACCAGAAAATAAGCCCTAATGAGCAAAAATTAATATAAGACCCGGTCTTATTTTCGGGGAAACATGGTAGTTTTACTGTCAAGCATTGGGTAATAGCCAAAAGCAGCATTTACCTTTAAATTGTGTAAAGGGGGCCGTTAAGAACAAACCACTTGCAATGAAGAGAGAGAGAGAGAGAGAGAGAGAGAGAGAGAGAGAGAGAGAACAAGCAGCTGCATATACTTGTTTTTTCCATCAGACCATCTGGCAAAGAAATCACTCAGATAATGCAAAAAGTATGTTTAAGTGCTTTACCTTAGAAAAAACTACTGGCCGACAACAGAATTCCTTTCCCAAGAATTCCTTTTTTTTTTTTTTTTTTAATTTGATTTATATGCCGCCCTTCTCCGGAGACTCAGGGCGGCTTACAATGCGCTAAGCAATAGCCTTCATCCTTTTTGTATATTTATACAAAGTCAGCTTATTGCCCCCACAATCTGGGTCCTCAATTTACCTACCTTAGAAAGGATGGAAGGCTGAGTCAACCTTGAGCCTGGCGAGATTTGAACCTGCAGTAATTGCAGGCAGCTGTTCTTAATAACAGGGTGCTTTAGACCACTGTACTACCAAGGCTCTCTCTTTTCTAAGGTTGGTAATAAAAATGAGAGAAGACTGCTTATTCACCATACAAAAGCGTGGTTTTTCTTGTTCGCTTCCTAAATCACAGCACTGAAGTGAACAGTAATGTCCAAATAGCTTACAATCATAAACGTATCAACTGGTAAATTAAGTCCTGATCAGTATTATTAGAATTATAAATTGTAAGATACATTTCTCCTGTTCCTATTATTTCCTGTTCACTGTTTAAGAATTTGCTTTATAGAAAGCACTATACGCATCTTTTAATAAATCATTAATATATCGTAAGCTACTTGTATGAAATGAATTCCTATTGTGTTCAACAAATAGCTTACAATGAGCACAAATGCAAATATATTACATAACAGAATTCTGGAAAAAGTATTTCACAACTCGATAAGTGGCAAATGGCATGCAGAGAGCCACGACATTTAAGAAATACAGGTAGTCCTCAACATATGACCCAGTGGTAAAATCCTCCTTGGATTGCCACCAGTTCACTGCGCGAGCATACGTGGTGCACACCAAAAGCATGTTGTACATGCGCAATGCACACCAAACGCACGCTTCGCATGGAAAAAGGAGGCTTAACAAGGTAAATAGAATAGCGAGGGGGGGGGACAGCTGGGCCACGCGATTTAGATTCGCGAGAAAGCAGGATTTCCTGTTTTCTAGGGAATATAAATCGCGCAGCACAGCTGATTGCTGGAAATACCAGTTCAGATGAACTGGTAGGTTTTTTTTACTACCGGTTCGCTTGAACTGGTGCGAACCAGTAGCATTTCACCCCTGATATGACCACAACTGAGCCAAAATTTAGGTTGCTAAGAGAGAATGTTAAGTGAATTTTGCCTCACGCCTTCTTGCCACAGTTGCTAAGTGAATAATTGCAGTTGTTAAGTTACTACATGTTTGTTAAATGAATCTGGCTTCCCCCTTGACTTTACTTGTCAGAAGGTTGGAAACGGGGTTCGCATGACACTGCAACCGTCGTAAATATGAGCCAGTCGCCAAGCATCCAAATTTTGATGAGTGACCATGGGGATGCTGCAATGATTGTGTTAAAAAACAATTAAGTCACTTTTTTCAGTGCAATGGTAACTTTGAACAGTCACTAAATGAACAGTTGTAAGTTGAGGACTACCTGTATTACAGGTAATATTGGGACACTGATTAACAGACAATACAGATAGTAGTTTCACTCTCTAAAGTTCTCCTCTCTAGAGCATAAACAAATCAGCCAAACCATCTCTATAAAATGAGCAATACAGTTCAGCATCATACGTTTCAATTTCCACCGTGCCCATTCCAAATAAATAAATAATCTTCCAAAAAGCAGAGAGAAGCTTCTTTAAGATGTGTTTCTGTGTTGTCTGCAAGGATGCTTATATTTAAAATGCAGGGTGTATTAAAAGTATTTGAACGTTATCTTTCTACCGAACCTTACAGGAACGTGGAATGCATGCAAAGGACATTCTAACTTAACTAGGCCAAAACACAAATATCCAAACAATTTAAAACACCAAATGGTAGGAACACGGAGGGCAACTTCAGGAAAACTCTACCCACAATTAAGGCAACAACAGTTTCACTCTAGACATTCATTAATTAGAAACACTGTGATTTAAAGCTGGGGAAACAAACGGAGGTGATGGAACGTCTTTCTTATTGTTTCTTGTTAATTTTACTGGTTAATGTCTTATATAATTTGTGAACTACGCAGAGTCGCTGGGAGTGGCGCAAAACATACATTTCATACATAATAATAAGACCAATTCCTTGATAGCTTTCCTTCCAGAGCAGAGTTGGGCTATCTGTATAAAAAAATAAAGAAACCCCTCCAAAATTCTTCCCAAGCCAGGCCAGTTCACTCATTCTGGGTCCTCAAGCCTCCTCAAAAAGTAGAGCACAAACTTTGCTAAGTTCACATCTCATCTCTTTACTATCTATCTATCTATCTATCTATCTATCTATCTATCTATCTATCTCTATTCATCCATCCACATCTTCTCTATCCACCTATTTTCTCCATCCACCTATCTCTACATATCTACTATATCTACCTATCTACCTACCTACCTACTTCATAGTATAGACCTCATAGACGACCCTCACTCTGTCAAGGACCTAGGAGTACTCATCTCAAACGATCTAAGCCCCAAAGCTCACTATAACAGCATTGCCAAAAAAGCATTAAGAGTTGTTAACCTAATTTTGCGAAGCTTCTTCTCCAATAATATCAAATTGTTAACTAGGGCATACAAAACCTTTGCCAGACCAATTCTCAAATACAGCTCGTCTGCCTGGAATCCACACTGTATATTGGGCATTAATACAATTGTGCAAGTCCAAAGGTATTTCATGAGAAGGGTACTCCACTTCTCTGCTCACAATAGAATCCCTTATGCCACCATGCTTGAAATTTTGGGCTTGGACAACCTAGAACTACGCCGACTATGGTCTGACCTAAGCGTAGTACACAAAATTGTCTGCTACAACGTCCTACCTGTCAATGACTACTTCAGCTTTAACAGCAATAATACACAGGCAAAAAATCGATACAAAGTCAAGGTAAACCACTCCAAACTCAATTGCAGAAAATACGACTTCAGCAACAGAGTAGTCAATGCCTGGAATGCACTACCTGACTCTGTTCTTACATCCTCAAACCCCCATAGCTTCAACCTTAAACTGTCTACCGTGGACCTCACCCCATTCCTAAGAGGCCTGTAAGGGGATGTGCATAAGGGCACCAGCGTGCCTACCATCCCTGTCCTATTGTCCCCATTTATTCATACTTATTTCTTGTGTTCATATCCATGTTAATACTTATACCTGTTTTCTCGTATGTTTGACAAAATAAATAAATACTTCCCTAACCTTCTGTATCTTCTCTATCCACCTTTCCTACATCTATCTATCATCTCTCTCTAATCTATCTTCTCTCTGTCTCATCTATCTCTCTCATCTATCTTCTCTCTCTCATCTATCTATCTATCCCTCATCTATTTTCTCTCTCTCTCATCTATCTGCCGTGTTTCCCCGAAAGTAAGACCCTGTCTTATATTTTTTTGAACCCTGAAATAAGTGCTTGGCCTTATTTTCAAGGAGGTCTTATTATTTTGAGGCGCGTGGAGCAAGGCCAGGCTCCTCTTGCTGTCTTACCTGATTTCCAGCTCTATCTCCCTAACCCTAACCAGAGGAAATGGCGGGGACCGGCTGAGCATTTGTTTAAATATTTTCCTGGAGGGCTTATTTTCAGGGGGAGCTTATTTTAGTGTATGCATTCAAAAGCTCGATTGGGCTTATTATCCAGGGAGGTCTTATTTTGGGGGAAACAGGGTGTCTGTCTGTCAGTCTATCTCTACCATCTTTATCAAATTTATGTAGATCCCCTCCCCCACCTCATGAAAGTGACTCTTTATTCCTTTCCTGGGCTTGTTCTAAACATAAAAACACAGAAAGGAGTAAGAAAGGCACGAACGAAAGAAGAGAAAAGGAAAATAAAGGAGAGGGGAATTCAGAACAGGCAGGAGTTTGCATTTTACATTATTGGTTTCTACCAAGGAGAGTTTTGGGAACACGTGCGGGGGAGGGGGGGGCGTCCCACCTTCTGTTATGTAACCCCCTCCCCGGAAGCAGCCTCTGGGAGGGCCCTGGATGGAGAAGGGACGACCACCAGGCCCCTCATTCATGGGGGGTGCTGTGGGGGGGGGAGAGAGACACACAAGAAAATGAATGATGGTAGAAAAGGAAGCAGCGGGGTCTTTGGAGGGGGGGCGGCGGAGAGGCAGCCCCCCTCCCCCAATGGCTGTGCTTTGTTCAGGAGGCGGGAAACGGGGGGAGGGGGCTAGTCAGGTGGAAGGAGCCCCCTCCCCCACAGACCACCGTCAGCCCCCATTCCCCTCTCCTCGGGTGGAGGGGGGGCCACGCTGCTTCTCCCCCCTCCCGAAACTGACCTGTTGCAGAAGGGCGGGACGGGGAGGGGGCTCCCCTAGAGACTTCTGCCCCCTTCACCCCCACTCAGACACCTTCATCCTCTCTTTCTCCCTCAGACACTCGGCCCTCTCACCGCCCCTTGTATCCCTCCGCCTCTCACCCCCACTTATTGTTTCCCGTGGGGGAGAAATAAGCCAGCTCGCCCTTCCGTCCCCGGCTTAACCGAACACGAGTTCCGAGAGGATTATTATAAAGGCAAAAAAAATAAAGGGATTCTGGACCCAAGAACAGCGGCGGGATTATTTTCCCGGGCCGAGGCGGAAGGATCCCTCGCGCGGCCGCGCCAAGACCCGCGGAGCATGCTGGGGGTCGTAGTTCTCCGTTTGGCGTGGTTGGGTGCCTTTTTTTTTTGCGCCCCCTTTCCCTTTCCCCTTTTTTTTTTTTTTTCTTTTCCTCCGCGCTTACCCGACTCCGAAGCAGGCAGGAGCTGATTGGATGTGGGAGGAAGGCCACGCCCCTCTCCTCGTCTGGCGAATGAGAGATTGGGGACGCGTGCGCCGCTCGCCTTTACGTTCCCCCCCCCACTCGGCTCTGTCTGCCTCCCTAAGTCCCGCCCACCTCCATCCCACTCGCCCACCCGCCCTCCTCCGGGCGCGAGCCGAGGCGGTTGGCGGCGCGCGCAGCCGGCGCGAGTGGGCGTGGCCGCGCTCGAGCGCTGCCTCCTTGGCAGGCCGCCGGTTCTTCGCCCGCCAGCGAGCGAGCGAGGGAGGCAGCCAGCCAGGCAGCGGCCGCCGAGTGAGTCCCTCCGGCGGGGAAGGAACGGCGGCGGAGCGCTCGGCGCCCCGCGGAGAGCCGCCTCTCCGCCTCCCCGGACCCGTGCAGGTCAGCCTGGGTGCTTTTCCCCTCACTTTCCGAAAAGTTTTACCTCAGGCGGGAGGGGAAAAAACAGGCCCGTGAGGCGAGAGGAGCGGCGGGGAAGCCGCTTTGTTTCGCTCCGGGACGGACGGACGGGGATGGGTGGTTGGGGGGAGATTGTCGAACGGGGCGGCGAGAAGGACGGGAGCTGCTCCCCCCTTTTTTTCTTCTTTTTGCCCCGCTCGGACCTTCCCTCTACCCGGCGGGGCTGTCTCCGAAGGCGGCTTGAGGGGGGAAAAGGGGGAGCAAGCGCGACTTCCTGAGGAGGGGAGGGGAGGGGGAGGTGGGCCAAGGGTGGGGGAGGGAAAGAAGCAGACCCCCCCCCCCCCCAGAATGGCCTTGAGGCACTTTGGCATTTCTCCCCACAGACCTCTCCTCCCCCACCCCACCCCAACTTCTTTCTCCTCATCCCGTTTCTTTGGATGGAAAGTTTGGGACTCTGGACGTGGGGAGGGGGAGTTATATGGCCGAAATGCGGTTCTTTTTCTTACTGTTGCCTTCTCTTTTTTAAAATAAATAAATAAATAAAAATTAGACGGGGGGTGGTGGTTAGGACGCGAGAAATACTATCTCCCCCCCCCCCCAGCCAGGACCCTTTTTGCAAAACCGAGATTTTTAGGGCTCCTCCCTCCCCCCAACACACACACCTCAGCCAAACTTCCCCACTCCGAAATGGGGAGGGGGGAACCCCTTTTTAGAGTCTCCCACCCCAGAAGTAAATATGGATGGATGGTTAAGATAGATAGATAGATAGATAGATCAAATTTATATTTTGCTGATAAAGAAATAAAGGGAGACTAGTATCCCTGTTTCCCCCAAAATAAGACCTCCCCTGATAATAAGCCCAGTCGGGCTTTTGAGTGCATGGCAATAAGGCCAAGCGCTTATTTCAGGGTTCAAAAAAATATAAGACGGGGTCTTATTTTCGGAGAAACACGTATATAGGTGTCTGGCTGTTGAGGGGGATGAAAGGGGAAAGAGGGTTAAAAGATTGCTTCTCCTGTTTTATCCTCCTCTTGCTATGAAGTTCTGGGACTGCCTCTTAATTGTTCTTTAAGAAGGGTTTTTTTTAAAAAAAAAAATCTGCTTTTGGCAGCAAAGGTTCTTCAGAGGCTGCCTTGATTTCCCAGGGATGGAAGCTATTATGGTACCGATAAAGGAGTTATATTTGTAGCTCAGAGTTGAGCTGTGGGATCCTTGGTTCTCTCTGAGCTTGGTAGTTTCCTTTGCAGATGTTTCTTTATCCAAACTGGGTAACATCATCAGTGTTAGTAAGGAAAAGGGTTTGCTCTCAGTTTAACACTGACAGGGCAAGCAACTAGAATATAAACTGACAGCAAACCCTTCTCCTTCTAGCACTGATGATATTACCTAGTTTGGGTAACGAAACATCTGCAAACAACCAAGTTCAGAGAGCACCAAACACTCCTCAGCTGTTATGGTTCTGGAGACTGCAGCATACCTCCCTAAGGGACCAAAAGGGAAGCCAAGATTGTTTTAGAGCAGCAAGGATTTGGGTTTTTTTTACAATTTACTATTTTACACTCAGAATTTGGGGGAAGCAAGATAGAGCTAGCATTTGGAGAAACATTAGCTTCCTCTTGGATTTACATGTATAATTTTTATTTGTATCCCACCTTTATCTGCTTTTACAAATAATTCAAAGCAGTGAACATATGCAACACATCTTCATCCTATTTCCCCACAAGAACAACCCTGTGGGGTGGAGTGGGCTGAGAAACTGACTGGCCCAAGGTCACCCAACTGGCTTTCATGGCTAAAGCGGGATTAGAAGTCACGGTTCCTGTTTTCTAGCCCATGTTTTAACCACTACATCAATCTGGAATCTGGTGGAGATCTTATTCAGTTATGTATTTAATATATAGCAAACAACTATTTGTCTTAGTCCCCCTTTCAATAAGATAACATCAATCTGATATGATTAATGAATATGCATTTTTGCCGATGTTTAAAGTGCTTCAAAGTTATGTGAATATTAAATAATTTAATACCCTGTTTTCCCCAAAATAAGACAACCCCTGATAATAAGCCCAATTGGGCTTTTCAGCGCATGGCAATAAGGCCAAGCGCTTATTTCAGGGTTCAAAAAAATATAAAGACAGAGTCTTATTTTCAGGGAAACACGGTAGTGCATTAGAAGTCTATAATTCTTAAGAGGTATACAAAAGATTAAAATATGAATGCAAAACTTAGAATTTTTCTTCTCCAGAGACGTTCTTCTTTAAGACCTCCTTCCTTCCCCTAGCAGTTTCTATTGTGCTTCCTAGGATCAAATCAGAGTGCTCTTTATATTATAATATTACTGAATATACGCACAATTGTGCTTTGTTTTTTAAGGCTTTCTTAATTACTTCTAGAAAGCAGACCGGTCCTCACATGTTAAGAATGTGCTTTTTCTGCTTGTTTTGAATTATAGTGAAATGCATTGCATTATAAGAGCATAGGAGTCATAATTGATGGACAATGAGAACTAAAGAAACAAGGTTTTTATGCAAGCCTTTATATCTGCATAACTCATTTTCATAATTTTGACCATAGGAATTTTCAGAAAGTAATAGATGTTTCTATTGGCTTAAGGAAGGGAATGTTTTCCAAAACAAGCATAATTTAAATGCTCCACAAAGCTAAAGCAATTGTATTGAGCTAGTTTTATTTTGAAAATCTGACATTCCTTTCTTAATTTATACGACAATTACATTACATTTGAAAGACTCAATATAATTCAGTATTAAATTTTGCACCAATAGATTGTTTCTGCTGAAAATATTAATTAAATAACTTTTTAAAACAGAAAACTGCTAATGACTTAAACAGACAAAATAGTCCTGGTAAAAGTTTGTTACTCTTTTCAGTTCTCAAATATGTTAGAAAAAAGTGATCCACAAAGTTGTATTTCCTGTAATAATTTCCCATTCATTTTATGGTGAGTTTATCAGAGAAATATCCAAATATGATGTTTTCTCAAATTATTTATTAACTACTATAATGATTTTATTTTGAATCAGATAATTTACTGCTGACTTAGAATGACACTTTTTTGAAATATTAGGAGGTATAGTTTAATTATATTGTTATTAAGACTTTCTCATATTAATATTTTTATATATTGAGTACAGTACTATAAGAGAAAGTTAAGTCCAGTGTAGGTTTAATTTAACTATGTTAGCTTTATTTCAAAGTTTCAGTATCTTTATTTCAGTATCTAGCATAAAGTTAAAGGTTCTCTGTGGAATCTTTAGTAACCTAAGGTATAACCTGAATGCTGTTTTTGAAAACTGAGTAATTCAGCACAAATAACTTACTTTCATGTTACTATTTAAAAATTACATTTTTAAGCATGCTTAACTCTGGGTATAATATAAGCAGTTAAGCATAAAAAACAATTTATAGCCACTTTATTTCAATGGTGCACATTCCTAAATTTCTTTAATTGAAATTAGTGCATCTTAAGCAGATAATCCACTGTACTATACCAATGCAGTTATACTTCTATAAAGATACATCATTTGCTTGCAGAATTGGGACAAAAGTAGAAGATATGTTAAGTGTGTTAAAAGCAGAGGGTGCTACATTTTATCTAAAGTAGAATACTACCAAATGAGAGAAAACAATAGTTGCTTCTTTTCACAATCTTGGCTGGAAATGATGGCATAATAGACCACCCTTCTTGTGTCTTTAACATAAAATGTTAGTAAAAATCTCTCTTTAAAACTGTCAAGATAGGCTATTTGAAACAAAGCATTAAATAATTACTTTTCCATGAATGTGTTTATATTTATAAATAATGTTCAAAATTTAAAGTACTGTTGCCCAATGTTCTATACGAGTATCTGCATAGAATTTCTTCTAAGGTATCTCTGCTCAAAGAAAGAAATAGGATACACTATAACAAGAAATGTTTTTCTGTAGCTTTTAAAGCATCTTTTCTTACCATTAAACACTGTTAGTAACAGTTGCCATGCAAATGTTCTGTTGGAGCATTGCAGATTTAAGGTGAAATTCTGAATGGTTAGATGCAGTCTTCATCCTTAAGAGATGTGTGGTAAGTTAATGCCCCATCCTTTGTCACTAAAGCAATGTTTATGTAATGTGAGAAATAATTAAATGATTTTTTTATCTCTATACAGCTTTTAAAAAGGATACTTGCATGACATTCAATATACTGCAGTTCATGATGTAATGCTGAAGCTGTGGGATATTTATATGTAAACATTGTTTCTTGCATTCTGATAGGATTGCATTTTTCTTTACTCTCTCTTGTAAGAGAGACTAATTTGTTGGCCTTTACCATGAAAATAATATGCAATGTCACTTTGGTAACTATGATAAGCAGCATAAGATTTTTGTCACAATATCTTCAATATTTGCTTATTATATATTAAAAGGATATGTCTATTACTACTAAATGTTAATATGACTTCCCTGACTCAGATGTTTTAACCAGCTCAGAAATGCTAAAATTCTAATAAGGAAAGAATGTATGGGAACTAAGAAGCACTTCCATTCAAAATATTTTTTTTTCAGTGCTGTATTTCCTGTAGACAGATTTTCTAAATGCAAACTGAAATACAAGCTTATCATGCTGGCTTTTCATAAGGCCTGGGCCTATAAGCGCTGAGTATATGTAGAGACCCACTTTGTGATTAATTTGGTCATTATAATGGGTGCTTTATTCTTGGCTGCAATGGTTTTTAATGTTCATATTTTAATTCTTTACTTTTTAAAATTTTGTCTGCTGCCCATAGTGCTTTGGTAAGATAGACAGCAATATTAAACGTGTTTGCATTATGTATACTAGATACATCAGCCAAAATTGATAAAGCGAATGTGTAATAAATGTAAAATAATATTCTTTCAATAAAGAATACTTAGATAGGGAATACTGCATTATAATTCACCTCAAGGTGTCATTGATAGTTGCTTATTTTTTTTTCATTTCAAATGATCTAGCAAAAATTAATTGGAAATAACCTATTAAAATTTAAGAAATAGATCTAGTGCAGACTCTTAGAAGTCACATTTTGAAGCATTCCAATTTCAAAATAGGGTAAGTTATTAATGCAACAATTCGGCCTGACTTATTGATGACTATATATACAAATGTTCCGCATCCAACCTGTTCCCAGTGACAGCCTGTGGCTCTTCTAGGGATATTTCAGTTATATCCTTGCTGCTCTTTCATCAGTTTTTTCCATTGTCATCTCCTTCTGTTCCCCTGAGCTGAGCTAAGCATAGTCATTGTTTTTAGGCCATTATCACTCACACTCAAAATAAGTTAACGTCTTATTGGTAGGCATGTTCTGAAAATTGCCCACCCCAATTAACCCTTGCCACTAAAATGTCATTTTAGACAAAGTTTGAAATTTTCTTCCAAAATGAACTTAAAAATTCAGTACTTAAGAATATATTATTTAACATTGTATAAGAAAATTGCAGTTAATCATAATACATGTGTTTATTAATCAAATTTATTTATTGTTTTGTCTGCACAGGGGAGGAAAAGATCTTGGTAATCTATAAATAAGAAAGGCAAATTCTACAAAGGATTCATGATGATCCCTTAAATTCAGAGGCCAACTGAAAACCAGTGCTAATATATGCACGCTTTTGTGCCACATATTCAGGTATAGTTAAGACTATTGTGTATTTATTTGTCTAGAATGTCACTGTTCTATTGCGTAATTTTAATCTTTGGCTCAAAATAGGAAAACAATTCCATACAATAACCACTGAATTCCCAGAAATGTCATTTATAAATATATTTAAAACCTACTGGAAGCTTTTAGAGGGAAGTAGACTTCCCATCATGGTATTGTATATAAATGCAAAAATATTTTTTTGTTGGAGAACCAGCTTTAGAGAATCCTGAAGTTCCAGAGAAATGGATCAGGATTGCAGCTTCATTGAAAATTAGAATGGAGTAGTTTCAGTCCTACTTGCTTCATGCCAGAGAAATAAAAGTCTAATTCAGATTACTGCATTTGTTCCCTGGGTTGTCCAACAGAAAATCATAATGAATGGAAAAAGAAAAGGAGCTGTAAAGATAGAAAATCCCTGGTGCTTCCTATAGTATTAACATTACTGTTATGAGGCTGACACCTTTCTGTGCTTAGTGTTATTTTGCACCATTCATTAAACTGAGGATAGAAATATTGCTACAAAATAGTATTAAAATGATGACACTGTATAAAAGAGTGTAAGGTCATGCTTACAGTGTTGTTTTTTTCACAGATCCTACACAGTGTTTCATTATTTTAAATAAATTATTCATGGATAGCTAAATGCTCCTTCATAAACATGAACTTAACGTTAATGGAATAGAAATTCCCACAGCATTATATCCATTTCCAATAGACCCAGGGCTAATGAGTCTCCTACTTCTTATAAGAGGTACTGATTTGTATGGTTGTTGTGGGAGTTGCTTAGTGGAAATCTTCTGTTTTTGTTTTTTACTTGATATGGTTGCCCTTGGAGCTAGTACAGGTAGTCCTCACTTATCTAATGCAATTGGGACTGGCTAAGTGATGTCATTAAGTGAAAGCCATGTGACTTTCCAGCTGTGGTCATTAAACGAATCACTGTGGGTCATGAAGTATATAATTTCATATAAAATTATATGAAATGCAATCAATTTTTACCTATGTTTTATTATCTTTAAAACAAGCAGGATAAATTGTAGACAACTCTGGTAACAACTATATAATGCTTGTAAAAAATGTTGTTGGATCATTTAATCCTTCCATAAAGCTTTTAGAAAACACATGTTGAAGGGATGTAGCTTTTGCTGGCTGACATATTTGGATTTTGTCCAGACTAGGTGCATTCTATTAAAACAAAGGAAATGATTTCAGACAATTCTCTTGGCTGAGCAAGGCTACTGTAAAAATAGTTGCTAGCTGTCATTTAAGTGCTAGATAATACTGCATGGGAAGATTTCCCTCCTAGCATGGGAAGGGTCAGGAGTACCATTTGGGCAGCACTTTCTCAGATGATTAAAAACTCTACAATTTGGACAGGAAATGGTAAAAAGCAGCTATTTAGGTTTTTTTCTTCTTGAGAATTACTGTAGGGTATTGTATGAAATACTTTGGTTTAGATGCATTTTACTAGGTGGGTTCTATGCTTGCAATAACATTTTTTCCACTTGACTCATAGGGAGAAGCTAAACTTCTAAATCTATATTTGGTAATAATATATATTTATCAGAATGGATAAAAGGATAAAAATGTTAAGAGTGCTGAATTTTGTCTATCATCAGATCCAGCTGTACTTAAATCCTTAGTAAGTAGGAAATGGAATGATATGCAAAGTAGACTAGAAGAGAAAGAATTTCTATATAGGCTGAAATTTGGTCTAGCTGTTTTAAATATGAACATTACATCAGTATAGATTTTTTTTAAGTACATTGTTTTTTAAGAGTACTATTTTTAATTTGACACTGCTGGAATGAGTGCACATTCATCATTTACACATTCACTTTTATAAATCTCTTGCGCAAAGAAGCTCCCAACCTCCCAAAAAACTTTGATTGCATTATTTTATTTATATATTGATGAGATTATAATAAATATTAAGATATACGTCAGAAATGTTTAAAATAGCATTAAGTATAGCAATCTCAGGAACACACAACAGATAGTCTCCACTTACCAACTGTCTCGTCCAGTAACTTTGTATGCTGCCCTGAGTCTTCGGAGAGGGGCGGCATACAAATTGAATGAATGAATGAATGAATGAATGAATGAATGAATGAATAAATAAATAAATAAATAAATAAATAAATAAATAAATAACTGTTCAAAGTTACAACAGTGCTGAAAAGTTTTACAACAAATGTCAATGTTTACAGTCTTCACAGTGCCCCTCAGTCACATGACTGCCATTGCAGTCAGTATGCATTGTCCTGTGCTTGACCTGTTGTTCTTTTTTCTCCCCTGGCAGAGTAGAGAAATGGAAAGGAAGAGATTACAAGAGAGCAAGTAAGCACACTACAGGGAGTACACCAGGCTGATGGCACTGGCATATTGCTTTTGTATTTCCCCACTGAGTGCCTGCTTACTCTTCTTGTAATCCCTTCCTCTCCAATGAATGTAAATACAAATATTAATTCCCTCCTTGCTGATTATCCCAACGAGGGTGCATTCCAAAGGGAGAGAGTGGATGATTTCCCAATTGCAATTGCTTTGCTTAATTGTCACTAAATTGAGGACTACTTGTGTTTAAAAAAAATGATGAACCATAGGAGTGCCTGAGAATGGTTCACCACTATGAGAACAAGTGCAGTCTTCCAGTCTGGGCTCCATCCTTCCCTGGCCCTTTTAGTCTACTTCCCTTTAAGTAGAATGTAAGCATTTAGATATGATATGATTGACAACAATGCAATTTGACTGAAGAATAACAGCAGTTAAGAAATGTCTTAAGCCAATTATATCATATGATTAATTCTTTTCCTGGATTTTCTGACTGTTTAGAAAATCAGCATCAAAATTATCAACAAGTATGTGTGTTGCAGCAAGTATTTGTTAGGCCTCGCATCTGCTAACTGGTTCACAGTTCTAGTTTTCCTTTAATATCTATTACTGACACTTTTTTAACTTTTGCTTTTAAGGCTCTGGAGTTCGCTCTCGGGTTAATTCATCTTCTGTTGATTTAATTCAGTTTCCAATAAAGAGGAAAATATATTCTAGAGCTGACAAAAGCACAGTATCCATTTCCAACTCTTCAATAAACAATATAAAAAGTATAAATGGAAACAGTAAAAATTATGCTAACATAATTTGTATCTAGTTACTATAGCAACTAGACAGACAGGGGAGAGCAGCCCACAATATGTAATCTACAATATAAATTAGGATTTATATTGATTCCTTTTTTTCATTATGAAATGTTTAATAGCACATTAAAGATAGGTTAGGCATAAGTGGGTTCTAGGAAGAGATAGTAAGGGAATTAAAATAACAGAAGAAGCAAAGTTGCTGAAGTTCTGGAAGAATTAGTAGGATCAGTGATCACAAGCAGAGGAATATCATAACTTTGGTGATCACAATTAGGATAGTATAAAAGGAAAGAAGAATTGGATGAGGCAACGTAGAATGATTTAAACTCAGAACAGTATTAACCTGAATTTTAAACCTTAAATTTTATGGCATGCAGCATGCTAGTTGCTATTAGAAACTGCCTTGTCCATCACCATTATTTCATATAGAGCAAGGATTCTCTTGGGGAAAACAATGAGAGCAATTGTGACATTTATAGAAATGTTGGTTTCTGGCTATGACTTTTGGAGTCTGACTGTGGCTTTCATGTCCTCAGCATTCTGATGAGATTTTATTCCAGATTGAGATATCTTTTTCCAGGAGCAACATATAAAAATTGGGATGTATTGGACCCTGGAGCAAGGCAGAAATTTAAGATTCCCCTTAAAATTATGGGAGATGTTTAACTTTATTTAATCAGAAGAAAAATAGCATTAATATCAATCCACAGATAGAGTGAAAGTAATAGATTTCCAGATTATTTTTCAACTGCATCTTAAATTAAACCTCTCAACCCCACCCAGTGAATCACATGTGCATATATGGGTAACTGGAATAACACATTTATTATGCTAATGAAATGGGGTGTAGTTTATGAAATGCAATACTGAATTAAATGTGTTTTTAATAATCACAAAGATCTTCTTTTTGTGAGCATGGAATGCACTTTTTCTATGCCAGTATAAGCTAACCTTACGTTAAAGTATACTTAGGTGTTAAAAATAGTCTGAATGTGTTAGAAAATATCTGACATCTATTCAGGCTATTGTACAAGACCGAGGAGAAGGCAAAGTTCATATAAAACGATTGTATCCAGAATATAGATGGTCCTCATTGAGTGACTGCCTTGTTTAGTGGACATTCACAGTTACAAAGATGATGAAAAAAGTAATTATGCCTATCTTCGCATTTACAACCTTTGCAGGTTAAAAGCTGAACTAAGGTCATAAGTACAGTTGCAATTGGTTTTCATACAGCTCTGGGTAATACCACTGTTTCAAAAGCTTCATGTATCGCTAAATAAGTCCATCATGTGGAGCTGAAATTAGAAATTTAAAAAAGATGTTTAAAGATATTTATTATACTGTGCCCTTTTGTTATTTGCATGTACTTATGCTGTTCTTTCAAAAATGCAAGTTTTTTTCCTACAGTCCAAATCTTAACTGATCATTCTGTAATTTTGCTCTGATAATGAACCATAGCTTCTTTTTTTAACTAGAAATACTGATGAAAAGCCGGGTTCTTGTAAGAGCCTTTTATTGCTCTGAATAGTGATTAGCTAGCTGTACCGAGAGCTGTCAGGGATGAAGTTTAATGCCTGCAGAGCATTCTGGAACATGCCAGTACTAGGAAACTCCTCCCAAACACTGGAAGAAAAAAAGTATTCATTTTCTTCAGTTGAATAAAAACAAAATTGGCCTGAAATATCTATTGATAGAAATTGATGAGATAACTTTACAATGTCGGATGACTTCAGCACACACTTGTCTATATTGCTCACTAAATGAATCAAGCGTTCCTTTAAAGGCAGGCTTTTGCAGCAGAGTGCATTAAAAACACATGTCTAATAGGTGCATTCATTTTAATAGGCTCATTCATTGAGCTAGTCTGATTAATTAGTGCATGTCACCATCTGGTATTTACTGAGACCATTCATTTTTAGAATACTGAAATTGCAGGGAATATTGCACACCAATTAAGTTCCTTTTAACTGGATTATGTTAGAATACAGTATTAGTGTAGGAGGTTTTCTTTGTGCTGCAGCCAGCACGCCCCTGAAGGAACCTGTCAGCCTGAAATTTAGAACAGTCCTTTAAAATGCATAGTGGATAGAAGGAGGCACCGTGTATATTGTCTCTTGGACAAATGGACAATTCCAAGAGACTCAAACATAAGAAATTGTATAGAGACATACTGCCAAGCCTTTTTTCCTAGGTTTTCCTAGATGTTATGGTTATCAAAAGAGTGGCATGATATTCTTTGCTTTGTCTACATCTGTAGCATAAAACAAGACTCAGCCAGCCTTTCCCTGCACATTTGTTGTAATGCAATGTGTTACAGGTGTGATGGGCTACATTCAAAATAACTTTAGGGAACATTGCAGCAAAGGCCTTCGGACTATTCAATAAAAGAATCTGAATCATTGCAGCGAGACACTATAAAAGATCAAAGGAAAGTATTAAAAATAAGGATAGCTTTATTTTGTTCTCGCATAACCTTTAGATTATATAATCAGTAGGTTTCAGAGTAATATTCAGAGCCTTGGTAGTACAGTGGTCTAAAGCACCCTGTTATTAAGACCAACTGCCTGCAATTACTGCAGGTTCGAATCTCGCCAAGCTCAAGGTTGACTCAGCCTTCCATCCTTTCTAAGGTAGGTAAATTGAGGACCCAGTTTGTGGGGGCAATAAGCTGACTTTGTATAAATATACAAAAGGATGAAGGCTATTGCTTAGCGCATTGTAAGCCGCCCTGAGTCATATAAATTATTATTTTTTTTTGAAAAAAAAATTGCAACTGCCATGCTACTCTCCGGACATTTCAAGTGCTTGGTAATTGGCAATTGCATTTACAACTGTTGCAGCATCGTGCTGCCACATGATTGCATTTTGTAACTTTTTTGCTGTTTTCCAGAAAAAAGCACCCATTGGATAAGCTTATGACCACACAATTCATTTAACAACCACCTGATTTGCTTAATTATTTGTTAAGCAATGATTTGCTTAACAAACATCATAAAAACATTTATAGAATTGAGTCCGGTCACATGATGACTTGCAATCAAAATTCCGGACTCAGTTGTGATTGTAACTCAAGAACTACCTGTATCACTCTTTAAACAAAGGCAGAAAACCTTTAAGCAAAATTTTTAAAAATTATATGATGCCATCCAATGAAATATGCAAAGCTCTTCTGGTTATGTTACAGCTCCACCTGGTGTTCAGTAAAAAAAAATGCTTGCCAGTCTTCTATAATTAACTTGTAACGTAGCATTTACACAAATTTATAGATCATTATTCCTATTGACTATGTATTAACATAAGATTAAAATATACCCCTGTACTTTTACTGTATTTGAAAACATAACTGGCTACCTATAAAAACATTTAGCTGTTTTATCTCACAACATCATTATGGAATAGATTAAGCTTAAACTTAGTTCCTATTTTGTCAGTAAAAAGATCAACTAATGAAGTTGAGAAGTTCCTTGAATGGCAGTCTGTATATTCACTTCTCACTTGATTTTTAATATTTCTCTTACTTTCCTAGGATGAACCAGATTTGATTATGAAAGCAAGACAGCATTAAACAATAAGGAATGATCTTACCACGCACTGAACAATCTTTAACCTCAGAAAATGTCTGCTTGCAATGCCTTCACTGAACATGTGTGGAAACCTGGTGAATGTAAAAATTGCTTCAAGCCAAAAAACTTGCATCAGCCGCCTCCAGGCCCTGAAAAAGCTCCAGTCTCAAATTCAAATATAAAAACCAATGCAATTCACAGCAACCAGCATAATAAGAATACAGGAAATTTTCGGCCACCTGTGGCAAAGAAACCCACCATTGCTGTGAAACCCACCATGGTGACAATAGATGGACAGGGTATGTGTGGTGAAATTGCCTCACAAGATCTTTGTGAGAACAAACCAGCTCTTGTAGGTTGGAATCAAAATACAACTGTTTTGAAGAAAAAGCCACTGAATAATAACAACAATAATGAAGAAGAAGAAGAAGAAGAGGTTGAAAATTACAGCCATATTCATAGGTCTTTTGGAAATAATGATGATACAGATAAAGCTCCAAGCAACAATAATGGTCTCACTGATGTATTGAAGGAAATTGCTGGCTTAGATCATTCAACTTTCCTAACAAGAAATGAAATTAATTCAAGAGAAGTATTCTTGGGACGAATAAACACTTGTTATAAGAAGTCATTAGAAAGAAAGATCCCTCCAAGTTGCCTGATGGGTGGAACAAAGTCACAAAATAAGCATGTTGTATTGAGTGGAACCACTGCTGTAATAAGCAGTGAAGGGGGCCGTTTCTGCTACCCTGAATTCTCCAGCGGAGATGAAAGTGAGGATGACCTGTTTTTTGGCAGCATCCATGATGATCATGAGAGCTGGGATGAAAGTGACGAAGAGTTGCTAGCAATGGAAATTCGCATGAGGGGACAGCCACGTTTTGCTAACTTTAGGGCGAACACGCTGTCACCTGTTCGATTTTGTGTTGACAAGAAATGGAATACAGTGCCTTTAAGGCATAAGTCTCTACAGAGATTTTGTGCAGTAGATTACGATGACAGCTATGATGAAATTTTGAATGGCTACGGAGATGACCCTGTAATTCTTTTTGGACCGGAAGGCGTGCAGAGCATGGTTTCATCTGATTCTATGTCCCCTGATTCTTCTCTGACTGAAGAATCTCATTCCGGAACGGCCAGCAGTTCTTCCCAAAAGCTTTGCAATGGTAGAGTGTCTCCTAACAGTCCTAAAGGTAGCAGATTAATGGAAGGAGGATGTGATAACAGGTTTTCTGATGACCAGCAAGTTAAAGTTTCAATTAAAAACACTCAAAACGCTACCCAGATTGTAGAGACCCACAAAGCTGTGCTTGCTATTAGGCTAGAAGAAAAAGATAGCAAGACTGCTATCCCCAGTGATAAGCAAGAATGGAAAAGTTCTTTAAATATGCCAGTTCAGACAACAACTACAAATTTGATCCCCATGGAAGAACAGGCAAAGCCTTACAGAGTAGTAAATATGGAACAACCAGTGTGCAAACCTTATACGATAGTGGATGTATCAGCAGCCATGACCCATGAAAATATAGAGAATCGGGCAAAAAAACTGGATACCAGATACATTCGGTCTAACCCAAATTCACCAGATGCCCTCAGTACAAATGCTATGTCTCATTCTGTGTCATGTGGGCAAGTAACTCCTAATCTTAAAAAATCCAACACTGCCAGATACCAGGAAGTTTGGACTTCCAGTACAAGTCCGCGACAAAAAATCCCCAAAGTGGAATTAACTGCCAATGTTCCAGAGCCTTCTGTTCCTGTAAGGAGAAATATCCATAAATCTGCTCCCACTTCACCTACATCAACACATATTTCTACAAAAACAATCCCGGTCAAGTCCCCTAACTTGTCCGAAATAAAATTCAACAGCTATAATAATGCCGGCATGCCCCCCTTCCCAATTATTATTCATGATGAGCCAACTTATGCTAGATGTTCCAAGAATGCCATCAAAGTTCCTATTGTAATAAATCCCAATGCATATGACAACTTGGCCATCTATAAAAGCTTTTTAGGCACTAATGGAGATCTTTCCTTTAAAGATAAAACCACTAGTATCATCAGCCATACGTATGAAGAAATAGAAACAGGAAGCACCGTATCTGAAAATATACCTAATAGGTCTGCAGAATTACCCCAAGCGAAAGGTTCAGGCAATAACACTGAGAGGAGACTGGGCTCTGTAGCTCAGAAGGTTCAGGAATTCAATAGCTGCCTTGGAAAAGGTCAGACTTCACCCAAAATGTCTTGCCGTGGCTCCCCAACAAAAATACAAAGAACTTTTCAGGATTCTTTAGCTGAAGTAGATGATAATCAGGAACTATCTAATGACAGTCGGGAAAATGCCTGTGCAGTACTGTCACAGATCGTAGCATCAATCCAACCTCCACAATCTCCCCCAGAAGCCCCTCAGGCTGGCCCTAAGTCTTGCAGTGTTGAAGAACTCTACTCTCTGCCTCCTGATGCAGACCCAGACAAGAGCGCCCCAGTGCGACCAAAATCACTTTTTTCAGTGCAACCTCATCCTAATGCTGAGGGAATCAAATCCACAGAAGTTACGGTCAAGGAAATCCCTTCTAAATCTCCAATCGTGCAGCCTTCAAGACTCATGGCAACTTCTCCGAGTCCCAAAACTGAGCAGGCTCCCCCTTTCCCACCTCCCCGGTCCACCTCTTCACCTTATCATGCCAGCAAAGTGTTGCAAAAACATTTCAGCAATCGGAGCAAACCCCTGAGCCCAGCTAGATCCACTGAGGCTGAATCCGTTTTGCATTCAGAAGGTAGGCGAGCGGTTGATGCAAAGCCAAAGCGATGGATATCCTTTAAGAGCTTCTTTCGCCGCAGAAAGACCGAAGAAGAGGAGGACAAAGAAAGAGAGAAAGGGAAACTTGTGGGTCTTGATGGGACTGTCATTCATATGCTTCCGCCGCCTCCCGTCGAACGTCACAATTGGTTCAGTGAATCCAGAACAGATGCCAATGAAAAACCGTCCGTGGTTTTTATGTTTAAATGTGATCAGGCAAAGTTGGAAACAAAAACCAATCAAACCAAAACTGAAGTGGAGCCCACCATTGAAGTCATGACAGCCGAGAGGGGAGAGGCCGAAAACTATCCAGAGACACCAGAAGAAAACTTAAAGAGCCATCCCTCTTCACCTCAACTTCCAAAGGAAATTCTCAGGTAAAATTTAAACCACTAATTGGCCACTGTATCTTTTTCTCTAGATACAAGCAGAAGATCATGTCATTCCTCAATTAGGACTTAAAAACGTAAAATTATTGTGGGATAAGCTTTCATATATTAGGATATTTTATCTACTTGTGAAGTTCACTCAACCTTCCCCCCCCCAAAAAAAATACCCAATGCAAGATAATTTACCGTGATATGCTTCAGTGGCCCATACTTTTTTTAAATAGCTGATGTTTTGTCTCAGTTTATTCTCCTAATGGAAACAAATCGATTTAGGTGGCTAAACGCAGATCAGAAAGACAATTGTCCATAGATAGGGCTGTTTCCAGTAAGGATTTTTGGAAATAGAGGAGAGAAAAGGAGGTTAGGTTCAAAATCTGTAACTTAACTATGTTACTTTACTACAAATATGGATAATGTTTCTGGCCTACATGCAGGTGTTAAAACAGAAGTCTAGAATTTCAAAATACAGGCTTGCTTTTTAAAATTGGCTTTCTTGCCTTCTTTACACATCCTTTTCAATTAGATTAGGAGTGTATTTCATATACCGGTATTCAGTGATGGCTGATCTATCTGTAAATGCTGCTTCATCTAAAACATATTTTACAGACAAATTTCTCAAGGCTAGAAATATTAGATTGCCATTTAATGAAGTGGAGCCTTCCTGTGTCTACATACGGATTTATTGCTTGTTATCCTCAGCATTATGAGTAGACAATGTAATACTTTCTGAGAATGAAGACAGAACTCTTACTTTATTTTTCATATCTTCCTGAACATTCCCACTTTTTTTTTTTAATGCTGCAAACAGCTAATATTTTAAGAGGAATAAAGGAGGAAAAACATAGATAACTAGGATTACATTTATATACAGCCATCGTGACATATATTTATAGGGTAAAGCATTGTTTCCTTATGGTTTAATGTTGCAATTCCACAAGAGGCAAAGACAAAAAGGCATTCATTAATGCAAATTAAAGCTGATACCTAGCAGCATCCCAGGTAGCTAACTTTTACATGTAATTTTTTTTTCTGTTTCTCTTCAAGCAGCATTAATCAACATTCATTCTTTCTAATACATCAGTGACACCCAGTCATTATAGGTGGCTAGATGGATTTTGAATCACTCAGAAAATCTTTACTGTTGGTACTTTTCAATACATCTATCAAAGATCTAGAAGAGCACCTGAAATAGATACATGATTTTGCTTGGAGGATGGCAGAATTGGTTCTGTGTTGAAACTCAAGAGTAGTAATTGCCAAGCATTCTGCCTAACCAAGAAACCTAGATATGTCTGTCAAGCAAAATCTATGCACTGCAGTTAATTCGAGGAGGGGGGAGGGAACCAGTCTGGCTAAGGGCAAACGATAAATTGCAGTTTTCCAGTTCGCTGTTATCTGATTTGTGAGGAGGGGAATGCTGGTTTATGGTAACAAGTAGGTCATATGTTGATGTGGGTCATAAGATGTAATAAATGTGACTTCATTGGTCTAGCAGAAATGGAATACCTATATTGTCAAAAAAAGAATTGGGTCTTGTTGAACAGATGCATTTAGGCATCATTGTAATGGTGGCCAAGAAGAGATGAATTCTAAAAGTGTATTGAGTTAGTGAGGGGACATATTCTTTTTAACATATTCTTTTCAACTGAAAAATAATCAAAATATTGTTCCTGGTAGCAACTTTATCTGTGTGGTTGCTAGGAGTTGAAAACAACTTGAAAGTATAATCAGTCATCACCTAGAAGTTTCCCTGCATTAAAAGAAATATAAAGGAACTCCTGATGCTTCTTGAGCCCTGTTTCTTTAATTGCTGTGCCTAATGCCAGTTCAAAGATAGATAGATGACTTCTCCGATCTCTGAATCTTTCAGTTATTTATACTTAGTGCTTACCGTGTTGTTTGTGAATTTAGTACATTCGACTTCTTGAAATTTCTGTGCCAAATCATTTGGAGCATGGCATTTTTCAGATAGGGCCTGAAAGAAAGAAGAATCAGAAAGAAAGAACCAGTTTGCTTGCTGTTCCTTTACAGGCACCTAGATTTCCATCAGGACACTTACTCTTGTGCTGTTCCTAAGGAGATGGTGTGATTTTGTTCTCTATGGCCATCTCATTTCTCCGCTTTCTATCACTGCTTTCTCTTTCATTCCACTACTTCTCTTTCCAAAGAATTACTGCTACCAAAAAAAAGACTGCGCTAATCTTGAGCTACTTGGTATAGTACCAAGTGAATGAAATGTGAATGAAATTTAATGAATGAATGTGAATGAAATTTGAATGTGAATGAAATTTAACTTTAGCCCCAAAATGCTGATGCAAACACAAGCTCAAACTAATAGATTTATTTTATTCCAAAAGCTGATACTGTAAAGGCTTAAGTCCAAATGAATCTATACCTACCCAAATATCCTTTATTTTATCTTTTGCATAACAGATGTCACTTCACTTGAATTCTCATAAATTCTAAGAGTACTTTACATAAAACTGGCACAATTCTGACTATGGTGCCTCTGCATCCAGCAACAATTAGGGTGAAAACAAATGTTTTGCGATTTACAGCTCTTGTAAATCAGCCCCTTATCTACAGTTTCTTAGTTCCCTTACATGATCAGCTGTTAGCTCTGTTGATAGCCAAACCACCAATTTGCTTCTTAAATCAGCCCACATCTTTCCTCAGCCACTGTGTTAACTATCTCAAACTATTCGTAATTTCAAAAATAATTTTTGGTGCTATAACCTACAAGCCTTTGTAGCATCCAGATATAAATCAGTAAAATCAACTTGGCCCAGTTGCACCCAGACCTTTATGGCTAAACAGGAATGTCAGAGATTGACATTCTGTCCATTCCATAACTTCAGAACATCCAGTTTGGGATTTTATTGTTTTGCATCTTGAGGTGTGATATAGACTTGGCTGCATTGTTGTTTTAAAAAGAACCACACATGATGTTTATTGAAGGGCAGTTTATTTTTTTAAATTATTCAGGAAAATAATAGTGACATCGTCTTACCAATAGAAATTAAGAAATACAATTCCTTTGTATCTTCTTTCCTCTTCTGCCCTTATGCACCTAAGCAGTAAAATGTTTACAATTAATTCAGATTTGTTTGGCCTGCACATTCAAGCTGAGTAAAACACATTAGAAGATCTTGATGAAAACACAACTTTCCTTCAGTTTCCTTTATATAGTTGCATTGTAGAAGTAGGGAGCAGGTTAATATGTCTTAGGTGTTCCTTTCTTTTTTCCTTTCCTTCCTTCAAAAGGATTCTGAAACTTAAGAAATACTTGGTAATAGCATTTTTCCTACTTTAATTTATTTTATTTGAAATGAGAGAATTCTGCCCTGTTGTGCAACAGGACCAGAGCAATTGCATACTTGTCTTACAGCTGTCTTCTCAGAACCTCTCGTTGTTTTTATATACCTGTGAGCAACTAAAGTACTATGTTTTTTCTTCCATTAGCCCAGCTCCTTTATTGGTCTAATTCTAAAACAGGCCAATTACCACTATTTTAAATAAATTCATCTTTGTTCCAGCATTCTCCAAATGAAGAGTAAAAATGTGTAAAGTGTGCATGATATTCTGTAGTAAGGAAAGGGTTAACGAAGCAAGCCTGCACTTTGCTTATGCTAGAGTTTCTAAGGTGTTTTGGCACATTCCCCAGACCTACCCCTGAAGGTAAACATCAAGGTGCAGGAGGTGATATCATTCCGTGCAGACTTCAGTCTTTGTTGCTCACTGCTTTGCACAACTTATAGCTCACCAGACCCCAGTGGAATAAATGCTTCACCAGAGTTTCGAGACATGATTAAAAGGCTCAAGAAGGCTCTGAGAGAATTTCCTTTAATGGGGAACTGTGTGAGTGAGTATAGTGGGTGAGTTTCTCCTTTTTGTTTACCTTCTCAGTTGATGAATTTACTTTGGTAGCACATTTCTCAAAAGAGCGCACGGAACTAGAAACGACTCTGTTCTGTATTAAGTATTAATCCAGGCAAATTTGTTTATAGAGATTACTATTCCATAACAGGAATTCTTCCTTCAAATTAAGCAACTGTTAGGTGGGGTTGTTTTGAATGGAGCCACTATAGTGGAGTTAATGAGAGCAAAGAGCAAAGTTTGTTAAACAGAAAGCATTTTCCATACCTGCAGTTCCCAAAGTGAATTTACAACTCCACAGTTTTTAAAGTTTTGAATGTGCAAAATTACTTGGGCTAACCTTTTAATGGTTTCACTTTTTGTGCAATTTGTTATGTTTACACTGTTTTGCCGCATGTTAATAAAATATCAACACTGATAATAAGATGGGACTTTTTAACTTCACCTTTTTATCAGTACTAACTTCTGTGGATGACTTTATGTCAGCATTATAAAATTCCTTGAATGTGGTAATGTATACATGTGTATTGATAATGTTATTGTGTTGGGCTGAAACTGCAGAGGTACTAAGTATTTATTTTTAATATTGTAAGATGTTCAGCTGGAATCTGGGACTCTGATCAGTTGTGTTCAGTGATGCGGGCTTTACTGTAAATCCTGTGTAATGTTTGTAAGGCACATTAACTCTTCTAATTTAATTGACGCTTCTTTTTCTTTGTTCCACGCTGTTTTTTAAGTGTGGCATAAATAACTACAACTACCATCATTGTTTGTACAGTTTAGAATGCTTGCCTTATGTATTTTAAAGCATTCTAGAAACACTTCTGCGTTTTGTTTTTTTTAAATTTCCTTTAACACAGTTCATTAAAGAAAACTGACGTTTGCCAGGCAGGTGAACTATACTTTGCTTTTGTTTCAGTCAAGTGCCTGACGAGAAAACAAAACCTGTGGAAAATGTGTCCCCTCCAATTCCAACTTCTGCATTTGAAAAGCAGGATGTTGACAGCCCTACGTTCCGCACTCCAGAAATATTACAGTTGGAAGATGAGAGAGAAGAAATGTCTGATTCTTCTGATGTGAGTGCCTGCAGTGCTACCTATAGTAACTTGGGTAAGTACCTTCCCTCTGCACAGAATATAAATTGCGGCTTGATTATTGGCTGAGTTCACAGACTATACTAGGCCGAAACAGTATTAGGCAAAGGCTGTTGGATTTGTTCGTTAACGTTATATACACTCATAGATCATGATTTCTGGCAGTTCACAACAATTATGCAGTATAGCAATACAACATTCACAGAAAAATTAAATTAAAAGCACATAAAGTTGTTGCTTCTTCACCAGGCCTCCCAGTTTGTCACTTTTCCCTTTTAGAGCCACAGATATTTCGTTCTTCTCCGCTATTCTAGCAAAACAAGTGTAATTGAAATAATTGCACATTCTCCCCTTCATTATCCAGTTCTTCTGCTTCCTTTATTGCTTTCCTTTTGTTGAATTATCGGTAGTAAACTTCTTGGAGCAGGGATATTTTGTGTTCTGTAAAAGGGCTCTGCATGCAGTATAAGCAAACGTAATTGTGGCCATAATTAGGTTGTGTGGAGTATCATGCTTTAGTTTGAGAAGTGATTTGCTAAACCAGCTTGGCTTGCCATATGGGATTGCAACTTCCCGAATCTCCAGTCAGCAAGGCAAACAGCTTTCTTTCAGTTAATCTCTGTTCAGCAAAATACATTCTTCAAAATAGTGTCATACGAAAAAGTTGGGGCTTGGCAAAAAATATTGCTTTGGGGAAGACAGGATTACAAAGCATGAAAGGAATGTATAGGGGAAAAACACCCAGTACATGAGCTGCCGAGTTCAAGGGAAGGCTTTTTAGCTGAATTGAGAGTATCATTGGTGAGATGTAAAGAGAAAAGAGCTACATTATCCTGGGTGAAGACCACAACGCTTCCTTTTCATGCAGTACATATAGTTTTGAAAAAGAGGCAAAACAAGTTGAGATGTGTGCTATTCACTTTTTGAACAATATTATAGGATTCAGTTCCAAATATTAGATTGTCATAGGGCGACTAATGTTTAGCTGCATACAACTGTTAGAAGAAGGTGACATAACTTATATGGTGCATTTAAGCTATGTTCCATGTAAAGCAAATATGGTTTGCATCTTCAAAGCAATAATGCATAATAGTATATGGTAATAATTGTAATCTTATTTGATTTTCTCCCATTTAGAGGAAAGCACAGGGGTTTGTTATAAAAAGTACTCTTATTTCCTGGCCAGCTACCTAACCAAATAATGCTGATGTATGCTACCTTTGTGCTCACTATTGAGTCACCAAAAAAATTGTTTTGTTATTCCACAGGGCAATCCAGAGCAGCAATGATGCCTCCAAAGCATCCCCGGCAAGTCAAGGGAGCTTTGGAGGATGCCATTGCATTTGGCGGAATATCCGATCCAGAAATATCAGCCATCTTAAATCCCACTCCACCTCCACTGCCAAAGAAGACCATTTTGAGGGCACACACCGAACCACTCCCGAAAGACCTCCAGAAGCAGGCTGTTGAAAGTAGCCTCTGTGTGATGGCTAACCCTACCTATGACATCGACACTAACTGGGAAGGAAGCAGCATCTGCTCTTCTGTCAGCTCAGAATTCAAGGCAGTGGACAATGAATCTGGGGATTCTCTGGGCAGACCCCCAGAAAAGGCAGCTTCACCTACCACCAACCTCGCTGCTCTCCGTATGAAGAAGAGCGGTTCCACTAGCATGGAGTCTGTCTCCATTAGGCCTGTTACCCACAGTAGGCAGGGTAAAGCTGGCCCAAAGCCCCATCAGCAAGCGCTTTATAGAGGAATTGAAAACAGGGAAGAGGTGGTGAGCAAGATCAGAAGCCTTCACGCAGATTCACTGAAGAAACTGTCCGTCAGATGCGAGGATCTTTTTATGGCCGGACAGAAAAATCAACTTCGATTTGGGGTAGACAGTTGGTCGGACTTCAGATTAACCTGTGACAGGCCGTGCTGCGAGGCAGGAGATGCTGTATACTACCCTGCTTCTTATGCAAAAGATTCACTCAACAATTATGCAGTGAAGGTAATGAAGATCTTTCAGTAAGAGCCATTCTGCTGCTAGGTTTAGTCGCTTTTGTTAGCATTCTATATATAAGTTCATGCAATAAAGCCCTTTTCATAATGTTTATATTCCATGTTTACAGGATGTTCCCAGAGATAAGTCTTCCAGAAGGCCTTCAAAGATGTATTCCTTCTTTTTAATGTGAATAATTTGACATTGAATCTCTGGCTGCTTGGTTTATTTGTACTACAAATTGTTTATTTGTAATAGAAATATATTTCTTTTGTTACTATTCGCTTTCTACAAAATGTGCGTGAGAGAGGGATAGATTGTAGCAGATAAAGAAGATGTTGCCTTAGTACCGTCAGCTTCAGCAAATACAATAAATTGCTCATGCCTCTTTAGAATCCTTTATGGATCACTTTTCAATAGCTGCTTTTCTTTATTTGTAAAGAGGCACAGGTGGATATGTTTTCAAATAACAGTTTTTCATTAACTTACTTGAAACCTAGTTTTCTTTTCATTCTTTTTTTTCCCTGCCTTCAGATTTGTAAGAGCAGAGCTAAAGAATCCCAGCAGTATTACCACAGTTTGGCCATTCGCCAAAGCTTGGCTATTCATTTCAACATACAGCAGGATTGTGGCCACTTTCTGGCAGATGTACCTGTTCGTCTCCTTCCATGGGAAGATCCCAATTCACCTGAAGAAGAGGATGAGGCTGAACAGAAGAGCGAAGAGAGCCTCTCTTCGGTGGACGTTTCCCAGGATAGCCCAGGTCCCCAAACCACCATCAGTAAGCAGCGCAGCAGAGTTGTTGTTATTACCCGGGAGGTTCCCTATCTATCAGTGGCTGATTTTGTGCAAAATTCTGTGGAGCACCACTCTAGATGTCCCGATTTGTATGAAAGACAAGTGTGCCTACTACTCTTACAGTTGTGTTCCGGTCTAGAGCACCTAAAACCATATCACATCACCCACTGCGATCTGCGTTTGGAGAATCTTTTGCTAGTAGGCTGTCGGCCAAGCAAAAGCCTTCTGAACCCTGACTCAGTGGAGCTCAACCCCAGTGCTGCTTGCCCCACCCGGCTTTTGGTGAGCAATTTCTCCCAAGCCAAGCAAAAGAGTCATATGGTGGATCCGGAGATTCTGAAGGACCAGTCTCGCCTCGCCCCAGAAATCATCACCGCCATGCAGTATAAGAAATGTGATGAGTTCCAGACTGGCATCCTCATTTACGAAATGTTGCACCTGCCCAACCCTTTTGATGAGAATCCAGAGCTGAAGGAGAAGGAATACACTTGGGCTGACCTACCCCAAGTCCCTCGCCGGTCACTTTATTCCCTGGGGCTTCAGAAGCTGGCTGCTTGCCTGCTAAACCCCAACCCATCCGAAAGGATCCTGATCTCTGAGGCCAAGGGCGTCCTCCAGTGTTTGCTTTGGGGTCCTCGGGAGGATTTGTTTCAGAGTCTCAGGGCCTCTGCTAAACCTTCCCAAAGGGAGGCCGTTCTCCAAAACTGGCTGGACATCAAACGGACCCTGTTGATGATTAAGTTTGCCGAAAAGTCTTTGGACAAGGAATGTCAAGTCAGCCTTGAAGACTGGCTTTGTTGTCAGTATCTGGCTTTTGCCACTATAGACTCGCTCAGTCGCATAGTGAAAATTATGCGGCAGCATTAGTTGCCTAGAGTGGTTGCTTCACTTGGATAAGCCCAAATCCTTTCCTTGGCACAAAATTTCATGCTGGGTTAACATTCTTATCTAGGTCTTGAGGTCACCAGCACTGAGCAAACAGATTTCGACAGGAAGTTCCATTTCCAGTCTTGCACGCATGGGAGAGGTCTGAAAACCATCACACCACTGTGAGTGGGCGAGGAAGGTGAAAATGTAGTAAGGAAGTCATTATTTCTGATATGCCTGTTCTGAAGCAGAGTTGCTATAATGACTGAAAACAAATGAGTCATCCCCAATCGAGCACCAAAATCTAAAAAAAATATGACCTCCCAACCCTGTGATCTTTGTCAGTTTATCCCCATTTTTAATCCAATTTACTAGACACATTTCCTAGATGCGTAGCTTTTGCAGGATTTGGGAGGAAGGTCACATTCTTGATCTAGGGGAGAGGGCAGTGATTTAATGGTACTCACTGCCTCCTGAATAATTATCTTTATAACAGGGGAAAAAAAGGTTATAGAATTGAGGGATGGAAGAATAGGGGTGGTTTTCCCACTGAGTTATACCCCCTGTCCACACCCTTTCCCTGAGTTCTCTTTGTAAATGTATTTTTCCTTTATTTTGTCATTTTTTTAATCTGATTTTTCAGATTTAGTCATCACCTCAATATACTGCCAACTACTTCCTTTAATGCAGCGAGCAGGATCAGTTAAGATTATTGATGAAGTATTAACTCATAATGTTGCTAACTACGTGCAGCATAAGAACCTAAGGGCAACTGAAGCCCACACATATTTTTTTTAAAAAACTGTCCTCGTATTCTTACCCAGTTGATGTATATATTAAATCAAGGGCTGGTTGCTTTTTGAAAAGTATTCAGTATTGCACTGCCATTTTCCAAAGCAAAGTGAAAGCCAGCTACGCTGACAGCTGCAAATATTTCTTAAAGCTCAGCTTGGTGTGATAAGTAAGCTGCACAGCTAGAGATAGGCTTTCCACAGCCATGGTTCTCAGAAGGAAGTGGTCACAGGAACAAATACTCTGTGTGAGTTCCCTGAGAGCTGATTATTTGGGCAGACACAATTAAATTGTGCCCATTGCAGCTTCCTTTGGAATTGACTTCATAGCTGCTATCAGGATTTTTAAGTGATTACTTTTGAAATTCCAAAATTGTAGAGATATCACTGACCCTTGCTGATTCTGAAGATGTTTTTGCACATGAAGGTGACTTTAATGGAGAAATATGACTGGCTGAAGGTGTGTTTGGCCTTTAGACCTCTCGTCTGACTTCCTTAACCCATCACACTCGCCTTTTCCTGCAGAGGCAGTTTAATCCCACTGTATCTAATCTGTCTGCTCAGTATGGTTAGGGTTGCTTGAATTAGCTCTGAAACTGTGGAGCTGCTGACCAGTATTGAATTCCCAAATCTGGGGATGTTTGTTGGAACATGGATAGCTCTTGTGTTGAGCCTGTGCTTCTCTTCTGGATATATGTGCAATTTTTGGATATATTATATGAAAAACTGTTTATGTTTACGTTACACGACAGATGTAACCATATATTAGACCTGCCTTCCCTTTTTTTTCTTACAAGGCACATAGATGCACAAAGTTGTGTGTTATTTCTATGGATTGGTGTTTCTGTTTCTTTATTGTTAAACTGTGACTGATGTGTTTACTTCAGCCTTTGAGACAAATAGCCACTTTGAACAGAATATTGCAGGTTTGGACCAGAAATTAAAAGATAATCTGCAGAAACTAGATCTGACTCTAGGCTCATGGAGTAGAATGTGGCCCCTCACTTAATGGAAACTGAGCCCAGTATAGAATATGTCGTGGCTTCTTGAAATGTTTGAAATCTTTCTCCTTCCATATCATATTGGAGAAAGTTCGACTAGAATTCAGGACAATGTGTGTGAATGTTATATTACTTTAAAACAAAAGTGCAAAAATTGTTTGCATGTGAAGAGCCAGACACACTGGCCCCTAGAAGGTAAATTGTGAGTGTTGTACAATTGGCCACCAAAACAAGCATTTGCTATGAGTGCACTACAGAACTGTTCAGAGTGTCAAAAACATGAATTGTGGTCCTGCTTGAAATACTGTAAAGTGACTATATACACCTTTGTGAGCGTACTTTGCTCACAGCCTGCTGCCTGCTCTTCACGCTGGGCTTTTTCTCCAATTAGGTATGCTTCTAATTGATATATGCATGTACATAAACATTCATTTAGCTTACTTACTTACCACCATGGTAGGCTATATTCCGTAAGGCCACTTTACATAGTTTTGCGTGTAAGATAATTGCATTGTGTCCCTCTCATGTTGATATAACCTGTAAAATAGACTATTGAATGTTTTAAGATGGCCATGCATATTTTATGCAGCAGCTCCCAAATGTCATACGTTATCTTTCAGATATTATTAGCATTGTGCACTCCATTCAAGCAGAGGTATGTGCTCACTGCCATCTCCTTTTTATATAATACTAGCTGAACTTTGAAAATGAAGGATAGTAATGTGATTGCTCTGTATCGGTGAGTATTTGGGTGTATGTGAGTGTGAGAGGTGGGGGGAGGAGGGAGGGAGGGAGATGCAGAGGGATACGTAAAGATACAGTATAGCCGATGCTTCCAGATTTGGTGGACCCTGGGACTACTTTTGCAAACAATCCTATTGAAACCCAGTTGCCATATGGATATTCTGCCATTTAAGAGATTAGCCAGTCCAAACTGATGGACAAATAATAAACTGGAACAAAATGTTGCAGTATCATTTCTGAACAAAATGAAATTCTTCCTTGTTTGTATAATTAGCTGCTGTGATCATAAAGCATTAACTTAAATATAAACCTACTTTTACTACATTTTAAATACATGTGTTAATGGAGTGCAAGGGATTGTAATTTTCAAATAGCCATACTGACTGTAAATAGATATTTTTCTTACATAGATATATTTACAAATTGTAAATATATTTTTGGAGAGCTGCTGCTAAATTTATATTAGCACAATGTCTACAATTTTCCTAATGGCAAACAAAAATTATCTGAAATTCATTTTAAATTGAAACAGTTGAATACATCTTTCCTGGAACATTTAGTGTCATTAATCTTTTCTGGGGTAGCAGCCTGGATCAGTAATTAAGTGTGCTAAGAACATTGCCTCGTCACAGATATAAAGCTATTAAGAGGAGAATTCTGTGGTGGGAATTGCCCAGTGCCAGCTACGGATTTAATAATAAAGCCTATATTTTAAAAAAAAGAGAATAAAATTACCTGTTCTGCATGAAACTAACAATCTCACCAAAAGAGCACTATTTGGTTAAATAAATCCAAGAGTTCTATTGACATTATTGAAAAAGAAAATGAAATAGTAACATCTTCCAAATCTGCAATTTCTATAGAATAAAGCAAGCCACGGTTTTAAAATTTCTAGACAAAATAAAACTGGGGAAATTCTTACATTTTTCAGATGACAACCGATAGGGAAGACAAACTGCTGCTAATGCTGCTAAGATGGATCGGACCTTTATCTACCTTACACAGTGCTGTAAAACCTAAAATGTGAAGAGCAGCAAAGTTCAGAGAAGTGGCAAAATATTCAGAAGAAGCTGGAAGCAGAAAACTTGGAGTCATTAATACCTTTTCAATATTAACAAGGCCTGACTGGGTCCCCTTCCCGAAATGTGTTAAATGAGGCTTACAGCTTGCCTCGAGTGATAACTATGTCACAATTTTTATGTCTCCCAACCTGTTGCCCTGTTCAAGCATAGCTTTCCCCATACTGATGCCAAATCCCAGAATCCGTGGCCAGCATGATATCAGTTTTAAAAAAACTGCTCTAGCCCGATCAAGAAATGGCGCTCAGGATAGGCCACACGAGAACATAAATGTTTCTAAATGGCTTTGTTCTTAGCTGCTATCTAGCACTCCAATGCTCCCCAAAACACCCACCTTATAAAGGAACAGATGTAGTCTTGGAAGTATGGAATTGGAGAACTGAACATGGAAATAGTAGCATCTCCTCCATTTAGAATCCCCCTCTCCCGCCCTATAAATACTCTGCCTTTAATAATAGCACACGTTTTTGCAAGTATGTTTACACATTTCAAGAACAGGTAGTCCTAGACCACAATTGAGCCCAAAATTTCTATTGTTAAATGAAACAGTTGTTAAGAATCAATACAGTTGATAAGTTAGTAACCCGGTTAAGTGAATCTGGCTTCCCCATCGACATGCTTGTCAGAAGGTTGCAAAAGGGGATCACATGACCTTGGGGCAGAGCAACGTTCATAAGAACGAACCAGTTGCCAAGCATCCAGATTTTGTCACATGATCATGGGATTGCTACAAAGGTGGTAACGGTGAAAAACACACACAAATAGTTTTTTTTTGGTGCCATTGTAACTTTGAACAGTCACTAAATGAACTGGTAAGTTGAAGACTACCTGTAAATGCAACAAGAGAATTTCTGATTAATATTCACTGTACATTCAAGATATTGCTATTGTATATGGGCCTAATAAAACAGCCAGACCTCTGTCCAGTTTTACTAAAGTAGCATAATGATTGGTAAAAGCACGGGGAGAGCCAATTTGGCATCAGGCAAGAAATTGGGAGACAACTGAGTGACCTTGGGCCAGTCATTCTCAGTCCTAGGAAGGAGACAATAGCAAACAGCGTCTGAAAAACCTTGCCAAGAAAACTGGGGACTTGTCCAGGCAAGTCTTTGAAACACAATTGAATGAGGGGGGGAGGGGGGAGAAGCATGGGAGGGAAATTGCCTTGTTTTGTCCCATTGTACAAATGAATGTACTTCAAAATGCTTTGTGAATCTACTGATTTGAGCTACACTTAACTATTTGTATTGTAGGATTGCCATCCCTATACCCAGGAACTTTATTAAGAATTATGAATTCCTAATGACATTCTATCCTAACATTTCCCTTTCCATCCAACTTTTTGTTGGACAGCTGTTTGCTATAATGCTTGAAGCAAGGTAGAACAGGCGGAGGTTGGGAAAACTATCGCTGAACTTGTTCCAGAGTGCTTCCTTTAGCTTTGCACCGATGCTGGCTTCCAATTCCTTGACTGTTCCTCCAGTCCCGGAATTAAGAAAGTTTGATATATATTTTAATAATGGAAGGAAATTGTCAAGTGTCTATATTTTTATAAATGAATTCTACTGAACTATAAGCATAATCCAATTGGTTTTTATGCTAAGTGTATTATATATTTGAATATACGTTTCTTGAATTTTAAAAATTCACATAGTAGGCCTCTCTTTCAAGGTGTTTGCAATAGGCACCTCCAGAATCCAGCTGAACCTTCCTTAACCTGATGCTCAGAGATGCTGGAGCTGCCAGCTGGGGAATCTGTGATTTGTAGTCCCAACCAAGATGGAGGCTTCAGGCTGGGGAAGGGCTACTCCAGAGCAAACTCCTCTGCCAGCCTGCAGTTTGGTACATATTGTTACTGATGCAGATGGGCCTTTTCCAAAACGATGTTTCCAATGTACCATTTGTTGACTTGAATTCAGACTTGGAAAGGTTTTTATCCTGAGGTGGTTTTGTGCGTGTGATTTTTTTTTATTATTATTAATTACATTGAGCATTATGTGAAAAGATCTGTTTTACTTTTATTTGGGAAGACAAAAGTATTTGAAGCCAAAAATTCCTATTCAAATCCAGTTTTATATGGTATTTCTTTTCCAGTGCCTAAAGGATGGGGAGGGGGGGGTAAGGTTCTGTGCCCCTTCAGCAAATCATTGTATTTGGAGTTCACTGCATTGCTCTGTCGGGTGCTTCATCATAATTTATATTTATCTATTCTTATAGCTATCTTATACCGGTTTTGTGTTCAGACGGCAGTTACACTTTGCTGTGGTACTTTGCAGTGTACTCTGTGACATACATGTTATTATGTAAATAAACCAGTTTTATTACGCTGAAAAATCCAAGCATAGCATTCCTTTCATTTTCTTATCTTGATGATTTTAATATAAAGGAATTTAAACTCCTGTACAAGGCTCTCTTCTTTTAAGGATTCCTTGGTAAAAAACACAAAGAACTTTTATATCCCATTTCCTCAATCCAGATGTTCTTTATGTGCTAGAACCCTGGCTGCAAAAAAAGCCTCTTGCTTGCATATACAGGTGGTCCTCGTTTAGCAGCTACAATTGGGGCCAGCAACCCGGTTGTTAAGTGAAGCAGTCACTAAGTGAAACTACAACTGTATTTATAATCTTCATCTGCTTTACAGCCCTGTGAAGTTGTAAATGTGAGGATTGGTTGCAAAGTTTATTGTTACTGCCATAACTGCAAATGGCTGCTAAAAGAAGACTACCTTACCTGTACATTATAGTCATTAATGGCTGGTGATTAATACGTTGCTCTAGGCTTGAGAGTCCTCCCATCTTCCTGTGGGCATTCATTGCATATCTCACTCTTGACTCACATAGTTTAGAGGGGGATGCTTTTCCTGTGGGGAGGAAATAAGAAATCCCCATCAATGCTGCGTTTTAAGCCCCAAAGAAATGGCCAGATATAAGAACAACAACTATATTATGCTTAGTTATTCCCATCTTTCCCCAGCCAGAAAACATGCAGTGAAAGAAAGACTTAAATCATTTACTTTTTAAATCCTTTCTCAGTTATGCACCAGGTAGCATCTTTAGATGTTTCAGCTTTTCAACTTGGTTAGATGGCTTTAAAGTAGGACAGGGAGGGGAGAGGCTGAGATAAATGCAAGACAACTGAGGAAATTCCAGGTTTGCAGGGAGTGGACCACTACATCTAACTTGCTGGGATCAAGGCAGAAGTTCACATTTTTATTCTAAGCTCTGAGGTTTTTTTTAAAGGCATCTGGCTACCAGCTAAAGTTGTTGGGGGGGGGTTGTCTGGGTGTTGCTGCAGTGATTTTTATTTTGAGCAAACGAAGTTTTGGGAAGAATTCTCAGCCCACTTTCAATCTGGCCCTTCAAAATGTAATGGGCCCAAGTGGAAGGGTTTTCCTTGCAGAGAATTTCCTCCAGCATCTCACAGCTATGAACCTTCCCTGGGACATGCTAAAATCTGGAATAAGAAATTAGTCAAGCACATCAGATTTAAAGGATGAAGCCTCCCCTGTTCCCCATAGCAATGCAGCATCTCTTCTCATTTTGACATATCTAGGTTGCACCCATTTTTGATCCACTGGGTGAGATTTTAAACTTTGCTTTTTTGCTTCGCTTTTTTTTTTCCCCTGAGGGAAAGAAGAAAAATAACCCTGAAGCAAAAAGAAAGTAATCATGCTGGCTGGGGAATTCTGGGAGTGTTATCTTAAAAAGTTGCCAAAATTTGAAAAATACTGCACAGCTATAAAAATACTACCCCCATGCTGTAGAAAGCAAGAAAGGAAAGGCTTAATGACACTGGTGATTAAGCCAAGGATCATAATATGCTGCCCAAATTCAGGAGGGAACATAATTTTAACTTTCATCCGCAATTAGTATGAATTGTTTTCCTGTTTTCTATTTCTACCTGTTGAAAAGAACAGGCAACTCATTCAAACCATAATCCAAAATGTAGTTAGGCAAGATTTCTTGTATGTGTTTAGCTGCATTGAAATATAGCTGCTGTTGTGATTTGTTTGCTTTTAAAATTCACGTTCCTGCCAAATGTATTGACCGGGTGCCATCTAGAGGACGCAGAAGGAAAAATCCCTGCCCCACAACACGCTTTTCCTTTTCCTATTTTGGTGTGAACTTTTATTTAACAGAAATACACCTTGTGTATCTACCTTGTTAATTTGCTCAATTTATCTTTGTTCCTCTTGTTAACCTTGACTGCAGACATTTGTTATGTTTCCCTGTTGGGAAGTTTGATTTTTGTTCTATATTTTTAACTGCAGCCTTCCGCCCTTCCCTACTGTTGGAAGAAATGTCCATCTGGGTTCAGTTCCAAGTGGGAAGAAAGACACTGGAAACATGGAGGCTGATTGGAAAGATGGTTTACTTTAAATGATGAAGCAGAACCACCAAGCATGTGTGATTCTGGGTAGCTGACCACCTGGTTTGATGATCACATGGATTTTTATACAGTTTGTTCTACAGCATTTTGCTTGTTTTTGTGTATTTTGTTATTTGATTTTAATTAGTTTGTCTCGCGAAGGCCAAGCCGGCAATGAGTTGGGGTTTTTAATCTTGTTTAACAAATGTAATTAATCCTCGATGCTGGCTTCCTTGGGTTTTAATCTTGAATGGATTACCAAACCTGCATTTGTAAAAGTTGGCCACTTAGTTTCTACTTGGGGCAGAGAACTGAGGCTCTGAGTTTCTATCTTTAGAAACATGTTTCTCCTTTAGGGAAAATATAACAATCTGCCTTTTTAATATTTCCTAAAGTATTTCATTCTTCTAAGAGCGGGTGGGTGCTAATTTCCTTCACTACCCATTTCTGCATACATTGATGGAGTACTGAAACATTGCAAACAGCTTTGCAATCTTTGAAGGGTTCATTCCTACAGAAAGAACTGTACCCTTTTCCCAACATAGATATACAGTATATGAAAATACCTCCACATTCTTTAAAATATTTAATTCAGGGCCTTATAACCCAGCAGGTATTTTTCAGAGAATACATCTGCTTTGATTTCTGGTCTGTTTGTAATATGGTAAATAATATTAAGACAGCCTAAGATCCCAGCTTTAAAACAAACGAAACACATTTTGTAGTATTGACTCATGACATATTTTTTTTTCTTTAGAAAAGTAGGTCAAGCAGCTAAAAATATAACTAATGAGAAGACTCCCAACAGGACCCTTTCCTGTTTTTATTTTTTTTAACTTGTCAACTTTTATTGTCAACATCACGCACAGCAGTCGGAATCGCTTCATACAAGCTATACCTCAAATTCTGCCTCTCCATTCTTGACAGAAGAGTACATCCTATTCCTCTTTTATTTAAATGTCAGCTTCCTCTTGGCAGTAATCAGATTATCCCATAATCACTTGCTCAAATCTGTCAGAAGTAATTAAAACACAGGCTATATGCTGTATCCCTCCCACACACGCACACCTTTCCTGTTTATAAACCATTTGATTCTTAATAATTCAAATGGTTTAAGATTGAAATAAACGGGAGATAAAATTATCCAGTGAATAAATTTAAATTTGGAAGTAGAATTTGTGGGAAGCCACATGCATCTCCGATGGAAGCTGTGAAGGTAAAATGTTCTCTCTTTTTTTTTTAAGCCTTGTTTTCCTAAATAAAAGAAATAAATAACCCATGGGTGGAATTACACATGATTATTAAGCTATAAATCCCATGGGTCATTGGGAATCTGATCTAAAGCCAGCTGGTATTTGGAAGGTAGCAAACTGTAGCAGGCGAACCGTGGCTCGCTCTGCAGCTTTTGATTCCATCAGTCAGCTAACTTGCTAAACTGGTTTTGCAGGTTGGATAAAGCATTGCACTGGTTTCGTTTTTACTGCGGGGTGGGGGTGGGGGGGCAGTTTCAGAAAATTTGCACAGGGTTTTAACCCCCTGACATTTGAGCTCAGCCATCCTAGCAGGAGAGCCCTCTCAATTCAACATCCCCACGTTCCAAAGGAAATCCAGAGGGAACTGCAAGGCTGAACACCAGTTAACAGGGCTAACCAGCCAGAAGAGCCTGTTTCCGTCCCACTATTTGACCTCCGTGTCAAATCGGAAGATGAATTAGGAGAATCTTCATCAACTCCAACGCGGTGGACTTGTTTACTTTCCCCTTTACACCCAAAATCCATCTTAAGTTGTGTTTTAATACCAAAGACGACGATTTAAGCAACTCTTGGACAATTTTTTTTTAATTGAAAAAAGAAAACCTCATCCATTTGTCACCCAGGACATTTCAGTTGGCAGATCTGTGCTGTTGAGGTCTGTTGTGCCTTGCCTCCTTGTGATAAATGTTAATTACATGACTCGGTTGTTTAAAATATATATATTCTTCCTCTCCGCTACGAGGCTTCTTTTCCTGTACAGCATTACATTTACGCATTTTGTTGTGCTTGGGGAATAATCCATCAAAGTGCAGGAGTGGGATTATCCCCTCGGACATATTTTAGATGCAGTCGAGCCCCTTGAAAAGAAACAAAATGAAAAGCGGAGGGAATCTTGGCATCCAGTGCTGTGAATCTTGGCAGATCTAATGTAATGCCCCCTCCCCTGGGGGTGGGTGGGGGAAAATTTATTCTTCTTTTCCCAGTTTACCCCCCTCCCGGGATGGCAACAGATCAATTTGCAGCTCGCCTTCTCCAAGCAACCCTTCCCAATAGGGCCGAAGACGAGAATTCTCTCAAAATTCTTAGCGAAAAGAAAATTTCAACTCTTGTGCTTTATTCTTTTCATTACAAAAGATCGTTTCAGCAAGTAGCAACCCTCACAAATCTGTGTGCATCAGTCCAGAGGCCACTGTATTAAAAAAAAGTGTGCGGGTTTTTTTTGACACCAAACATTCCATTTGTGAGCTTCGAAAGGCAGTTTGAATAAAACTGTCATTTATATCCACAGCTATTGGAATACAAATTGAGGCATGAAAATATAGGATTGGGCCACCATGACTTTAGGTATAATCAAATCCTACTTTCTTTCATTTTGAGGGGGGGCTACATCACAGCCATTTGTGTTCCATGGGGTGTCTGTAGTCAGTTTACATTTCCAGACCAAATCACAAGCCGAGTTTGCCCACGGCATGGAAACCACCTGTTAAGTTTTCCCAAAAGTGCTTTTTCAAGAGGCAACTGGACTTTCTGGTTTTTCTTTGAAGACGTTTCGCTTCTCATCCAAGGACCTTCACCTTTCTTAACAAGGTTTGCTGGCTAAGATACCATTCCCGAGTTGACATTTTATGCTTGGTGTGCGTGGCTACAAGCCTGGTTTATCAGTCCGTCCGTGTCGCCTCATGGCTTGTGATTTAGCAGACTTTTATTTTTGCTTTCCAAGGAAGGAAAATAGTTGTTGCATTTTCCAGTTGTTGCTGGAGAAGGGCAAGACAGGGAAGCCCTCATTCGGAGATGCTGCAGCGGAGTAGGGAAAACTATTATTACAAAATTGGTTTTCAATCAAAGGTGAACTCCACCTCCCAGAATTCCCCAACCTGCTGGGGAAAAAAAATCACTCTGCTGCCCCTCCTCCGCAACACAACCCAGATAAGATGCTGCCCTTCGCAAAACTCCCCAGGGAATGACCCAAAAAAAACCCCACCCCAAATCCTATTCCAGCTTGGAATGCTGGGCGTTGCAGTCCCAGCCTCTCCGGGGCCTCCAAAAGCAGCTTCCATTCCTCCGGACTACAATTCCCAGCAGCCCTCGCGCGGCCCCGGCGCCGTCTCCGCATCACGTGGGGAGCATGACGTAAAGGCGGGGCCGCCCTTCGCGTCGCAAAACCGTGACGCGGCCATCGGCCATGTTTTAAGTCCCTGGCCCTCCCTCCCTCCGAAGCGGCTCCGCCTCCATCCGGGTCCTTGGGCAGGGGTGGAGCTTGAGAGCGGCGGCGGCGGCTGAGGCGCTGAGGCGGCCCGAGCGGGGCGGGAGGCCGCGGGACGGCGGCGGCCATGGGGCAGTGCGGCATCACCTCCTCCAAGACCGTCCTCGTCTTCCTCAACCTCATTTTCTGGGTAGGCCGCGCCAGCCTCCCCTCCCCCATTCCTTTCTTTCCTCCCTCGCGCCCCCCCCCTCCTTGAGGGGACTAGGCCTCACTCGAGCCCGCGCCTCAGGTGGAGGGTCGGGGGGCGGCCTCGTCTCCCTTTCAACCCACCCACCCCCACTTTCTCGGGGGTTTCTCCTTCCCGCCGTCGGAGGGGTTTGGAACCGGGGGCGACCCCCCCCACCCCCACCCCGCTCTTTCCTCACGGGGGAGTGGGGGGGGGGAAACCCGGGCCAGGGTCGACCTCTGGGGGATAAAGAAGGCCCGGGGGTCCTCCCTCCCTCCCTTAATTGGAGATGGGAGACAGGAGGGTCCTATTGGGGGGGTCCCATAAGAGGGGGAGGGGCGGGTTGACCCTTCTTGATTCCCCCTCAGTTTCTCTCTCTTCCCCCCCCCCTCAGAAAAGTGGGGTGTTGCCAGCCTTTCTTTCCTTTTCTGAGTTCATCATTGCTGGATTTATAGGGTGGTGCTGGATGTGAGATGCCCAGAATTGGCTTTATTTAAAAGGCGGGGGGGGGGGGAAACTGTAGCCAGGTTTTAAGTAAGTAAGTAAGTAAATAAATAAATAAATAAATGGGGGGTGGGTAACGTAGGACTGGGAGGGAGGAAAGAAGCCCTGGGTATTCCCTTAAGAAGAGGGGTGGGGGGTTTCCCCTGAGAGTCTTCCTGTAGGAAGGAGGTTTGAGTTTGACCCTTCTAAATGCCCTCTTTGGATCCCCTCCGACACTGGAGAGGGTGTTTTTCTTTTCTTTTCTTTATTTTTTCCCCCTTTTTTCTTTTTTTTTGGGAGGGGGAGTTCATGGTTGCTGGGTTTATATAACCGGCAAGGTTGTGAGCCGCACAGAGTTGTATGACCGGCCGCCTATTTATAGACTGAGAGAAAAGATGGCTGCAGCCATGTTTTAAGCAAAGAAAAAATAAATAAATAAATAAATAAATAAATACAGATCCAGGCCATCCCTGCTTTCACAGCGTTGGTGGGAGGGGGAGGGGGAGAGAGACAGACAGATGGATGCTGGGATCGTAAATTGGCCGACACATAAATTTAATAAACATTCTTATTTTTTGTGATATGCACCTTTTCCTAAGGCAGTCGGAGGCGAGATCGCACCGGTCCCGTCCCCCCTCCAAAGTCACGGATGGATAAATCATTGTGTCCTTTGATTGTCGTTTTGAATCATGTTGGGGGATGCCATAAAGAAAGAAAGGGATCCCCCCTCCCCTCCTTGGGGAGGCATCTGGAGGAATTCCCCCATACTTAACTACCCAGTGGCTCCGGCCCAGTTTGTGACCCCCAAAACACAGGATGCTGTCTCTGGAATGGGAGTCACAGAACCCAGAAAATGAGAGCAGGAAGGTCTGATGTGCAAACCTCAATTTCTTACAGGAAGGATCCCAAAGGATCTTCCTGTTCCAAAATGGTGAGCTCAGATGTGATTTGAGAATTGGACCAAGGATAAAAAAAAAAAAAAGACAACCCCTCTTTTCTTGGTTAGGTCACCCTCTCCTCAAACAAGATCCTTGTCTGCTTTTAAGAGCAGGGTTCCCACTGGGCTGAAAGCCTCTTTAAGGCTGCAGGGGTGCTTAGCCCTGCATTCAGTGCATCCTTAAATAGATCAGCCGGTCTCCAGCTTTAATCTGGCCTCAGTTTCCAGCTTTAATCTGGCCTCGACAGTTCTGGGCATGCATGGCGTGGGGGTGGGGTGTGTGTGGAAGGAGATGAAAGGGTTTGGAAAGAGAATGGAAAGGCTCAAAAGGCTGTCTTTTCTTCAGGGGCTCCTTTCATTGTGGCAGCAAGACAGCCATCATTCAGGGTGGATTTAATTTAGAGTCCTGCAGCGTGGAGTTCGGGGTGCTGGTCATATTGATAGTCTAAATGGCTCTTTGTTATTCTGGAAGGAAAATTCAGAAGTCTCCATAATAGAATATTTGTAGCTCAGGTTTGAAGTGAAGGGTCCTTGGTTTCTCTCTGAGCTTGGTGGTTTTCTTGCAGATGTTTCATTATCCACTCTAGGTAACATCATCTGTGCATCAGAGTATTGATGATGTTCTCTAGTTTGAGTCATGCAACCTCTGCAAGAAAACCACCAAGCTCAGAGAGCACCAAGGGCCCTTCATTCAGAAGTCTGGTAGCACATTTTGGGACCTTTTACTAAATGGTGTAAGTTTTTAAAAGCTGTAGCTGACTTCATTGGATGCAGAGACAGATAATGTGAGCTGCAAATCACAGAAGCCGATGCCTTTTAATAAAATGTGTTAGTCTGAAAAGGTGCTGCCAAGACTCCTGACTTCTTTGTGATCATAGGCTCACAGGGCTGTATGTAGAAGGTCGCAGAAATTGTTAAAGAGCAACTAATTGAAAATTGCTATGTATGACACTAGAATAGAATAGAATAGAATAGAATAGAATAGAATAGAATAGAATAGAATTCTTTATTGGCCAAGTGTGATTGGACACACAAGGAATTTGTCTTTGGTGCGTTCGCTCTTAGTGTACATAAAAGATACGTTCATCAAGAATCATAAGGTACAACAGTTAATGATAGGCATAGGGTACAAATAAGCAATCAAATCATACTAGGAAACAGTCAGTATAAATCTTAAGGATACCAGCAACAAGGTCACAGTCATACAGCCATAAGTGGGAGGAGACGGGTGATAGGAACAATGACAAGATCACAAGAGTATATTTTCTCCTAGTTAGTAATGTCATTTGAACTTTACACTATCCCAGAGAGACTGCTGTGATCCATACTATTTGTATGATTCTCATTTCCTAATTTCCTTGCCATTTTAGAGGAACCGTGTACTGTATAAGGAGCGGAGAAAAACGGTTGAATAGTAAACAGTGCTATCAAAGCTGGCAAGGAAGGCGGATCCCCTTCTGTGAATCCATCTGGGCCTCGCCCATCTAGCTTCGCATCTTGGCTCCAGCTTTTCTTTCCTCAGTTTGGAGACCAGGAACCCACTGGTGGTTGCTTAGGAACAGATAACTTCTGGGGTTAATCCCAGCCTAGAGAAATATGAATGGATGAAGGGCCAGCACAGATCACATTTCTCAAGGATGGCCACCTCTGCCGCTTACACAAGTTCCTTCCAGACAAATTTCGGTTTGTTCCTTGATATTTCAAAATAACTTGAAATAGAAATGTTCTGCATTTGTAGAGCATATTAAAGTAGTGCGTGCAGGTTAGTACAGCAACAATGCAGTTAAGCTGGAATAGTAGAGGAGAGGAAGAGCATCGTGTTATGAACTTGGGAGTAGCAAGAGCTGATTGCGTGAGAGAACATAGCTCCAAACCGTGATAGTAAACACAGTGCAGACTTTTGGAGCTGATGAGTTGGAATTTAATTCCTGCCATTCCAGATTCATTCTCCCAGCTGTTTTAAAAATAGACCTTAGAAAGGGGGGAAAGAGTGCCTTAATGCTATACAAACAAAAATATTGCTATGAGTAATGCTTATTTGTTGATTATAAAAACAGTTGTTGCTAGTGTCCAGCTTTTTCAGTGATAAATGTTTATTCCCATAGATAGACCCCTTATTTGTATTGATAACTAAATATCAAATAAAGACTTAATTGATCTTCTAGTTTCTTTGACTGCACTTTTGAAATGCTATAAAATGCATTGGAAAGGAGCTCTGGCAGCACCTTACTTTTATCTTCACGAGGCTCTTAATTATATTCATTGGTTGGATTTCTATTCCATCTTATCTTCAGGACTTCATGGTGATCTACAGATCACCTCTTCCTCCAGTTTTTCCGTGTAACAGCCCTGTAGGTTGGGCTGAGTGAAAGCGACTGGTCTAAAGTTAGCCAGGACCTTCCATGATTGAAGGGGACATTGAAACCGTGAACCCTTCTAATTCAACATCATTGCTGTTACATCACACTGATTCTTAACGATGCCCTTATGTAAGATTAGTCTGAACAGATTTTTTAAAAATTCCCTTTAAACGTAATGTGGACTATGTTCTAAGTATGTCGGATAAAGGCAATTAAACCTGGTTTGCAACCAAACACACATATTTGAGATTCGAGCTACATTCTCTAGAACAGTGGTCACCAATCGGTGGTCCGTGGACCACTGGTGGTTGGTGAGAAAATTTTGTTGGTCCGCAGAAAAATTATTTGCATTTTTAATATTGCACTAAATCAGGGGACCTCAAACTACGGCCCCTGGGCCAGATACATGCAATGAACGCTTGTGTTGCTTCAGGGAGTCTCCCCCTTTGGGGTCTTTGTGTGGGTTGGAGGGGGGCAGAAATTCCAACTTGGGGTCTGCTTCAGCCTCCGGGTGTGGGGCTTTGGGCGAAGGCTGGAAGGAAGTGCCACTGGTGATGAAGAGCCAGAGGGTCTGGTTCCAGTGGATTGCATCATGGCCTGGAACTGGCTGACCATCTCAGCCCTCTGAGCCTGGTCACTCCCGCAGGTCTTCCCTCTGCTTGGAAAGCCTATGCTCCTAGTCCTCAGTGAGGTGCTTCTGCTGAGCCTCCTTCTCGGTCAGATCCAATTTGAACTGAGCTGTTTTGCCAACTCTTTCTCATGGTGGCTGCTTAGCTCCAACAAGCTGGAGTCCGGGCTGGCAGGCGAGAAGTGGCTAGAAGGGGAGGGGCGAGTAGAGGCCGTCGAGGCACCCCTCAATGTGAGTGACATCAAGTTGACCATGCCCACCCAGTCCCATGACCACCTAGCCACGCCCACCCAGCTGGTCATTAGGCAGATCATATTAGTGGTCCGCAGGATTTAAAATTATGAATTCAGTGGTCCCTGAGGTCCGAAAGGTTGGTGACCCCTGCTCTAGAACAGGGATCTCTAACCTTGGCAGTTTTAAGACTTGTGGACTTCAGCTTCCAGAATTCCCCAGCCAGCCATAATGGGGATAATGTTGAGATGTTAAGATAGCATTATGAAACACCCAAACATTTCTTTTGTATGATTGTGTAATTTTGGCCTCCTTGGTAAGGCTTACGAACAAGATTTGTGTGCTTTGCAAAAATGAAAAAATAACTGCACATTCAGCAATTACTCTCTTAAGTGGAAACGCATGTGATTTTCTGATTTGTTCTGTTTTTTGTTTTTAGACCACGAAGGCAGTTTTGGACAGAATTGTCATAAGCTAAATGAAATTTCATATGCTGAACAAATGTTTAATGCTATAAAAACTAGGCTCGCTGTGCTTTAAGAACTAAATAAGGCTGTGAGCAGAAAGTACTTTTAGGTGTTCTTAAATCATTCTGAAAGTGCTAAATGGTACCTTTCTGTGAGGATAGTTACCAAGGGTGGCCTATAATATAGATTTTCCTTCACGGAGTAGTTTATTTACTAGAAAAACAATGACCGGGGCATTTTTCTAAGTTCATTTTCTGTGACACTAGTATTCCTGAAATGAATTATATGGTATAATTCCCAGGGAAATTCAGAAATGCTTGAAGTAGCAGGCACATATCACCAATATCAGTTAAGGATTTTTTTTTTTAAATGCCACATTAAAACCTAATTACTTCTGCTAATTTTTCACATAGCTTGCCAAAATGTGTGAAAACTAGACTTTTGAATGAAAATATAGTAATGTTAGAATCATTCAGCCATTACAATTACAGTTCAACTGCTTCTAAGTGGAAGAAATAACAGGACTAAGAGATAGTGAAATTGATTGCTAAAGATTGGAAACATAAAGATTCAGATCACTTCGTTTATAGAAGTCACTGTGGCAAAATGTGATAAAAGGAAATGAACAATGAATGATAAGACACACAAATTCTTTCTCATTTTTCCTTGTATCTAATGAAGTGGGCTGGGACCTGGGGAAACGTCTGTAAAAATAAATCGTTAAGACTTTAAGATGCCACAAGATTTACAGTGCTTCCCTGCGGGAATCTTTTAATTCTTTTGAGTAATGATGGCCTGGATATACAATTCTGTAAAAGTAATAGAAACATGTAACAGTTGTAAAAGGAGATTAATGAAATGGAGCACAGATAGGCCTGTTAGCATGATATTGAATTATCCGGTGCTGGGAGGGCCAGTCTTCCTTTTGAGGGTTAGGAACAGCTGTGGAAAAACTCACTTGTCTTGATAGCATCCAATAGGACCCCTCTTTATATTAACAAATGTGTTAATATAAAGGAAGCACGTTCCCTCCTAGCCTTTTACCGGTCAACGTGCCTAAGATTGGACCCAAAGTGTTGGGGGCCATATGCTGACTCTGTAAACCGCTTAAAGAGGGCTGTAAAGTGGTATATAAGTCTAAGTGCTATTGCTATTTTATTTCATTTTATTGTTTCATAAAAGAAGCATGTTCCCACCTAGGCTTTCATCGATCAGCATGCCTAAGGTCTTATTTTATTTGTGTTGTTAACATTTTTATTGAGGTCTTATTTTATTTGAACATAGGTTTTAACAACGTGGCCAAGTTACTTCTCATATAGCGTGTAACAAAATTTGAATTGTGCCTGAGCCACTTTGAGTTGCCGTTTTCTAGAAAAAATATATATATAAATACTGTCACATGTATGTACCTCAATTCGCCACGGGACGAAAGCCTACGTCTGCATTAATACACAGGTTTCATTGGGCTCCAAACCCATGAATTATTACTAGGTAGAAACTTGAGAACTGCTACTAATGTTCTCACCCAACGGAATTTGAACCCGGTTTTGGAGAGTCCTTAATTGGGAACAATGGGCCATAGTTGCTTGAAATGCATCAGTAAATGTGTTGATCTAAGCATTTCTCCAGATACTTTTTCATGGCCGTTTCGAATTGCATAACGGTCTTGGAAGGTACCAGGGACCTGGCAGTGCTGAAGATTCAGCGCTCAGATTTCAAAGCCACGTGACGGAGCATAGCAGAGAATAAGGGCATTGTTAAGGCCTCTTCACTCTTCACTGCGTACCTTTCTCTCTCATTTTGCCCCACGTCTCCTCTGCCACACATTGGGGCGCTTTATGTCGGCCCTCAACAAAGTGGGCCTTTCTTGAGAGAAATACCTTTGTAACTGATAACTCTTCTGACCGATGTTGATGATTTCAACCCTCTTTTCCAGTCCTGGCGTTCAAAAACGTTGCGTTTTGGAACGCCAGTTGCCGAGAAAGACAGTGAAAGACTGTTTTGTGCATTGGCTTTCCAGAAACTGGTCAGCCACATAAGGAAAACTAAATACTGACCTGGCTAGGCCTTTGGTCATGTCCAGAAGAATTCATCTTCAGGACCATTTTATTTTTTTTTATTTTCAAATAACACCCTTCAAGTAGTTCAGAGGCACAGAGATAGGAGAGTTCGTGAGTAGGATACATTACGCCCAGTTGTAAAATAGGCGAACAAATGTGTATGCGTTTGTTAGAAACAAATGAAAGGTTTTCCATACAATGCTCTGATTACAGTACTGCATTAATGCAAAGTCACCAATTCTACATCTTTTTCAGTTGACCTGATGTTAAACCGAGAATATTTTGTTAAATGTGCATTATTTATATAATGTTACACAGTGAATTGCTTATTTTTTTCTTCTAATGAATTATAATAAATTAGGACTTGATAAGTGAGACTTTCTCTGTGATAGTAAAAAAAAAAAAAAAATACAGGTATGTCATTAAAGTACAGAAGGAAGAGAGGAGACTGCTCCAGAATCTTTCTAGCCTTTCCTTCTTTTTCCCCCTCACTAACCTGCATCTCTAATGATGAGGGAGATGAGATCATTAACAAGCTATTTTTGTGCTCTGTTGCTAGGCAACCGTTAATAATTATAGTATTCCCCATCCCTTGGCTGGTTCTCGACTCCCAAAAATCTTAAAATGCTGCACTCCAAAAATTTGAATTCCTTGGCTGACTCCGTAGAAAAACCATTGGCTAATGTACTAATTCGTGCTCATGGGAATGGGTCCATTCCATTTATGTCACTGTCACGATACTATAAATAAAAAGAGAGATTAAAAGCCTCATCAACTGATTCACGACTGATGAATCATTGCTGAGTTAATCTTTGATCCTCGCTTAGCCACCACACATTGGAAGCCGCTGCACCTTAGTTGACTCACACAGAACGCACAGGCTTGGCTTGGCTTTTGGGTTTGGCTTTACTGAATTGTGTTGTGCAAACTTAGTGATTGTAGCTCATAAAAGAGCACTTGATGATTATTTGTGCCAGTCAACTGTTGGTTTATTCAATAAACAATTAAGTTGTGGCATAACGTGTATGAGCACAGCCTAAGTTGGAAAACGGCTTCCTCCATCTGAATAACATCTGGAGTCATTGGCAACAGATCTAAGGCTTAACTGGCGGATTTTTCCCAACCTGCCTGGTCCAGGATCTGATTCTGGAACTATATACATGCTAGTTTATACAAGCCTACGCACCCTGATTGTTGATAAGCATTTGGACGAAGTTGGTGGGGTGATTTAACTCTTGAAAGTTCTCTACCACAGGGGTCTCCAACCTTGGCAACTTTAAGCCTGGAGGACTTCAACTCCCAGAATTCCCCAGCCAGCAAAGCAAAGCTGGCTGGGGAATTCTGGGAGTTGAAGTCCTCCAGGCTTAAAGTTGCCAAGGTTGGAGACCTCTGCTGTACCATATAGGGAAATGAAATGTTGTTACTTTAATATTGTTTTCTGCAAATAGAGCCCCGTGTGCTTTTGATTCCTTCCCAGGACAGAAGAAGAGGGTGGTTTCCCTTCAAACTTACTTTGAAATTAGTGGTGTGAATTTTAAGTCTACTCCTATCCTGGCTTCAGTAAAAGACAAAGGGAACCAACTTATTGTTTTTCCTTGGTTTGAAAAGTTACTTACTCTCAGTAGTTAGGGTAGTAACCACTTAGGTTGTGTGTCCTTATTGCCACGAATATTGAATGAAAAATGAAACGTAGGACTATCTGTTCCTGGGATCTTCGTGCAAATTCAAACAAATAGCCCATCGTTACCGTCACATTTAACCATCAGCTTGTAACTTTAAGCAGGCTGTACTTGCCACTATGGATATAATGCGAATTACAAAGCATGGAACAACAGGAGAACTCTCCTCCCCGCCCCCCAAATCCCAAACTTTAGTTTACAAAACCAGAAAGGCCAGCCCTTGTGATAGACGAAGGGGCATCTTCCAAGTGGCTCTTATTTTTCTTACGCTTTGTTTTCTAGGCTGCTGCTGGCATCCTGTGCTACGTGGGGGCTTACGTCTTCATCACCTACGACGACTACGACCATTTCTTTGAAGATGTTTATACGCTTATCCCTGCAGTGGTCATCATAGCGGTGGGGACCCTTTTATTTATCATCGGTCTGATTGGCTGCTGTGCCACAATCCGGGAAAGCCGCTGTGGCCTCGCCACGGTAAGTTTAATATCGGGAAGCCAATTTCCTCTTTTTATGGGCTTAACTATTTCCTGGACGGACACACACACACCCCAACTTGACTTTGTAAATTGTATTTGGCCTGTGTGAAATACACAACGTCGGCTCCTGCAGCTGACTGTAACTTGGTTAAAGCAGCAGAATGGTGCATCTGATACCAAAGACCTCATTAATGGGCAAAGCATCAGCCTGCCTGCAAAGCGTATCAGATTCCATTCAGGTATCTCTAGTTCAAGTGGGGGGAAAAAAACCTCTGAAATGCTAGAAAGCCATTATAGATTAATGTAGGCAGTCCTGCACTGTTCTGCCCCCCTCCCCCTCCCCCGACAAGTTAGTCAGCCTTTTATGTTGTCCTTGCGATATGAATAATAAAACAGCCCCCCTTTTTTAAAAAAAAGCAAAGCAAAAACAAGAAGCAAAGCTGTTTTTATCAGTTCTTTAGATGATTAATACATAAACGCTTTCAAATATCTTAAGAACTTGGTCCTATAAAAGAGGTTTGTAAACAGAGGTTCCTTCGTGATAAAGTCACAGAAATAAGAACATGTGAGGAATTGGGCAGACGATTGACGATTAGGAGCCCGGTTAGCAGCTTAGCTTCTTATGTTGTCACGCTGGCTTCCTGATCAGTAGAAGCAGCCTGATAAATCCCTGGCTCTTATTCCCCATCCCGTTGGCTTCCTAGGTAATACTACAGCCTGCTCTCGCTGTGTCATTTTTAAGTTGAAAGATACTGTTCAGCTAGAGACTGCCTTTGTCTGCCTTTGTCCCTCACTTGAAGGGAATGGACCAACAGCCAAAATAGCAATGCGTTATATTGTGTATATTCTTGTGAGTGAACATAAACTTTATTTCTGTCTTCCAGTTTGTGATCATCCTTCTGTTGGTTTTCATCACAGAAGTGGTGGTAGTGGTTCTAGGCTACATCTACAGAGCAAAGGTAAATAACCTCTCCTCTGAAGTACTGATACATAATTGGCTATGGTAAGCTTTATTCACTGGGTTGATACCAGCTGCGGTTCTGTGAAGCAAAATTGTGAGAAGTTATTGGATGAAATTAAAAGCCGCACGCCTCTTCAGAAGCCATCCAAATCCTCAAGAGTGAAATAATGTTGTAAACCCAGCGGTTGAATGCTTGACACGAGGGTTAAAAATACAGATTTTCCTTCCCCCTTTTTTTAAAAGTCTTAAAAGTCCTGCAGAAAATGTTTGTTAAAGCTCTGAAATAAATCCTCGGGGACTTTGGTGCTTTTGTAAGGGTATCTGGGAACATAGAGACTTTGACCAGCTTCAGAAATTTAGCAACATGGATAGGAGAAAATAGCCAGGATTCAACTCATTTGTCCCTCTGGACCAGGGGTGTCAAACTCGATTTAATTGAGGGCCGCATCAGGGTTGTGTTTGACCTTGGGGGTGGCGGGGGGTGGCCAACTTGACGTCACTTGCGTTGGGGGCACCTGTGGTGGCCCAAGCACTTTGCCAGCGAAAACAAACAGGTTTCCAAGCTCCATTTTCACTGACAGAGGCAGCGCGGGCCAGTCCTTCGCTGTTTCCAGGGCGGCCCCATGGGCCAGATCTAAGCACCCCTCAGGCCAGATGCAGCCCCCAGGCCTTGAGTTTGACACCCCTGCTCTAGACAAATGAGGGATAACAGAAAACAGACCTTGGCGAGAAGATCTCAAGAAGACAAATAGCAATAGCGTTAGCAATAGCCCTTAGACTTATATACCGCTTCACAGTGTTTTCCAGCCCTCTCTAAGCGGTTTACAGAGTCAGCCTCTTGCCCCCAGCGATCTGGGTCCTCATTTTACAGACATCGGAAGGATGGGAGGCTGAGTCAACCAACTACAAATGACAGCATTCCAGGAGCCCTCTAGAGCCAGCCACACACAAAGCATTTCTGCGAGGCGCTGGGTCAGTTTGGTTTGACCGGCTGGCTGAGTTATCAAGCTCCTTCTGTCAACAGAGAGAAATTTTGAGCTGTGTTTGTTCTACCAGGTGGAGGCCGAAGTGGATCACAGCATCAAGAAAGTGTACGACACGTACAATGGCACAAACCCGGATGCTGCCAGTCGGGCGATTGATTACGTGCAGAGGCAGGTGAGAGCCAATACAAACACAGCTGCTGGTGCCAAATGTACACAAATTGTTTTCCGCCAGCACAGGACCTTCTGTTGACACCACAGCTACTTAGATGATGTAAGGAAGCTTCCTTCCTTCCTTTCCTTTTCTGCCCTCAGGAAACCCGACCATTTTTCTTTGCGCTTCTTGCCGGTTCTTTGCATTTCACTCCATAAAAACGCTCTTCTCTGCCGTAGTCCGAAGCAGCATGGGGCCGGGGCCAGGTCTTAGTGAGAATTGGGTATAGATTTTGGGGCTGGAAGCCAGCTTAGGCTGCATGTACTGATACAAGTAGTCCCTGCTGTCTCATTTAACAACCATTTGAAGTTGGGATGGTGTTAGAACAGTTTTGCAACGAGCCCTTGCATTTACAGCCATCACAATATCCTGTGGTCACCATTCACACAGTCCCTAACCTGCTTGCGACAAGCCCTTCATGGAGAAAGCAGAAGTAGAGTCCCAAGTTGCGGCCCATGGTGTCTCACTTTGACCACAGGTCATTCGCTTGACAACCAAATGAAAAATTAGGTTGTAAAGCCCGACTTCCATCTAGCCACCATGGTGCTCAGCAACAGAGTTGCCTGTCCCAATTGTAGTCTCTTAGGCGAGGACTATCCGTACGGAATAAACGTATGAAGCAATTGCACGTATTAAGATGTTGTTATTAATCTTATTTCTGGTTTAATTTGATTTTAATGCATTTTTTAAAAAATCCCCTTTCAGAAGACTTAACTGCTGGGGAGTTAGAGTATACTCTCCTCTTCCCCTGGAGGAAGATCTTGCTTGTTTGTAGGTTATCCGAAGAGGCTCGCTCTCTTTGGCGAGAACCTCCTGGGGGAGGGGGGAGGGCTAAAGCAAGCTTTGCCACGTGTGGATTCCTCAGATGGATTGGAGGGCAACGTCTCTGAAAATGACAGACTCTGCAGAAACGCTGCTGGGGAAGAAAACTGACATTTTCCAGATGTGATGACAACATGTGGCTTGGAACCAGCCTTTGTTAATGTCCTGAGTCATTTTGAAAAAAAGAGAAGACGGGTAGTTTGGGCAGAATTAGGTGATGACTGAAAACAAGACATATGCAGTCCTCCTTCCCCCCCCTCCCCAAACTTTGAGGGTGAGGGTTGTATTTATTTATTTATTTAGCTGGCTGGCTGGCTGGGGAGTTCTGGGAGTTGAAAGTTGCAAAGGTCAGGTATCCGTGCTTTAGTTTCATCTCGCGCCTGAAAGCATCGCACAACTTCCTAAAGAGCTGCTCTTTACTTTCTGCATGCCTTCTCTTGTCGCAGCTGCACTGCTGTGGGATCCACAACTACACAGACTGGGAGTCGACCGCCTGGTTCAAAGAAGCGAAAAACCACAGCGTGCCCCTCAGCTGCTGCAAAGCCACCATCAGCAATTGCACGGGAAGCTTGGCCCGTCCTGCAGACCTTTATTCTGAGGTGACCGCCTTCTCTCTCCCTTTTGCCCGGTTTCCAGTAAAAGCTTACGTTGGATGGAGATTAAGGGTTTGTGCAAGATCGGCTCACTCCCAAGTCCAAATCTCCATTTAAATTCAGCACAATAACCCATACCATTCAAGCTTGTTGTTAATTAAGGCCCTGTTGTTTAATTAGAAATGAAGTCATTTGTATATAGGTTGGGCATGCCCTCTCTCTCTCTGGCCTGATGGGCTTCATTCTTTTAGAGGACTTAATTTTGAAAATATTTTTGTCCCACCTTGGAGAATTCGGACATTTATAAGCTTTTTATAAGAGGCAGTGTTCAGTGCTATTTTTCCACTGTTGACCCTGCCATTCTGCTACTATTCTGGCCCTTTTATATCATACTGCAAATAAAACTCCCTTTTCTGACCTTGTAATCCCTCAGCATTTACTGGCCGGATGCCCTTCCTGATGCTTGGGTGGAGTTCACAGCAGATATTTTTTTTCTTCGCAACCTAGGAGAGAAACCTACCTAGGATTTGAACTCTCAACCTTCCAAGTGGCAGGCGAGCATCTTCATCACTAGGCCACCACGCTGCCCTTATAATATACTGCCCTCATAATACAATGAGGGCAGTAATTAAATTTGCTTTCTATTAATTGTTACATTGTATTAGGAAATGTCTTGCCTTGATTGTTATATTTTACTAGTACCACTTTATGTTATGCGTGTGTGTTTCCCTTTATATCATTTATGTTGTATTTTTTTTCCACTTAGAAACGACTGCCACTACTGCCCTCATGCATGCAAAAAATACAATAGAATGTACATTTTATAAATTGGATGGATATCAAAGCGTCCGGAGATTGTAACTGTTCCAGGATGCAGCATTAATAAGGTTGAAAATTTGTTTCCTCAGCTGATGGACTCCTTTGTGTTTCAGGGATGTAAAGTCTTGGTGGTAAAGAAGCTACAGGAGATCATGATGTACGTGATCTGGGCTGCCTTGGCATTTGCTGCTATTCAGGTAGGATTCCACACACTGTTGTTCGTTCCCCTGAGGATTAAAAATAAAACCCTTCTAATTTTCTCCACTTGGACGCATCAATGCCCCTTGAAAAGTTGCAAATAGTTAAGGCCATTCCACCTATTGGGACAGCTAATATTTGATGATACTTCGCAACTGTTTGAGCACTAAAAATGTAATTGCATCCTTGTAAAAATACAAAATGAGGTCATTTCCAGGATTCACGGCTCATGTACATTTCCTCAAAGTCTGTGTAAATAGCGTGTTGGACCCAAAGCACACAAATGTCAGGACATTACAACCGTTGTTTAAAAAAAACCCTTGGATAAGGAGAGAGAAGCCCAAAAAAACCCAACCCATCATCCTCTTTTCAATAAAACCACAGAATAAACTCAGGATTATTTTTAAAGGGGCTTGTTTTGCAGGGGCAAAAGAATTTCTAGGCTGCAGAACCAACCAAAGGTAGAGCTCAGATGTCTTGAAGCAAAGTACATTGGAATCTCTCTTCGATAGATAGTTGGAAGGGACCTTGTAGGTCATCTAGACCAGTGGTCCCCAACCTTTTTATCGCCGCGGCCCGCTGAGCGCGCGCAGGGGTGGGGGCACGGCCCAAGAGCTTTTGCGCACGGCCCATTGCGCACGGCCCAGGAGCCTTTGCGCTGCAGCATTCATGTCCCCCGGCCGCTGCGCGGCCCGGTGCCAGGTACTCCACGGCCCGGCACCGGTCCGCGGACCGGGGGTTGGGGACCACTGATCTAGACTAACCCCCCACCCAAGCAGGAGACCCTACCTACACCATCCCCGACAAATGGCAGTCCAGTCTCTTCTTGAAAGCCTCCAGTGATGAAGTTCCCACAACTTCCAAAGGCAACTTCTGTTCCATGGTTGATTGTTCTCACTGTCAGAAAATTCCTCCTTATTTCTAGGCTGAATCTCCTTGTTCAGTTTCCATCCATTATTCCTTGTCTGGCCTTCAGGTGCTTTGGAAAATAGCTTGACCCCCTCCTCTCTGTGGCAGCCCCTCAAATATTGGAAGATGCTCTTCTGTCTCCCCTGGTCCTTCTCTTCACTAGACCAGCCATGCCCAGTTCCTGCAATCGTTCATCGTCTGTTTTAGTCTCCAGTCCCCTCATCATCCTGGTTGCTCTTCTCTGCACTCTTTCTAGAGTCTCAACATCTTTTTTCTAGTATGGTGACCAAAACTGGATGCAGGATTCTAGGTGTGGCCTTCCTAAGGCTTCATAGAGTGGTACTGATCTTGATTGTATCCCCCAGCGTTGTGCCTACATCCCCAGTCAGCTTCCCCCAAAGCCAATTCCTAAAAAGTTTAAATCATGCCGGTCTGCACTCAGTTTCCTTCTCTTCCTCTTCGTAGCTGCTGGGCATGCTCTGTGCCTGCATTGTGCTCTGCAGAAGGAGTCGGGATCCTGCCTACGAGCTGCTCATCACCGGGGGGACTTACGCCTAGAAGAAGGTCCGCAGGCGAAGCTCGAAGTCTCGTTTTCTCCGCTCAGAAGCCAGCTTGGCAGCATCACCTGCCGCAGTAGTTCCCACTGACTCTGACTTGGCAGCCACGACCTCTTTCCTGAACAATTAGCCCCTACACCGGTGATGGGCAAAGCTTGGCTTTCAGTCCCTTCCCTATTACCAACTCCCTCTCCTTTGGCCAGCTTCCCACTTATCTAGCCATGGTAGCCACCGAGTAACGCTAGGTTGTTGGTTTTTTTTAATCCATTTTATTTTAAATGGCATGAAAGCTACAGGTGACCTGTATGGCTAAAAAGGGTGCAGTGATTTATTCTTATATCCTTCCAGCATTTGTTGGGTGGCATCTCCGGTCAGAGTTGTACGAGGGAAGTCATTTATCTTAATTTTGTGAAATTTAATTCTGCTGCTGCTTGCCTCTCACCAGTGTTTTTCTGTCTTTTTTTTTTTTATAAAGCAAAGCATTAAGTCCAGTCCAGAACACTACGAAACGACTACTAATCAGAATTTTAGAATCCTATTAGTGCATCTCTTGACTTCCTTAAATTCAAATGAACAAACCTTCCGAACTTTTAGCGTGTTTTTAAAAAAAAAAACGAGCTGGCTTTTTCAGGAGTGTAATGTCTTGCACTACTGTTCTATAAGGAAATTTTCATTTTTTACTATATTGGGTCTGTTTCTGTATCGAGTGACTTGTTATCCTAGAGTAGCGAAATAGAATGTGATACGGTGAAATGTAAATAGGAAATAGGAAACCAAATTAAATAAATCTTCTGTACATCCTCCCCAAACTAAACCATGGTTAACCTTTTTAATTGCTGTTGTTTTTGAGAGTTTTATCCTGTGCTGCACTGTTTTTCATACACCATACAATGACTATACGGATGAATTTTAAGTCTGGGCTTGTTCTAGTTGCACTAAAAGACCAAGAGCGGGAAAAAGAAGTCAATTGAGGTTGGTTTTCTTTAGTTTAAAAATATTCTCAATAATTAAGGCGGTCGTGCTTAGATTGTTTGTTCTCATTTCCACCAATATTGAATGAAAAATGATTTTTTTTAAAGCAAACTGCAGGTTATCAGAGCTGATCGTCCTTGCTCATTAACCCTCTTAAATTCCCTGTAACCTGTTGTATATAAGGGCCAGAGGTGGGGCTGCTGGGGGTTCTCAGGGGTTCAGGAGAACCTCTAGTTAAGATTCTGTGCAGTTCGGAGAACCCCCAAATCTCATTCCTGGCAGGCCCTGCCCACCCCTCCCCTCCCAGGAGTCCCCATGCGGCCCATTTTGGAGTGCATTGCATGCACAGAGGCTCAGGGAGGGTGAATAATGGGCCTACCGGAAGTTCAGGAAGGCCAGAAACAGGCCTGTTTCCGGGCTGGGGAGGCTGTTTTTGCCCTCCTGGAAGCTCGAGGAAAGCCTCCGAAGTCCTGGGAGGGCAAAAAGCCCACCCCACCCCCCGCACCATGGCGCAGAAGGTCGACTAGGCCATGCCTACCATGACCACACCCATCCAGCAACCAGGCAGAGAAACCCTTGCTAAAATTTTTGAAGTCCACACCTGATAAGGGTGCTGTGTGGAGGCCAGTATCTGTTAGCCTCACCTGAAGCATTAGATCAGGGATGTCCAACCTGGGCAACTTGTAAGACTTGTGGACTTCAACTCCCAGAATTCCCCAGCCAGCCATACATATCTGGCTAGGGAATTCTGAACGGGACATCCCTCTGTTAAATATTCTCCATCCCATCCAAGGAGACGGGAGAACAAATTGAGATCTCTCAACGTAAAGTCAGTTCATGGAGAAGATGAAGAGCAGCTTTTCTTCCCTAACTTCTGCGGACAGGTCTCCCTGCCAGCGGAGAAAACCCCGGAGCCTCCCCTTTAAAATTCTTTCAATCTATTTTGGCTAAAGCACAGCCACTTCCAAATCCACCTGACGCCCAGGAAGACTTTTCCCCGCCGGGCGTAGGTGTCTCACGTTTTAACACCTCCCTTCGGTGGCTGTTTCCTCACTCGCATATTTTTTTTTTTTTCTTAAACTCCATAGAAATGCGAGAAGACGGCCCTGGTTGGTGTCCCCGTCGAAAGATAAGCAGCTGGCTAGGACCTTGATCGAGCTGGAGTTGCAGCATTTTAAAAAGGTTTTGCGTAGGTAGTGTTCTCCCCTTGGGTTTTGCATCACAAGGTCAAGGACATTCGCTGCGAAAAGCAACCCAGTGCAGTGAGAAATCGGCAGTTTGTAAGAAAGAGCGAGAGCGAAGGAGATAATTTTCTACCTAGAAAACATCCTCCCTGGGTTTCCCCCGGCTTAGCTGAGCCCTGGATTTTGCAAATCCCTCTCGCGTTTGACAATGAGATGTGAAAGGCCTGCTCTTTTCTCTTGAAAGGCACCGGTTTTATTCCCACATCTCTCAGCCCATGTGACCAGACAAAGCCACTAATGGAGAAGAAGGGGGGGTTAAAGGTTGCAGCTTTCCCACGAGGTCCAGCCTAGGGGTCCGCCAGCCCCCCTTCACAGCACAATCCTTCCTTGGTTGAATGCAGCTGCTCCAGACAGATTCCCCAAAGTAAAGGTCTAATTTTCAGGCAGCCCCCTCTTCTCTTCCCACCATCCATCCCCCCCCCCCAACAAACCATCCCACTTACTGGTTTCTGGCGGTAAAGGATCTCTTTAACTATCAGCTTTCTCGGCATGAAGGAATCAAGTGGTACAGACGGGATCGATGTGAGCTGGTTGCCTAATCAACTCCTTGTGGTATTACAAAGCAGCAGTCACCAACTGGTGGTCCGTGGACCACTGGTGGTCCGCGAGAAAATTTTGGTGGTCCGCAGAAATTTTTTTTGCATTTTTTATATAGCACTAAATCAGGGGTCCTCAAACTACGGCCCCTGGGACGGATACGTGCAATGAACATTTGTGTTGCTGCAGAGAGTCTCCCCCTTTGGGGTCTTTTTGTGCAGGTCGGAGGGGGACAGAAATTCTGACTTGGGGTCTGCTTTCGCCTCCTCGTGTGGGGCTTTGGGCGAAGGGAAGAGCCGCTGGTGGCAAGAAGCCGGAGGGCCTCGTTCCAGTGGGACTGCCTCATGGCCTGGAACTGGCTGACCATCTCAGCCCACTGAGCCTCCACGTAAAGGTACCTGGCCTTGCACTCTCGCAGGTCTTCCCTCTGCTTGGAAAGCCTATGCTCCTAGTCCTCAGTGAAGTGCTTCTACTGAGCCGCCTCCTCGGTCAGATCCAATTTGAACTGAGTCAACTGTTTTGCCTGCTCTTTCTCATGGTGGCTGTTTAGCTCCAACAACTGCTTCTTGTTGGGGTACTAAGGAACCTGGGCGGGCAGGCGAGGAGGGGCTGGGAGGGGAGGGGTGAGTAGAGGCCAATGAGGCACCCCTCAACATGGGTGACATCAGGTTGACCACGCCCACCCAGTCACATGACCACCTAGCCATGCCCACCCAGCCAGTCATTGGGCAGATCATATTAGTGGTTCGCGTGATTTAAAATTATGAATTTAGTGATCCCTGAGGTCCAAAAGGTTGGTGACCCCCGTTACAAAGCAAGAAATGTCATTGTTAAGCTCGGTCACTAGAGGGGAAATTGCAAGGGAAGCCGATCACAGTTGCTCAAGGAAGACGAAAGGACGAGACTGGTGCTTCCTACTATGGTGCTTTCTGGAGAATTCCCTGCATGACACTCATACAGATAGTCCTTGATTTACAACGAGTACGTAATGACCATTTAAAGTTAGAACTGACCTGAAAGCAGGTACTGTGTTTCCCTAAAAATAAGACCACGTCTTATATTATTTTTTGCTCCAAAAAAACACATTAGGGCTTATTTTCTGGTTAGCTCTTATTTTGGGGAAAATACGGTACTAAATGCACCCATCTGGCTGACAAACTTAACTGAGGCTTATTTTGTGAGTAGGGCTTATATTACGAGCATCCTAAAAAATCATGCTAGGACTTATTTTCTGGTTGGGTCTTATTTTCGGGGAAACAGGGTACTTATAACTAGAACTAAAAGTTGTGATAGTTGGGCCCCCTCCACAAACACATGATCAAATTTTGGGGGGCAGGGGTCAAGTCATTTACAAATATTTGCCGCATCCCACAGTCCCATGACTGACATTTACAACAGTTTCGGTGAAAGCCAGCACTTTGGCAACTGCAGTCATTAGGCAAAGGGTATCCAAACTTGGCTGGCTGGGGAATTCTGGGAGTTGGGAGTCCACAAGTCTTAAAAGTTGCCAACTTTGGACACCCCCCCCCCCCAACCCCTGATGTAGACCATTAGGAACCAGATGATTTTGGGGTCATAAATAGCCACTACAGTTATAGATTGCAGCGGGTAAATAATAGGTGTAATACTGTATATTAAACTCCTGCCGTCATTTCTGCCCACCCGGCGTGTTCAAACTGAAACATCATAAAAGGTTTTGACAATATTTAATGCAATGAAAGGACTCTCTGGAGAGATCTTGTGGTTTTGTTTTTTTTTTTTTAACTTCCTTTTCTCGGTTTGGGGTCAGATTTCTCAGTTGCTAAAAACGTCAGATGTGTTTGCATGCACGACAAGAACAATTGCAGATGCATTTTCAGTGAACAGCTGAGAATCTTGAGATGGCAGCATTTAAAACAGCTCCACCCTGAATCAAAATTTGCAACGCTAGGGAAAGGATGGTGGTGGTGTCACCCATAGCGAGAGAGAAATGAAAGCATCGTTTCTGGAATTGAGATCTAACCGTTTCAAAAATGCACTTTAATCAATGGCTTATTGTAAAAGTCCACTGTGTTTCTGTCTCCACCAACGTTCAGTGGAGAATGGCAAAGACAGTTTTTTGCAAAATTTGCCGTGTAGAAAACGGTTCAAGATTCTACCGAAAGAATGATGGGATCGGAAGGGTACCTGGATTTAAGCAAGGCAAAAAGAACCTTTGGGATCATACATTTCTAGGGTGAGAAAATCAGCACGAGTTTGGATGTCTTTTCTTTGATAATTGTCCTTCAAAAAAAATAAAAAGACGGGGTGGCGTTTTATGTTAAAAAAAGAGTAAAACTTGATTTTTTAAAAGAGATTTCTAGCCGGTAAAAATGCAGCACTCGGAAGTGTTCCTCCCATCAAAGTCTCTCCAGATAGGAGCCGGGCACAAATCCTTGCTGCCCATCCAGTTCTACGGTCCACCAGCCATCTTCGCCAGCTTCAATGATGTTGACAATATCACCTGCTCGGATGTCCAGCTCATCCTCATTCTGGAAAAGGAATAATGGAAAGAAATGGAAAAATCTCTTCAGGTAAGACACAAAAGATGGAATAAGCATGCAGATAGTCCTTAATTTAGGACTACAATTGAGCCCAAAATTTCCGTTGCTAAGCGAGACAGTTCAGTTCATTTTGCCCCATTTTATGACCTTTCTTGTCACAGTTGTTAAGCGAATCACTGCAGCTGTTAAGCTAGCGACCCGGTTGTTAAGTGAATCTGGCTTCCCCACTGACTTTGCTTGTCGGAAGGGGATCGCAGGACCCTGGGACACTGCAACTGTCATAAATATGAGTCAGTTGTCATGTGTCTGAATTTTGATCACGTGACCACGGGGATGCTGCAACGGTCATAAGTGTGAAAAACAGTCCTAAGTCACTTATTTCAGGGCCATTATATCTAAGAACAGTCATTAAATGAATGGTTGTAAGTTGAGGGCTACCTATAAAAATCGAGCTAAATTGGAGTCTTCAGGGTAACTTAGAAATATTTCTCTCTCTGGGCACAGTGAGAATCTTATCTGCTGAACAAAACTCCGCACTGGCGACAGGAAAGGCATCCGGCCAGTAAACACTCAGCTCCATTCAGTTGCCCAGACTCCATCCCACAAGGGATTATGCGGTCATTAAAAGAAGTAGAGTAACTTAGAATGATGATCCTTGAGAGTTACTCTGGAGTAACAAATGCTCTTTGTTACTCCAGCCTCAACTCTTTTAACAAGGGTTTGAGGCTCACCTGGGCTGTGTAGTCATAGAGAGCTCGGTAATCATGGTCCATGGCAGCGTTGACCTCGGCCACATGAACGGCTGCATAGACGACGTCCGCCCTTTGCTCAGCTTCGAGGGAGGGGTAAATGGAATTAACTCCTGGCAGAGGCAAAAGATTTTATCTAAGTTCCAAGTTATTATATCTTTTCCGGCCGGACTTGTAGAAGTCCAGAGAATGTTATTACCATGGCGCCACCATTCCTATTTCTAAAATCCGTCTGTTACTGTCAAGGTGATGACACCCTGCATTCCTAACACAAATGAAGTATTTCTGTTTCTAAAAATTTCACCAGCTGTTACTTTGAGGGGGAAAAAAATCAGAGATACTTAAATTTAAAAAAAGTGTATTTGAAAGGCTTCAGGACTGGTTCAGGCAAATTGAATTCTGCCTTTTCCCAAAATCAGGTTTACAGTCTCCATCCTAAAAAGTTTCTGCACTGTGTTTCCTGAAAATTGGTCCGTTGTTAGGATGTTTATATCTAGTTTTCAGAAGTTTGGGAGGCTGGGAATGCTCTGACCTAGGCTTCCTTAGAAATCAAACAGCACAAACTTAGTCCCGGCAAACCTCTTTAATTCAGACGGCTGTAAATTACTTTCATTTACAGTCAAGTCTTTCAGAGGAAGGTTATCAACACCCACCTATCTCACGTGGAATGCTGCCAGAGAGCTAATTTCCAGGCGCAGGGCAAGGCTGTTGTGGTTTGCCAGCAGCCTGTGGAGTTGGTAGCGGAGTCGGACAACGAAGAGGCTGAGGAAGAACAGGGGCCAGTCCTGGAGGCTGAGGAAGGCCCAGATGAGGGCTCTGCATCAGAGGCAGAGATGGGGCCAGGGCCATCGGGGAGTGATGTGCGGACTTCGGAGCCTCCAGAGGCTGACAGAGAGGCAGAGGAACAGGAGGAGCCTGTTCCTAATGCACGCATGAGAAGAGCTTCCAGAAGGCAAGAGCAGCTCAAGCAAAGAGGACAACTCGGGAGTAAGGCCAAGAGATGATTGGCCCCTCCCATAAGGCTTAAAACAGACCAGCAACGGTGTTTGGGCTTTGCCGGAAAACAACGTTGGTAACTTCGTCGTCTTCTTTGTCTACGTCTTGTATTTATTTTTGTATCTGGGACTTCTGAATGTTTGTCAAGAAAGGCCTTTGGCAGTTTGCCTAATTGGACCAAGGTTTGCGATAGGACTGAGGAATTTGTGTTGGGAGGAATTTGCTTTAATTGAGTTGAACGACGCTGGGAATGAAGGAATTCTCAGCTGTTCGAATAAAATTTGTTTTTTCACTGATTGATTTTCCTACTACTTACTTCAACCTGGGTCACAACAAAGGCCAAACTTGCCACAGAGTCACAACAGAAGTTTCAAATCTTGAATTGGCCAGATGAACTAATTGCTTCCTGCAAAAGCTCATGTCCCGTTCGCTTCTCTTTTATGTCTTATGGGAGGGGGCAATCATCTCCAAGCCTTACTCCCAAGTCGGCCCTATTTTCTTAATTGTTCCTGTCTCCTGGCAGCTCTGTGCATGTGCACACTGGGAACAGGCTCCCGCTCTTCTTCTGCCTCGCTGATGTCAGGCTCCAGAGGCAGCAAAGAACTCCCAGATGGCCTTGGCCCCCTCTCTGCCTCCGACGCAAAGCCCTCTTCCGAGCCTTCCCCAGACTCCAGGACTGGCCCACATTCCTCCCCAACCTCCTCACTGTCTGAATCTGCTGCCAGCTCTGCTGGCCACCAGCGGGCCACAACAGGGGAGATGGGATTAGTCCAACTTGAAAGCCAAAAATAAAAAAAAAGAAGAATTTTTGGGTGTTCCCACAGCAACACTCAACCCCTTAGGAAGACTTCATAGCAGAACCTGATTTAACACAAGGATGCTCGGACTTAAGAAATTACTGCATTGGTCCTTGGAAAAGCCATCCTACATACCAGTTGGGGGTATTGTGGAAATAATGTTATCCGGAGTATTCCGTGTACTGCCATGCAGCAAGTCGGAGAACCTGTGGATCAATAGGAAATATACCATGAACCTTTCAATGACGCCACTTCCTCTCTCTCTGTTTTCGACTAAGAGTGAAGCTTTGCTCTGAAGAACAAGATTTGGGACAAGGGAGACAAAAACAGCCAAACACAAAACAGCTTTTTAACGCCTTCCTCAATGCTATTGTAACACGCATTCTCAGTGTTTGGATATTTTATTTCTGGTATGTGTCCCTCAGGGCTATTTTAGAGAACAGCAGCCATAAATAAATAAAAATACATTTTCAGGCAGACATTCTCTACAAGCAGCTGTCCAAACACCACTTCAGAAGGTCACAGTGGATGTCCCCACTTTGCCCTTCTCCTCTTAATTTAGCTCATGAGTTCGAAATCTTTCTTGGTTCTCATTCAAGGAAAGGGAAACAGCTACTCCAAGGCAGCTTCTGACAATTGGTGGAAAATTCAAATGGTAGAACCAAGTGTCCACCCGTTAATGGAAAACAGCCGTCGTAATGACAATTTACTACCTTTTCATCATTCCGCAACTCTGGGTTGTTGGGCTGTTGGGGTTTTTTGCGGGTCCGGTTCTCTCGTAATAATTCTCGTAGCCAATGGCAGCTGTTTTCAGAAACAAGAAGAAGGATAGGAAAATGGGACTGAGGCGGCCTTGGTGCTCTCTCTGCGCTTGGTGATTTTCTTGCAGGCGTCTCATGACCCTGTTAGGTAACGCCATCAGTGATTTTCCACCCCCAGAAATCTCGTGCCAACCAAGAATGAATCAATCTTGTGGTAACCCCGTAGTCAGCCTTATTTTTAAAAAAAACTCCCCCTTTAATCGGGGGTACAGTTTTCACTATCTGAAACACTGATCTAAAAGATGGTTATATATATTATATATATATATATTTATTAAATTTATATCCCGCCCTTCTCCCCGAAGGGACTCAGGACGGTGAACAGCCGAGAATTAAAATAACACACAATATAAAATTATATTATATTATAAAATTATATTATATTATATATTAATTATATAAAATTATGAGGCTGGGTGTCCTTCTCTAGGTGCTCTCCCCAAATTCACAGCCAAAAATGGTCATCCCAAGGTTAGGGGAGACTCAACTCAATCTTCTATAAGCCAAAGTTTCCCCAGACCTACCATGTTTCCCCCAAAATAAGACCTGGTCCTATATTAATTTTTACTCCAAAAGACGCATTATGGCTTATTTTCCAGTTAGGTCTTATTTTGGGTGAAATACAGTACTAAACGCTTCCGTCTGGCTGATGATCTTAACTGGGGCTTAACCGGTAGGGCTTGTATTATGAGCATCCTGAAGAATCATGCCAGGGTTTATTTTCCAGTTGGGTCTTATTTTCGAGGAAACGGGGTACTTATTATTTTCCCAGATGTTACTGTCTTTTCAAGACACAATTAAGAAAACAGCAGTTCTGTGCAGAGAGACCTGGTGCTTCTGTTCCGGTCATCTTATTCTGAACGAAGGCGTTCATATCGGACTCCACGTTGCAGTCTTCCAGGCTTACCCGAACCTCTTCATAAAGCTTTGAAAAGAAAAAGGGGGGAAAAAAAGTCGATTTATTTGAAAGGAGCTCTTGCTTATGGCTTTCAAAGCAAATTCTCTAGTTGAACTGTTCGCGAGACAAAGGACTACCTCCGCTGGACTTTCTCTTACCTCATCGTCTTTCACGCACTGCATGGAGAGTTGATTGCAATGAACCCAGAGAGAATTCCGTAGGATAGTGATCCGATCACATTCCTGAAGCTGGAAAGCCTAGTTTAATAATAATAATAAAGTAAAGATCAATTATGGGATCCTGTCACAAAATGTGATAACAGTAAAACAAAGCTGGGTCGATAGCACCAAGCTAAGCCAAAAAACCATGGTTTATAGACCAAATTTGGCCAACTTCGTGCAACAGGCTGAAGCTATAAACTACAATGATGGTGGTTGACGATTGAACTGATCTATTCGCCTAGTGAAATAAACAAATGTTCTGTCAATCACAAGTCTTCGACTCACACATTGTCCCAAAGGTGCTTTCTCAAAAGGCAAGTGGGCTTTCCTTGTTTTTCCTTGAAGATGTTTCTTTTTTCATCCAAGAAGCTTCTTCATGTCTTAAGAAGCTTAGATGAGAAGTGAAATGTCTTCAAGGGGAAAAACAAAAAGTCTAGTTGCCTTTTGAAAAAGCACCTGTGGGACAACCAGGACCTTGAATGACGGAGGATCTCCATAGACCCAAAGCCAGAAGTTTCCGAACTTTCTCAGTTCTTGGCACGCTTAGTATCCTTTTAGTGGTGCCTCCGAGCTTGCAATTTGCATGGTGTCCAACAGATATCAAGTATTGCTGTATCATCCCGCAGAATTTGGGAACCACATCCCTAAAGCCAACCTCCATAAAAAATTCTATAGCTTGCTTTGATGGCTGATCCCTGGCAAGGAAAAGGATTGGGATGCAAGTCAACTATGGCCGTATCTGAGAAGCAAATGCTGGTCATCCCTTGGGTGTTGGAGAGAAACCATGTTGAGTGTGCCTGATTACCCACCTTTGGGTGAGAGGAAAAGAGACCTCCAGTAGCATCTCACCATGATCAAGGTCAAACCTTATCAATTCTCTGTTGATGGAACGCAACAGCTTCATACCTCGCAAGTACTAACGTGTTCTTGTTCCCACGTGGTCCTTGTGTGGTCTAGTGTCTCGATGTTCTGTTTATACACTTTTTCTGTGTGAGAAAAAGCAAAGCAGTCCGATCACAGAAGTATTAGTGTTTTGCGCTTCATGGATAAAACGAACCTATTCTGCGGTTCATGGACTAAAAGAAAAATATCCTGAAGTAAGAAGAGCTTATCTGGAGAAGATTCCTCCAAAATGTTGAATTGCAAGTCAGCCTTTTATTTTATTCTGTTTTTTAATGAAGGGCACAATTGCATTTTTGGTTTATTCAACTCTTTAGTTCTTGGAGCTTTACAGGTTCAAATGGAGGCCTGGAAGATCCCATCAAAGAGATTCATAAGGTGTGTCTCTCTTAGAGTAGAACTTGTTTTCATAGGTGCTTAAAATGTTACCTGCTTCATTGGCAGAGTCTCTGGACTGTTTTGCTTTGGTTTGGCTCTGAAAGGTGAAAAAATGAACATTGGTATGGGAAGGAGGGAGGAAGGAGAGGGGGAAGGAAGGAAAGGAAAGAAAAAGAAATGGAAGGAAGAGGAAGGAAAAAATGGAAGGAAGGAAGGAGAGGGAGGAAAGGAGAGGAAGGGAAGGGAAGGAAAAAAGGGAGGAAGGGAGGGAAAGAAGGAAAAGAAAAAGAAATGGAAGGAAAGAAAGAAAAATGGAAGGAAGGAAGAGGGAGGAAAGGAGAGGAAGGGAAGGAAGAAAGAGGGAAGAAGGGAGGGAAGGAAGAAGGAAAAGAAAGGAAAGAAAGAAATGGAAGGAAGGAGAGGGAGGAAAGAAGGAGTGGAAGAGAGGGAAGGAAGGAAGGAGAGAAAAAAGAAAGAAAAAACTTGAAGATACCTTTTCTGTTTGTTTCTGGTTTCCAATAGCACTTATCCTCTCGAAAGCCTGTTCCGCCTCATCAGCATCTTTACATTTCTGGTCATAGGCCTTCTTGGACTGCGTGCAGAAAAATGTGCACAATTACAGTCGTAAGTCAAGGACTGCCCGTACAAACATCTTATCCTCCAAGAGCAAGTTCCTTACCTCCATGGTTTTCTTGAACATGAGGAGCTTGTTCTTGTGTATCCGTTCCATCGTACTCTCGTACTGCAAGAAAGATGGCATTAATGATCATCATTTTGTGCCTTCCACAAGAGCTGGAAACCCAGTAGTCCAACTCTTTATCAAAGTTCCTATTCCCAAGGCAGATTTTCCAAGCTGGGGGCTCTGCCATTGTTGGGCACCGCTCAAGGAAGAAGTTTGGGTTCCAGGGAAGTTCTTTACTGAAAATAAGGCAGGATAAACGAATCTTTTGAAAGCCTTTGGACCTGCACCAAAATGGCCATCATAAATTTGTTTAATAAATAAAAAATAAATCGTATTGGCTTGTTTCACCTCCGGAAGCTCCGGCTTCTGCCTCACCTTTTTCCGTTGTTCCTTCTGCCTTTCTCGGAATTCTTCTAAGGCTTTGAGTTCCTCTTTCAACATGAGGGCCAGCTGGATGTGAGAGTTGCCCACGCTTTCAATTTCTGTGGATGAAATGCAGAATTGGCCTTTGCTGAAATCCTGCCTCTTGATATGGAACATCGCTTACATGGGTTAAGGGGAAGTTCTGGAAGGGCAAAAGCATCAAAACACAGGAGCATACAGGTAATGGAAGCCTTCTCCCTTTTCGTAGGCATGCTATGCACATCATACAGGTGAAAAGAGTCCCCCACCCAATTTTGAGGGGTCCTTGGTGTTCGCAGACGTTTCATTTCCAAAACTAGGCAACCATCATCCGTGCTAGAAGGGAGTGGCATTTGCTCTTTTCTAGCACTGATACAGTTACCTAGTTGGGTCATGAAACGTCTGCAAGAAAACAAGCAAGCTCAGAGAGCACCAAGGACCCCACAGTCGTCATTCTCCTCTCCACAAACCCCAATCAACAAAACCACCTCCTGAGGCTTTATCTATATATATAAAAGCGAAATACCATTCACGCATCATTACGAAATCTCCAGAACAGTAAAGCCTACAAACTTGAAATTTGGCACGTATGTTCCTCTTGGCTTCTAGGTGCTTGCTAAGAAGGGACCATCAGAGCATTAGTATTTCTTATTATTAACAGGCTCTGATGCTAATTAGTTAGACGTTCTACTCCCCCTCCCCACCTGAAAAGAACTCTGTTCCAACTGCCACTTGGGCATGGGCGTGGCCAGCACATGATTCATCCAGCTTGCGGGCTGGGAGTTTAGACATTCTACTCCCCACCTGAAAGGGAGAGAAGGGAATAAGATAGGAGAGGTGTCTGGGGGCAAGCCTGAGAGAGAGAAACCGGGGATAGGAGAGGCCGATTGTAACTACTCATTAATTTTCAAGCTGTAAGTGTCAATTTATCAAGCCCAATCATATGGTCTCATAGCGGAGCATGGGCATCTAGCTAGTATCCTATATATACAACTCAACAAAGTCCATTTTCCTCTCATTCATTTCTGGGCATCCCCTTTGCTCTTGATAGCATTCTCCCACTCAGTCACTAGAGGACACTAAAAGAGTACAGAAAACTCTCACTCTCTTCCACCATCTAGTGGCTAGCCTAAGTTCTGCAGTTCAAATTGAATGTGTGGTGAAAATAGTCACTCCCTACTCAATCTTAAAGCCCATCGGCATGAGTAGGAAGTATAAGGTTGTCTTTTTCCAAACGCTGTATGAATTTGTCAAGATTCTTTGCAGAGAAAGAAAAACTTTAAAAATTATTAATTCGATTATTAATTTTGCTGCCAAATATCCCCGACAGAACTTGCTAATATACTTACGTAGCTTTAGGATTTCAAACGAAGCCTTTAAAGTGCTGAGGAGAAAGAACAAAACTCATCAATTTCCTTCCTGTCCAAAGACTTTCGTCAAACTTGAAGTTCTCTATTATATTTTGAAGAACAGGAATGTGTCAACAATTCTAGACAGCCAGAGCTGGAGAAGCCCACAGTCCCACCATCTAGAAAAGCAATTCCAGAAAATATTCAAAGCCAGATTTCAAATGTCCACCACCACAAATATATGGCTGGTCTGTCTATATCTATCTATCTATCATCTATCTATCTATCTGCCGTGTTTCCCCGAAAATAAGACCCTGTCTTATATTTTTTTAACCCTGAAATAAGCATTTGGCCTTATTTTTGGGGAGATCTTACTATTTTGGGGTGGATGGAGCAAGATGGGGTTCCTTTTGCCATCTTACCTGATTTCCAGCTCTGTATTTAAATATTTTTGGGGAGGGCTTATTTTCGGAGGTTTATTTTAGCTATTGCGCTCAAAAGCCTGATTGGGTTTATTATCAAGGGATCGGTGGGTTGCCCCCGGTTCAGACCGGTTCCCAAGAACCGGTAGTAAAACTGTAGGGAGGCCCCGCCCACCATCCCGGATGTCATCATCAGCAATCTGCGCATGCACAGAAGCTTCTGCGTAGAAGCAAGGCGTGCACAATCCCTTTGTGAACCAGTAGTAAAGGTAAGTAGAACCCACCCCTGCAGGGGATGTCTTATTTTTGGGGAAACGGGGTATCTATCTATCTATCTATCTATCTATCTATCTATCTATCTATCTATCTATCTGTGGGCAACATCAAACGTCTCCATTACGTAGGACAAATGTGCAAATAAAAAAAATCCAAGAGAAGCCTTCAATCTTTCTTCTAATAGTCCAAATGAAAGGTTAAATATTGGTAGGAGAAGAACCTACCACTAGGTGGGGGCAGAGTTAAGAGAGAAATCAGTTTAGAATCCCTACGTCGCCACAAGCAAATTGAGTCCGATTCCCTCTCTTTGAATTCCATTGATCCTCATCTAACTTCCAAGCAGGTTCTGACCATGAATTCAGAAGATTCCTGCATCATACGCTTTTAGCAATGAATACGTTTAATTGGACCTTCACTCTGGTCTTTCACACACAACCGTATTAATCAGTTGAATTTCTTTCCTATTTAGCCTACGCATTCAGTGCTTGTCCTGAAGCTGCCAGTTGACTAAACCTCAAGCCGTATGTGCTTTTTCCATCCCTATCAACAGACATTATTTCCATTCGGGTTTTTTTTTTTTTTTTTTTTGCCTGATGAAAATGAGTATAAAATAAGTTTCTTGTGTTTCTTTAACGCCCCCTTGTGGTATCTTTTGAACTTTTTTTTTAAAATTAAATTCACATTCCAACTAACTCTGCATGTAACCACTAGACTCATCCTGCAGGTGTCAGGTGAGTGATGAACTAAGATTCATTTAACTCTAGATACAGTACATTATCATTAAAGAGAAAATGAGTCCATTGTGGATTTTTGAGGAAGAAGTGATTATTTTTTTCTCATCAACTATAGCACTAAAAAAAAATTTGTATGGCAAATAAGTATGTTGCACCATCACGTCACCTTACAATCTTTTGCTAGAAGCAGCCTGAGCTTAGATCTGAACTCTTGAATACCTTAAACTTTGAGGGTTCCCTAGCATTTTGGCCTCGGTGTTTAAATGTATTTCTCTTTCACAGCAAATGATTACAGATGTTGTATCACGAGTAACAGAATAACAGAGTTGGAAGGGACCTTCGAGGTCTTCTAGTCCAACCCCCTGCTCAAGCTTGAAACCCCACACCATTTCAGACAAGTGGTTGTCCAATCTCCTCTTGAAAAAACTTCCAGTGTTGGAGCATTTACAACTTCTGGAGGCAAGGAGTTCCACTGGTTAATTGTTCTCACTGTCAGGAAATTCCTCCTTAGTTCTAAGTTGCTTCTCTCCTTGGTGAGTTTCCACCCATTACTTCTCCATCCTTCAGGCGCTTTTGAAGAATAGCTTGAACACCCCCCCCCCTCTTCTTTGCAACAATTGTGTAATAATTGTGTGACTAAAGAACTTTGAAAATCAAATGAAATCTTTATTTTGATCGCAGACCAGCATAAACTTTGAAGAACACGGTACACCCTTAAAGGGAAAACCCAAAGCAAAATGCATCTCGGCACTGCAATGCCAGTTCTGTCCCTTGTGCCTTTTCATGCAACACGGAGTCACAAAAACATTGAGGTTGCATGGTTGACATCACAAGAAGTTCCATCTCTCGGTGTCACCCTCGTTGGGAACAGATTGCGATGGACTTTGTGATGCAAGAAAGGGACAGTAGATCCCATTAAAATATTGCCCAAGCCTTATATTGCTTCAAGGTTTACACAATCCCTTCCCTCAAAGAGGAAATGCACAGCTAAAAAATTATGCTTTGCATAATATTTGCTCCGGCGAATTTCTCTGTGGAGAAAAGCCAATCATTCCTCTCGACCAAAAAGAAATTCCATCTATCTCTTATTCTGCTTGCCTCTTTTGCATTCTGCAAGCCACTTTTTGGGGAGTAGAAGTGAAGCTTTCAATTTTTCAAAGTGCAGCAGAAAACATGACGTACCAGTATGCTAACCTTATGTAAAATATAGGAAGTCGATTTGTGTACAATTGGAGGTGCAAAACTCGCCATTTACAGTAAACGTGGGACTATTTGTTCCTTGTTGCCAAGGAACCATTAATCACTTCTCGTTTAATGTCCCAAACCCAAACAGGAACTGATATTAGTAGTTTTGTGAATTGAGTCTTTGTCTTTAAAAAAAAATCAAGAGGACTAGAGCCTCAACTGTTGCCTTGGGAAGCAGATACCTCATTCATTCATTCCATTCATTCATTCATTCATTCATTCATTCATTCATTCAAAACATTTACATAGCCAGCCATCTTAAAATGAAGCTCTGGGCAGCTTACAGTCCAAAAATAAGATAACCGAACAATAAAAATGCAAGAAATAAAAGCACAGGAACCAGTAAAACCAAAACAGAAATCTGGGTAAACAGTAAAACCTCCTGCTTAGGCAGGAAACCCTCTACTCAGACAAATGGTTATCCAATCTCTTCTTAAAAACCTGGAGCATTCACAACTTCTGGAGGCAAGGAGTTCCACTGATTCATTGTTCTCACTATCAGGAAATTCCTCCTTAGTTCTAAGTTGCTTCTCTCCTTGATTAGTTTCCACCCATTGCTTCTTGTCCTGCCCTCAGGTGCTTTGGAGAATAGCTTGACTCCCTCTTCTTTGGGGCAGCCCCTGAGATATTGGAAGACTGCTATCCTGTCTCCCCTAGTCCTTCTTTTCATTAAGCTAGACATGCCCAGTTCCTGCAACCGTTCTTCATATGTTTTAGCCTCCAGTCTCCAGTTTGACTTCAACTCTCAAATGAAGTCCCACTGGGGTGGATAACGGTTGGTTTTAAGACCTCAGTCCATCATTTACTGGATCTAAACCAAAATCGGTTTCTTGCAGGGATGAATCGTGCAATGAATAGGAAACGGATCAGCCGGCCCCCTTTTTGCAGCTATGATTCTATATAAAGCACGTTGGCACAGGAAGTATATACAGTAAACCAGCAGATCTATTTTTCCTGTTATTATGAGTCAGAATTCGTATCGCTTCGGCTGCCTTAGAAACCCTGAAGAAATAAAGTTCTAATGGCATCTGCTAACCCCCTTCTTTTGCCTGACAGTGAGATTCTTTCTGTTGAAAGAAACTTGCGTGTCCTTTCTATAGAAGCTAAGCTTTTGGAAGAATTCGCCTCCTGAGACTTATTTAGCCATTCTATTTCTATAGCTGTCCATCTCAAGCAAATGATTCTGGATGCTGAATGGTCATAACTAGCCCTCATCCTTTGGAGTTTGAGGAGAGCCAGTGCTGGGCAGAAGGTTGGACCAGAAGACTTCCAAGGTGCCTCCCAAGCAGGGGTGAAATGCTCCCGGTTTGGACCGGATCTCCCGATCCAATAGCGATGGTATCGGGTGGTTCGGAGAACCAGTAGCAAAAATCCCTGCCCGGCTGAGCCCTGCAATCATCAGAGGCTTTTTTTTTTTTAAGCATTTTTTGTACAACCTCTTCCGCCGAAAAAATGCTTTTAAAAGTAAAAAAAAAAGAGCTTCTGATGATCCCGCGGCTCAGCTGGGATCGTCAGAGGCTTTTAAAAGCATTTTTTTCTGCAAACTCTTAAGTTTGTAGAAAAAAATGCTTTTAAAAGAAAAAAAAAGTTGGCCACACCCACCCAGTCACATTACACACTCCCACCAAGCCACGCCCACAGAACAGGTAGTAACAAATTTTACATTTCACCACTGCTCCCAAGCCTATGGTTCTAGGGTCCTCCTATTATAGCCGTCATAATTTCCATACACCATCCAGGATTGGGTCTCCTAGAGGAGATGGACCACATGGTGTCCATAATAGATGGGTCATAGAATCATGGAATACACCTAGGAGGTCTTCAGGTCCAACCTTCAGCCCAGTGCAGGAAGAGACAAATGGCTACTTCTCAACCGTGGCAACTTTGAGATAGGTGGACTCCCAAAATTCCCCAGCCAGCATTGGCCATAAAAACATCCATAGGAATACACTGTTTCGCTTAATAACTGCCTCATTCACTGAACAATTGTGATAGTCACTCAACAACCTCCACAAAACAGTCATAAAATCAGGTCCTGTCACACAAGTGCCTCAAATTATGATCATCATGACTTATGATGGGAATTCAACCACTGGTAACTGAAAGCCACACAAAGAATCTTATCAAGAGTTAGATCAATAGTACTAGCTGTTGCCCATCCTGGTTCTTACGTTCTATCAACCCCTAGAGACAAGTCCTAACCATCAATTCATAACGTAACATTGACTTTTAATATAAACAAAGAAATTCTCGGCCAGTCCACCCAACTGCACTAGAAACAAGCCAACACCAGAACGGAATAAGGAGAAATAATGGGATTTTAGGTGACACCGAAATGGACTTACTTGATTTCGCTTTGGCCTCCTGCTTTCCGAGCGATCTGAACCAGCTCCTTCCCGTAACGTTCTTCAGCCTGGGCCCTGTTAAATAAAAATCCCGTCTTTATTTGCCATTCAAGCCATGCTGGGCTTCCATCTGTTTCTGAACTCCATCCTTCCCGTGGCACGTAATGAACAAATTTAAGAGTTGACTAGGCAAGGTCTTAAAACCGTAGAAGACGGCAAGGGAAGAACTTTGATGGCGACCTTCTTGACAAGAAGGGTCATGTTCTTTGGAGGCCATGGTGGGATCAAACAGAAGATGAACCTTCTCTGATGCCTTCTGCTTGGTCCACATGATGTGCTCATGTGAGCTTCATATTCAGAGTTGCTAATGGGAAGGGTCTTCACTGCCTTTCCCATCATCTATCCTGAGAGGAAGGTTTGCAGGAAATACAGCTCCACAGTTGTGCCTCGGTAGCTGCTGAAGCCACCTAAGATGTTTCTCTTCTAGGAAAACAGGTGCCACCTGGTGTCACCTGGAAGGTTGATTCCCCCCCCCATCCAACTAGATTAGTTATCAAAAAGTTCAAAAGTTTGTGATCTCAAAAGTGGGTTAAAAAAATCTAACCATCATCATCTCTAGAGATCTGAAGAGTGTGAGGTGGAAGAGAGAAGACAGCTTACATTTTTTTCACCTCATTGCAACCTTCATCTTCTGAAGGGGAGATCCTTTGGTCTGGATCGAAATAATCTTCTGCTTGCAAAGAGTGTCCTCCACCCTAATCTTCTCATCCCCATCCTTTTAAGGGAGCCACTGGATCCAAAACTCTTCAAATTGCTCTGAGATGCCTTCTCTTCCTCCTCCTCCTCCTCTCCACAATATTTCCAGCCCACTAAACTCCAAGATGAAGGCAGCTTTTCCATCGGGCCTCAGAAATCTTTACTCATGACTTCTAAAATAGCTCTGATGAGAGGCAAATCCCAGGTTGCTTTAGACTCTGAGGTGATTCATTTGTTTTCCATACACCCCGAATATGTGATAATTTAGACATAGACTTCTCCAAATCTGAAGACGTCTGATGAACAACTTCAAATTCGGGCCTTAAGCAGATATAACAGATTAACAGAGTTGGGAAGGACCTTGGAGGTCATCTAGTCCAACTCCCTGCCCAAGCAGGAGACCCTCCACCATTTCTGACAGATGGCAGTCCAATCTCTTCTTGAAAGCCTCCAGTGATGAAGCTCCCACAACCTCTGAAGGCAACTTCTGTTCCATTGGTGGATCGTTCTCACTGTCAGGAAATTTCTCCTTAATTCCAGGTTGAATCTCTCCTTTATCAATTTCCATCCATTATTCCTTGTCTGGCCTTCGGGTGCCTTGGAAAACTGCTTGACCTCTTCCTCTCTGTGGCAGCCCCTCAAATATTGGAAGACTGCTATCAAGTCTTCCCTGGTCCTTCTCTTTATATAGACAGTCCTTGACTTACAACTACAATTGAGGGGCAGAATTTCTGGCTATGTGATTAACAGTGCTTTGCTTAACAATGATAGCCAAAAAAGTCAAGAACTAGGCAGGACTCACTTAAAAAAACCTTCTTGCTTAGCAACGGAAATTCTGGTTCCCGTTGTGTAAATCAAGGACTATATTGTAATACCGAGACGACTGGGGAAACGCCTGCCTGGATATGACAGCTGGCATCCAGTGTCCATATGGGTGAGGATTCTTGAAAGTTTACATCCCACCGAGGGAGAAGAACCAACTGAGATCCATATGAGCAGAACACAAGAGCACTTTCGAAGCCTTCGTGCAACTCCCAGCTCCCACTCTTCCCTCCCTCCTTCCTACGCTTCATATTTACCTCTGCTTGATCAAGTCTTCGACGTCTTTGCACATTTTCCTTCCATCCAGCAAACGCTGCAGGAGCGCTTCGTATCCGGAGTGAAGAGTGAATTCTTTGCACTAGAAGAGGAAGAAGAAAAAAAAACAACAATTCTACCACCTTCTCTTCCCTGCATTTCCAAGCTCCGTTTGAGACCAGCAGAATCATCCCTCAAAGTTGCCCCCGGTTTGTGGGGGCAATAAGCTGACTTTGTATAAAATATACAAAAGAATGAAGGCTATTGCTTAACGCACTGTAAGCCGCCCTGAGTCTCCGGAGAAGGGCGGCATATAAATCAAATTAAAAAAAAAAAAGATCATCCAAGCACGATTTCCCCAACTACCAAGTTTCCATCTTTGGATCTAAACATATCAACGGTGCAAGCAAGCAATTCAATTCCAAGCAGATTAAAGCTCAGGAGCCAAGATCCAGAGATTAATGCAACCTACTTCAGTGCATGGTGGCTCTGCCAGAGTAGAACTTCTCAACCTTGGCACCTTTAAGATGGGTGGGCTACAACTCCCAGAATTCCCCATCCCAATATTTTCTAGCCACCATTCCAAGAGAAACACTGGAGCAATGAAAATCAGGATCAACCTGGTTTTGCCAAGAAGCATGAAAAGAAGACACACACAGACCCCAAGAAAAACCTACAGGTGCGTTTGCCATCCGTACGTTGGCCTTCAGAAAAGCTGGAGCCTTCACCACCCGGAGGGTTGCAGGAGACTGCTGCCCATCTACACACCAGCCAGGCTGGAGAACTTGCCATTCAGACGCGGGTCAGGCAAATGTGACTTCTTCACCCAACTATCTTCAAAGCTGCTTTGGGCTGGTTGAGTCACCAGCGTCAAGTCAAGGGTTGAACTAGCAGCCTTTTTCCAGGGGAAGAATTATCATCACCTTTGGGAATTCAGGAACGTGCAAAGCTATCATCTTCTGAGTCGGGCATGTCGTTCGCCTAGACCAGAGATCTGCAACCTTAAACACTCAAAAGAGCCATTTGGACTCGTTTCCCACAGAAAAGAAAACACCGGGAGCCACAAAACCCTTCCCGTGCCTGCCTATTTCTTGAGGGGCCACAAAACTAGTATATGTAGTTGAATTAAACTTTTCTTTTCTTGGATTTATCCACAGTTGGACTACCAGGGGTTGAAAAGCTTAATAAATCGTGTGCCGGTGGGTGTCGCACATTGGTGGTTGTGACGCATATTTTGAGTGGCAGGGAGCCACAGCAGAGGGGTGAAAGAGCCACATGCGACTCCAGAGCCGCAGGTTGCTGATCCCTGGCCTAGACCAGAGGTCTTCAAACTCGGCAGCTTTAAGACTTGTGGACTTCAACTCCCAGAATTCTCCAGCCAGCTATGGTTGGTTGGTTGGTAGGTAGGTAGGTAAGTAGTCAGATAGATAGATAGATAGATAGATAGATAGATAGATAGATGGATGGATGGATGGATGGATGGATGGATGGATGGATGGATGCTATGCTGGCTGGAAAATTGTGGAAGTTGAAGTCCACAAGTCTTGAAGCTGCCAAGTTTGAAGACCTTTGGCCTAGACCCATCTGGATCTCTGGACTTGATCTCTAGGGGGAGAGGTTTCCTCAGCACCTTCAGGAGGTCAATGACTAAATTTGGGGTCCTCTGTTGATCCCATGTTTAAAACCACAGGACTCTACCGGCCTCCTCCTCCTCCTCCAACATGCCTACAAGCCACTCCACTGGAAACTGTAACTGAAAGACCTTTTGCATCCAAATGGGGAGAAATGAATCATCCTGAATCTGGTGGAGCTGCGCACGGAGATTTCCATTGCGGTTTCATATTGTATCACTTTTTTTTTTTCATATATTTCAATATGCATATCCCCAACAGGATGAGGGTACGACTTCTGACCCCTGAGGCAATTTTTTATACCTCCGGAGTCTCCCTTTACCAATATTGACCATATGATTATGTCTATGCAGGTATCGGATGTCAGATGTTCAACTCAGATTCATCTTCCTCATGGCTTTGGGCTTCCAAAGATAGTTTGATACAGTGGTGAAATGTAAAATTAGTTACTACCGGTTCTGTGGGCGTGGCTTGGTGGGGGCATTGTGACTGGGTGGGCGTGGCCAACTTTTTTTTTTTTAACTTTTAAAAGCATTTTTTCTACAATCTCTTCGGCCGAAGAGGTTGCAGGAAAAAAAATGTTTTTAAAAGCCTCTGACGATCCCAGCTGAGCCACACGATCATCAGAGGCTTTTTTTTTTTACTTTTAAAAGCATTTTTTCAGCCAAAGAGGTTGTAGAAAAAATGCTTTAAAAAGTTTTTTAAAAAGCCTCTGATGATCGCGTGGCTCAGCTGGGCATGTGGGAGGGGGCGCAGGGATTTTTGCTACTGGTTCTCTGAACCACCCGCCGCCATCGCTACTGGATCGGGTGATTCGGTCCGAACCGGGAGCATTTCACCCCTGGTTTGATAGATAGATAGTGCTGGGGAGAGAAAGAGAGAGGAGGGGAAGAGAGGATGGATGGATGGATGGATGGATGGATGGATGGATGGATGGATGGATGGGAAAGACGATAGAGCATGACAGAAGATGATAGATAGCTATCTGGCTGGCTGGCTAGCTGGATGGATGGATGGATGAACAGATGGATGGATGAACAGATGGATGGATGAACAGATGGATGGATGAGTGGGCAGACAGGCAGGCAGGTTAATAGATGATGAGTAACTGATGGATGATAGATGAAAATGAATGGATGGATAGATGGACTGAATAAATAGACCAGTGTTTCTAAACCTTAGGGACTTTTAAGATGTGTGAACTTCAACTCCTAAAATTGGCTGGCTGGCAAATTCTGGGAGTTGAAGTCTACGGATCTTAAAGTTCTCAAGGTTGAGAAAGACTGAGCTAGACCATCCAGTAGGTAGGAAGAGACGGAGAGAGAGAGAGAGGTGAAAAGGAGGAGGGGAAAAAAACGATCACAGACAGGAAGACTAACCCACCAACCACCAAAAGTCAGCCCCACCCCCCACAATGAATGCACTCTTCTTTGAGCTTAAGTCCTCCCGACCCATCCAACGGTCCAAATTCAATGCTTCTCCCTCTCACGAACCCTTCCCACCCCACTCAAGAGCAGCGCCTCCCTCTCCTTCTCGCAGCCCTTCATTATTAAACCGAGGCAGACATCACCCCCTCCCACCTACCCCAGCCTCTTCCGTGCAAACCACAAGGGCTGCCTCGAACTGCAACTGCTAAGCATCGGTGGGGCCGTTTCCTGCCGTGCTATGCTAGAAATGCTGCATCCTTAAATAGGCACAGGTTAGATGTCAAAGGAGGGCCTCAACTCTTTGTTGGGGGGGGGGGGAATGTGAAAAAAAAAATGGAAGTATGCCTTCTCCTGGGTTTTTTGCAAAAAGTTTATTGTGTCTCCATCACTCAAATTTTGCCTGCCCTGTTGCTTGTTCTGGATTTTTTGTTTGTTTGTTTGCAATTCTCCAAATGTTGCAATACTCAGCTTCAAATGTAGAGCAAAATGCATATTTTAAGACGCAAACCTGGCCTAAGGTGTGTGTTTTAGCTAGGGATGGATGCCTAGGCTGATCTCACTTTTCTCTCACCATCTCATTTTCCTGGGGAGGTTTTTTCCCCTTCCATTTCTGTATCAGTTTGATCGAGCTCTACACACCCTTATGCACCCTGATATTTTGAGAGAGATGCAAGCATATGGAGAGGGTCTCTACGAAAATCAGGCCCTGTAAACTAATCACAGTTTCTTTTATTAATTTTTTTTTCCCCAGAGAAAATGCTGGTGTCCTTAGGAATGTTTAAAGGCCATGCAAAGGAAGAAGGTGAAAGGAAAAGGCAAACATTTAATGTAATTTATCTCACAAATTGTCGACAGGGCCTGACTTTTGATAAAACTGGTGTATGTATCTTTGTATCAGGAGTGAAATTCTCTCTGTTCAGACCGGATCACCCGATCCAGTAGCAATGGCGGCGAGTGGTTCGGAGAACCGGTAGCAAAAATCCCTGCCCACCCCCCCCCCGTATGTGCAGCTGAGCTGCGCGATCATCAGAGGCTTTTTTTAAAAACTTTTAAAAGCATTTTTTCTACAACCTCTTCAGCCGAAAAAAATGCTTTTAAAAGTTAAAAACAATTCAGCTGGGATTGTCAGAGGCTTTTAAAAGCATTTTTTATACAACCTCTTCGGCCGAAAAATAATTGCCTTTAAAAGCCTCTGACGATCCCAGCTGAGTTGCCTGATCGTCAGAGGCTTTTAAAAGCATTTTTTTCTGCAACTTAAGGTTATAGAAAAAATGCTTTTAAAAGAAAAAAAAAGTTGGCCACGCCCACCCAGTCACATTACCCCCACCACCAAGCCACGCCCACAGAACCGGCAGTAACAAATTTTACATTTCACCTCTGCTTTGTATGTATGTGTGTGTTTGTTGGTATCAGAGCAGGAAGGACTATTGCGTATATTTGCCGCCTTGAGTTATTTATAAAAATAATAAAGTCGGGTTAAAAACAAACATACATAAATACAAGTATATTCACTTGTATCCGTGTATAATGTACATAGAGCTTTTGCAAAATTCTGCATGCTTTTGAGTAAAACATCGCCGAATGCAATCAGTGGCGGATCCCACTTCGGCCTATCACAAAACTCCCATTTTTTAAAAATGGAAAACCTATCCTGCAAAATGCATTAAAAATGCAAATAATCCTCCTCCCGTTGTCCGTTTTAGAAACCATTAAGCACAGCGAAAGGTGGACTTGCTACAATGGGATAAGGATAAAACCACGCCCTTTGCACGTTTTAGGAAATGGCTGATGGGTGCAGAAATGGAACAGACCGGTGAGCAAAAACTCACCTGAACTCACATCGACCATTCACTGGAAGAAGAAGAAAAAGCATTGCCCCATTTTTTTTAAAATCTAGATTTAAGTGATGGGTGGAAGAATCAAGAACCAGCTGAAGCCTGGCCAGCTAGTTTTAACAAAACCGTCAAGTCAGCAAAATATGAACTAAAAAGATGGCCATCAGCAATTCATAAAGTCTTACTCAGATATCTGCTTCTGCCTTTGGAGTGCTCCGTTTAAGAGAAAGCTACAGGCCACCCAACAACCAGTTCTGTAAGGCCGACGCTGCTAACAACGAGCTTGCTTCCACCCAAACTAAACTCAACATGGTGGATACAGACTTGTCTTCAACCCGCGGAGACAAGGAGACACGGAAAGGTGTTTTCTCTCTCAACAAACAACCAAGGAACCTCCAAGGTGTGAAGCTGAGTCTTTGCAGAAAGATCCTGAGATCCAACACCGAGGGTTCAACAATGCTTCATCCACCCCTTCTCCATCTCCTTTGCATCTTGCACCTTGGCGGAAGCTTCTAGGTAGAGTCAACGCCCAAGCGTAGACCGACTCCCCTATGAAAAATCCAGCGGCCGGGCACAAGGACTCATCAATGCCCTTTCCAGGATCTCTCCAAGGTCCAGAATTTAGATGGTGCCCAGCGCCCAACAGCTGGAGAACAGGAGAAAACCCTCTTTCCACAAAACCCTTCCGTTGGCCTTTCCAGAGACATCATCTTAAGTCTTGCAACCACCCAGAGGTTTTGCAACCTCCAGGGGTGAGGCCCGAGCACCAGGGTGTGGGGCAACGATTTGCATCATACCTTTGCATTTTGCATAAACCACCAGCCGCGTGGTTGAGCCCTAGCACCTCTGGGTCTGCCCTAGCATTTTACTGGAGATAAGACAGAATTCCAGTTGTGCCGTAAACAAAAAATAAATAAATCCAGCTCCGCTTTGGGAGGGATATCAAACCAGCCTTTTGCCTTGGAGAAATAAAGCCATAACTGGCATTAAAAAGGAAGCCACCCAATGAGTGGGAAAGAGAAAAAGAGAGAGGCATTTTTTCAGGGCTTAACGCCGTCTTCCTTTCTTTGAGCATGGTGTTTGGAGGTTTTGGGTGGTTGTTTAGGGGCCCTCCACCAGCTCTTTTCAGTTTGCCCCGAAATAACCACAACACCCCCTAAAATCTCCCATACAAAGAACTGGGCCAGCTGTTTGCAAAGTTACCACCTCTGGAAGTCAGAACGCAATTCGTTGGCACTTACCCAGAAGGCATCTTTAAACTGCAGGTGCGTCATCTCTGACCGGTTAGATCTGTAGGGCGAAGCTGTGTGAAAGAGCTACCCTGCTGGAGTTGGCTGCTCTCTCTCTCTCCCTCCCTTTCTCTCTCTCTCTCTCTCTCTCTGTGCATGCACACGCTCTGGAGAGAAATCTTCTTTAGCAGCTTGTCTGGGGTGGTTTAAGGAAGCTGAGCCAGGCCACTCGCTACTGAAAGCGAAAAGCACACCCCAAACCTCAAAGCTCTCCCTTCCTCTTGCCCCACCTCTCTGGGGCCGATGTCAAACTCCTTTCGCTTCTGGCCAAGAAGTGCGCCTTTCACAAAATGTGTGGAAGCGCAGTCGTTGTCGCCATCCTCTGGGTGCAAAACGAGACACTTCCTTCCAACCAGTTGAGAGTTACGCTCCAGAAGGCAAAAAGGGAGCTAATTGGGACGGCAGGTGGAGGAACTCCTTAAGGGTTGGCTATGCCTTGTGGACCACAGAAAGAAGCACAGCAGGTGTGTAAGGGGTGTGTGCTGGAAACCTTTTGCATTTTTTTTTTCATTCGTGTTTACGGGAAAGAGGCGCAGAAAGGTAGAGCGACCAGCTCAGAATTGGTGCAAGAGTGGAATAATTTTTCACCCTTTCCGTCGAGCGAAGGAAATGCACAGCTCACACCTGGGTCGCGCTGAGTGTGCAGCTTTCGGTTGTGCGCTGCATCTTGTGCCACGCAAGCGGCATCATTTTGGGGCAAGGGTGAATAGTGCATAGCTCCCCTTAATTTTGGCTCATCCGTTGATCCCAAATCATTTGTGGGTCTCCAAAAGAGGGAGAGAAGATGGTTTGCATAGGAGAACAAAGTGCGAAAGTAAAACAGTTGCGTTTCCTCTGCGGCAGGAAGTAAAGGGGGAGTTACAGAGTGAGTTGGTAGCAGACGTAAAGACATTTATTTGCATAATGACTCAGGGGTGGCCTTTACTGTGCCAGGAAATTGAGCACCTCCGTTGTGGTCTCCATCCACGCTGCCCCAGGTGGACGACGAGATTTTCACGTTGTAGATTCAAACCCAAAATAAGGATGATTTGGAGCACCGAGAGTCTTCCGAACAAGGTTTCGGGTGGTCCTTGACTTGCGACCGCTTCGAGTTACGACAGGGTACGTAGGAAAGACCGGCGGGTTGCCAAGGGCCTGAATTTACCTCACACCAGTGGTGGGATGCCCCCGGTTCAGACCGGTTCGCAAGAACCGGTAGTAAAAACGACGGACGGCTCCACCCACCGACCCAGATGTCGACAGGAAACTTCTGCGCATGTGCAGAACCGCACGGTCCCGTTGCAAACCGTTTGTAAAGGTAAGTATGCTTAATGCATTGTAAGCCGCCCTGAGTCTCCGGAGAAGGGCTGCATATAAATTAAAGCCCCCCCCAAAAAAAAGTAGAACCCACCCCTGCCTCACATGACTGTGGGGAAGTTATGACGGTTGTAAGTGTGAGAACCAACGGTTGTAAGTCCCTTTTTTCCAGTCCTGTGGGAACTTTGAATGCTAAACGAATGATTGCTAAGCCGAGGAAACCATGTAGTGAGATAGAAAGGAATGGCTGTGTAGGGATGGAGGGTTGAGGACAAGAGAAGGCCAGCATCAAGGGGGAAAAGACCCCATAATTGCTGGAGAGGGGTGGGCTATTGGAGATGTGAACTGCCCATCCTGCCCTCGGGGTCATTCACTTACATAGTAAGATGGACGGTGTACAAATGTGACTAATAAAATATATTTATGACACTTGATCCTTGCCAAAGATGCTGAATGAGGAAAAGAGCTAAAAGATTCCAGCTGGAAAAGCCTTCAAGGCATCGCTGGATTTGCATCGTCGGCAAGCACAGGTAGTCAACTTACGACCGCAATTCAGCCCTAAATTTCAGTCGTTAAGTGAGTTTTGCCCCCTTTTACGACCATTCCTGCCACCGTCATTAAACGAATCGCCGGAGCGGTTAAAGGAGCAGCACGGTGGGTAAGCAAATCCGTTTTCCCCCGTCGACTTGGCTGGCCAGAAGGTCGCAAAAAGGGATCACGTGATCCCCCCTGGGACATTGCAACTCGTCGTAAATACGAGTCAGTTTGCCAAGCTGTCTTGAATTTTGGACCGCGTGTCCGTTGGGATGCTGCAACAATCGTTAAGTGCGGGGGAGAAAAAGAATCGTAAGTCCCTTTTTTCAAGGAACGTTGTAACTTCGAACTAAACGAGCTGCTGTTGTAAGTCGAGAACTACCCGTAAAACATTTCAAATGGTAAAACTCTTTTTTTAAAACAAAGAGGAAGAAGGAAACTTTCAGTTGCACCTGCCAGGAAAAAAAAGAAGAAAAGGGAAGGGTGTTTTTAGAGAGAGAGAGACGGAAAGGGCCGTTTGGCCAGCCGGACTATTGAAACTCGGACGCTCGGGGTGGGGGTGGGGGTGGGGGGGGATTCCAGGCAAAATCAATGGCTCTATTCAGCCATGAACCAAGACGGGGGTGGGGAGGGGGGCTTTTCTGCCAGCGTACCCTGGAATGAGGAACTGGGCTGGGTTTTGTGTTTTTTTCCCCCCCCCACGACAGCTGTATGCAAATAGAAGGAGGGGGATTTGTTCACCCACAGATAAAAAGCGTTTCTTTTAATAAGAATTTGCTTGCCAATTACCGGTAAGATTAAACTATGAAAAAGGTAAAAATAAAAAGTGCAAAAAGGGGAAGGGGAAGGAGAAGGGGGGAGAGGTGGGGATGGGAGCAGAGGAGGGCAGGGGGGAGGGAGGGAGGGAGGGAGGAAGGAAGGGGAAGATGAGAAACAGGGAGGGAGAGAAGGGAGGCCAGGAGACGAGGGAGGAAGGGGAAGGAAAGGGAGATGGGAGGGAGGGAGGGATGAAAGAAGGAAGGAGGGAAGGGGGAAGGAAAGGGAGATGGGAGGGAGGGAGGGATGAAAGAAGGAAGGAGGGAAGGGGGAAGGAAAGGGAGATGGGAGGGAGGGAGGGATGAAAGAAGGAAGGAGGGAAGGGGAAGGAAAGGGAGATGAGAAACAAGGAGGGAGGGAGCTATTCAATTTCCAGGATTTCAATCGATCAGAACAGAGCCGGAGGGGACCTTGGAGGTCTTCTAGTCCAGCAGTCACCAATCGGTGGTCCGTGGACCACTGGTGGTTGGTGAGAAAATTTTGGTGGTCCGCAGAAAAATTATTTGCATTTTTAATATTGCACTAAATCAGGGGACCTCAAACTACGGCCCCTGGGCCAGATACATGCAATGACCGCTTGTGTTGCTTCAGGGAGTCTCCCCCTTCGGGGTCTTTTTGTGTGGGTTGGAGGGGGGCAGAAATTCCAACTCGGGGTCTGCTTCAGCCTCCTGGTGTGGGGCTTTGGGTTGAAGGCTGGAGGGAAGCGCAGCTGGTGGCGAAGAGCCGGAGGGCCTCGTTCCAGTGGGACTGCCTCATGGCCTGGAACTGGCCTTGCACTCCCGCAGGTCTTCCCTCTGCTTGGAAAGCCCATGCTCCTAGTCCTCAGTGAGGTGCTTCTGATGAGCCTTCTTCTTGGCCAGATCCAATTTGAATTGAGCTGTTTTGCCAACTCTTTTCTCATTGGGGCTGCTTAGATCCAGCAACTGCTTCCTGTTGGGGCCCTAAGGAGCCCGGGCTGGGAGACGAGGAGTAGCTGGGAGGGGAGGGGTGAGTAGAGGTCGGCAAGGTGCCCCTCAACGTGCGTGACATTGAGTTGGCCATGCCCACCCAGTCACATGCCCACCTGGCCACGCCCATCCAGCTGGTCATTAAGGCAGATCATATTAATGGTCCGCGGGATTTAAAATTATGAATTTAGTGGTCCCTGAGTCCGAAAGGTTGGGGACCCCTGTTCCAGTCCAAGCCCTTGCTCAGGCAAGAAACCCTACCCCACTTCGAACAAATGGTTGTCCAACATCTTCTTAAAAACTTCCAGTGTGGGAGCATTCACAACTTCTGGTGGCAAGCTGTTCCACGGATTAATTCTTCTCACTGTCAGAAAATTTCTCCTTAGTTCTAAGTTGCTTCTCTCCTTGATGCGTTTCCACCCATGGCTTCTCCTCCTGCCCTCAGGTGCTTTGGAGAATAGCTTGACTCCCTCTTCTTTGGGGCAGCCCCTGAGATATTGGAAGACTGCTATCATGTCTCCCCTGCTCCGTCTTTTCTCTGGTACAGCTTGTATCAATAAAGCAGAGCTCCATTATTCCCAATGCAGCCCGTACTCTGACCCGGCCTACCTCCAAGGGCTGGCAGGTTTCTCCTACAAGTTAGGAACTTCCGTCCCCCCCACCCCACCCCGAGCAGAGAGATCCCTAGAATGGTCACAGAATCCAAGACTTGGCTTCCCCCTGCGGCTTGATTGACTCAGTTTGATAAAGCCGTATTTTTAAATTCTTCCCCCTTATTTATCCTGTTTTGAAGTACGCTTCCTTTTAAGAAGCGGAGTTAAGCTAGAATGCGGTTTTTAAGAGATTCATTCAAAGAAGCAGCACAAAAGCGGAGGGGCAAAAAGGGGGGGGGGGGTGGCATTTGAACATTTTAATCCAAGTAAATAGAATACTTCCCAAATGCGAAAATATTTCCCTATCGTCTACCATCAAAACAAGGGAATAGGCACCGAAACCTCGTAGGTAACACTTCATCCTCCTGAATTTTGTAATATACAAAATAGGATAGAAAAACTATTAACACCACAGAACCAAGACAGCTACAACTGCGTTTTCCCTTTCCTAAAATAATGAAAATCTAACCGAAAAGAGGGCTTACTTTGCAGTCATACCCTGGTATTTTCAAGTACGTTTCAAAAAGCAGTTTTGAAATCTGAGCATTAAAGATCTCCGTTCTTTTTCCTCCTTCTTCTTCTTTTATAAATTAGACCGCCAAAAGTAATACTGGCAACGTACAGGGGACGTTAGCCACGTAAAATTGCTGCCCAACTGGCATTATTATTATTTTTTTAAGCTGAACAACAAGAGGGGGGGAGAAAAAAAAATCTTAATTTTGAAAGGAAGGCAAAGCTTTTGGAAATTAAAGCTCTTCGTGGTAGAAACTTTTGTCATGGAGCTGTCGGCCGTAATCGGTGGCTTCGCTGTTGAGGAACAGGTCTTGATTTTCAAGGATTTCGTTGGCTGACAGTCTCCGGTCTCCATCCAAGTCCATTTCGTCAAGGAGATGAACAGCCTAGAGAATAAATTAACAAGGGTTCAATATGAAATTTAGCCAGTGGTGGGTTGCTGCCGGTTCGCGCGAACCGGTAGTTCTGACCATCAGCTGGCTCCGCCCACTTGCCCCTGCTCTATCCCGTTTTATATTTCCGTCTTCCTGGCTCTGCTGATTCGTGCGGCACAGCTGATTTCCATGCCTCCGCTATTCTACTTAACGGGGCTGCCTTAGAAGGTAAGCAGCTGAGCTTCAAATTGCTGTATTTTGAACGCTGCAGGTCGCAAAAGGTTCCAAAAGGGGATATACGTGGCCCCGGGACATAGCAACGTCGTAAGTATGAACCAGTTGCCAAGCAGCTGAATTTTCAGCACACACCCTGGGGCTGTTGCAAAGGTCGCAAGTGTGAAAAACGGTCGTCAGCCCCTTTTTTCCAGTGCCGTCGTAACTTTGAACGGTCACTGAATGAAGTGTCGTAAGTTGGAGGACGACCTGAAATATCCTTCCACCCTCTTACCTCTTCCTGGGCAAGGCCTTCATTGTTGGGCATCACCCAAGTCAGCAGCTCTTTGGGGTTCAGCTTCCCATCCTTATCCTTGTCGTAATCATTTTTAAAGCGGTCTTCTTCCACCACAATCCATTCCGGATCTTCTTTGGCGGCTGAAAAAAAAAAACAAAACAAAGTCGCCATTGTTTTCAAACGCATCTTTGATTCACTGCCTTTTTTCTCTTTGAGCAAAATCCCCTTAAAACGTGTGTTTTGCCTTGCGTGCAGGCTGGGAAGTTCTGACTAGTGGTGAAATTCAATTTTTTTTACTACCAATCCTGTGGGTGTGGCTTGCTGGGCGTGATGTGGCTTGGTGGGCGTGGCAGGGGAAGGATACTGCAAAATGTCCATTCCCACCCAACTCCTGAGGAAGGGTACTGCAAAATCCCCATTCCCACCCCACTCTGGGACCAGCCAGAGGTGGTATTTGCCGGTTCGTCGAACTAATCAAAATTTCCGCTACCGGTTCTCCGGAACCTGTCAGAATCTGCTGGATTTCACCCCTGGTTCTGACCCAGCTCCCCAAACACGTAGTACATAAAATTATCTGCCACAATGTCCTTCCTGTCGACTACTTCAGCTTCAACCACAACAATACACGAGCAAAGAATAGATATAAACTCAAGGTAAACCGCTCCAAACTCGATTGCAGAAAATATGACTTCAGCAACGCCTGGTCAATGCCTAGAATACACTACCCGACTCTGGGGTTTCTTCCCCAAACCCCCAAAATTTTAACCTTAAACTGTCTACTGTTGACCTCACCCCATTCCTAAGAGGTCTGTAAGGGGGCGTGCGTAAGTGCACCAGCGTGCTTACCGTCCCTGTCCTAATATTCATTTTTACTTACTCTTTTCCTGTATTCAAATTATGTTTATACTTTTACCTGTTATCTTATATATGCTTGACAAAATAAATAAATAAATAAATAAATACAACTGTCAAGTTTCGAGGTCATCTCAAATAAATTGCATTTCAAACAAAGTCTTTGAAGAAAAACTATTTATTAAGCACAACATTCTAACTCTGACTGCATCGCAGCCAACACTGACTTCCAGACCCAAAACCTTCCCTTTCCATTCCCCACTCCCCTGCACTCATTGGCCATCTTCCAAGTCATTCTACCCCTAATCTACTGCTCCAGCTCAAGGAATTTCCCCCCTCCCATCCCATCTTCTAGGGGATATTATCTCCAGGGAAAATAAGTAGGTGAAAAGTCAAACATCCCTTTCCAGATGCCTCCGCTTCTCCTTCTTATGTCAGCACTAGAGTAAATGCAGCTTGAAGTGCTGACAAAAACTTTCTGGACATCCCCATCTTTCCCTGACCTCCAGCTTTCTCTAGCTGGGGCCTCCAGGTATCCTTAGGAGAACTTTCAGAATTCCGAACCATTCGTGGTTCTTGGAGATCCCCAGGCTGAAGAGGAATGGCCTGCCACTCACTTGGATCTCTTCGATAGTCGCCGAGGAACTCTTCGAGGCTGACAAATCCATCCCCATCTTTGTCATGTTCCTCCAAAGCTTCCTGGATGACGAACTCCTGGTGGAAGGAAAAGCCATCGGAAGGTCAGAAGCGGCTTGTCTTATCAGCTCTGCTCAGAAGGAAGGGGACTATAAACCAGGAGGCGCCAAACTTGGCGACTTTTAAGGCTCGTGGACTTCAACTCCCAGAATTCCCCTGCCAGCCATATTGAAGTTGGAAGTCCACGAGAATGAAAGTTGCCAGTTTTTGGGGACTCCCTGTGCTAGGAAATAACCAGCCCCAGGTTGTGTGTTGTGCAATCAGCTTACAGATGGTTGCATCTTGCAAACTAGAGTTTAGTGAAGTGTGGGTATGTGTTGTGCGAATTGGGTTTTGCCAATTCAGGGGTAGCAACCTGCAGCTCTGGAGCTGCATGTGGCTCTTTCACCCCTCTGCTGTGGCTCCCTGTCACTCAAAATATGTGTCACAACCACCAATGTGTGACACCCGCCGGCATGTGATTTATTGAGCTTTTCAACCTCTGGTAGGCCAACCATGGATAAATCCAAGAAAAGAAAAGTTTCAGAAGAAAACAGAACGTTTAAATCAAGTACATATACTAGTTTTGTGGCCGCTCAAGAAATAGTCAGGCACGGGAAGGTATTTGTGGCTCCCGGTGTTTTCTTTTCTGTGGGAAACGGGTCCAAATGGCTCTTTTGAGTGTTTAAGGTTGCAGACCCCTGTGCCAATTAGATAGGTTTGGTGCTATAGAAATGGCTAGTATATATATATTATATATGCTATAATATATAGTAATATATATTATTATAAAACATGTACAGCATATCACAGAAGTGAGTACTTTAGACATTAGTAGTTCAGACCTGAATGGCTGTGGGTTGCGCTATTTTGAGAGGGCAGCACATTTACACTGTTATACAAGCTGTATACTCACTACTTTACACTGTAGCCAAGTGTCATTTCTTCAGCGTTGTCACATGAAAAGATATACTTAAAATATTTACAAAATGTGAGAGGGGGTGTACTCGCTTCTGTGATATACCGTATATAATATAAAAGTAAAAAGACGAGGTCTTAAGTTATTACCTACCGTATCTTTTCCCCTCGGCCCTGACTTTTTTTTTTTTCTCTCTTCCCTTTTTCCCCTCCTTATTTTTTCCATTATCATTTTCCTTGGTATGTTTTGTACTTTACATATTTCGATCAACCAATAAAAGGGAAACCGAGGGCGACTTATAAAAAGCGGTCACTCCTGCAGCCCCGTTTTTAAAAGCCGTTCCCTCCCGAGACTTGCCTTCATGTAGTCGGCCTCCTCCGGATGTTCAAAGGCGACAAATTCCTCAAAATCCAACACCAAATCGCCTTCCATGTTAGCCTTTTCGAACCTCTTCTTGTCCCTTAAATGGAGCTTTGGGAAGAAGACGTGGATAGAACGTGAGCTGCCGGCCAACGTGTTCCTTTTCCGCCTCTCCGAAGCTCCTTGGACCCAACGGGCTCCTTGACCTCCAACCAAGCAGGCGCCGAGGTTCACCCAGCCCGCTTACCAAGGTTGCAAGCCTTAAGCAGGCCAGTTTCTCAGTTTTATTTATTTGTTTGTTTGTTTGTTTGTTTGTTCCTATTTCTATACCGCCCTTCTCCAAATAGGACTCAGGGCGGTGAACAGCCAAAGTAAAAAACAGAACATACAAAATTTAAAAACAGTTTAAAATAATTAAAGGGTTTCGCAAACAGGAAGGTATTTCTTGATTAAGAAGTTGAGATTTTCTTAATATTTAGTGTCTGCTGTTATAGTCCCCTTTCTAAAGATTACCGCCAACGTTTCAGACCCTGTTTCGTAAATAGGACTAACCGAATATCAGAATAGGAAGGGAGATCTTGGAGATCTTCTACTCCATCCCACTACTCAAGAAGGAAACCCTAATACACCATTATGGACAAATGCTTGTCCAATCTCTTCTTGAAAACCTCCAATGGTGATGGGGAGGGAGGGAGGGAGGGAGGGAGGGAGGGGAAGGAGGAAGGAAGGAAAGAAGGAGGGAAGGAAGGAAGGAAGGAAAGAAGGAAGGAGGGAAGGAAGGAAGGAAGAAAGGAGGGAAGGAAGGGAAGGAAGGAAGGAAGGAGGAAGGAAGGAAAGGAGGGAGGGAAGGAAGGAAGGAAGGAAAACTTAATAACAGAATTGGAAGGGACTTCGGAGATCTTCCAGTCCATCCCACTACTCAAGAAGGAACCCTAATACACCATTATGGACGAATGCTTGTCCAATCTCTTCTTGAAACCTCCAATGGTGATGGGGAGGGAGGGAGGGAGGGAGGGAGGGAGGGAGGGAGGGAGGAAGGAAGGAAAGAAGGAGGGAAGGAAGGAAGGAAGGAAGGAAAGAAGGAGGAGGAAGGAAGGAGGAAGGAAGGAGGGAAGGAAGGAAAGAAGGAAGGAAGGAGGGAAGGAAGGAAAGGAGGGAGGGAAGGAAGGAAGGAAGGAAAACTTAATAACAGAATTGGAAGGGACTTCGGAGATCTTCCAGTCCATCCCACTACTCAAGAAGGAAACCCTACACCATTATGGACAAACGCTTGTCCAATCTCTTCTTGAAAACCTCCAGTGATGGGGAAGGATGGAAGGCTGAGAAAACCTTGAGCCGGTCAGGATCGAACTTCTGGCAGTGAGCAGAGTTAGCCTGCGATACTGCCTTCTAACCACTGCACAGGAAGGAAGGAAGGAAGGAAGGAAGACAGGAAGGAAGGAAGGAAGGAAGGAAAGAAGGCAGGCAGGCAGGCAGGCAGGCAGGCAGGCAGGAAGGAAGGAAGGAAGGAAGGAAGGAAGGAAGGAAGGAAGGAAGGAAAACTGAATAACAGAATTGGAAGGTTCCAACCCCTACTCAAGTAGGAGACCCCATATCATGTCAAACTGCCCAGACTCTTCTTAAAAGCCTCCAGTGACGGAGCTAGCGTTTTGGAGGCAAGCATTCCACTGATTAATTGTTCTCACTGTCTCCTTAATTCCAAGTTGGTTCTCTCCTTGACTAGTTTCCATCCATTTCTTCTTCTTCCCCTGCCTTCTGGTGCTTTGGAGAATAGGCTGACCCCTTCTTCCGTGGGGCAGCCCCTCAAATATTGCAACACTGCTCTCATGTCATCCTAACTAAATTAAACTGAAACTAAACAGAACTAAACCTGTTAATTTTTATTTTTTTTAAATAAAAATTGAAGGCAGGAGAATATCACCTTCCACCTTTTAGTACCCTTATTGTAGCTGCAAGTCAATTGTGTTAGGGTCACTAACAACGTCGTTCAAAGTCAAATCTAGGAAAACGGATTGGAGAGTCAAAAAGCCCCCCTCCCGAGTCTTTCTCACCCAATGAACAGAGGGTCCTCCCCAGTTATGGGAAGAGTAAGTCCCAAAAGCGGAAACATTAATTTTTTTAACCCGTTTCTCTCACACCCTCGGCTCCAGGAAAGAATAAAAGGATCGAAATAAAATGGGAGACGTTCCATGTTTTTTCACCTGCCGGAAGGACTCTTCTTCAACATCGTCCAGCGTGGTGTCCTCTTCGAAGTCGATGACCCGGTCGTACATCTGGATATTGTACTCCTCCCAAGAGACCCTCCCGTCGCCATCTTTGTCGTAGTGGTGGAACTGCTGCTTGGCGTCTTCGATGACGTAATCCTTGAAGGAGTGCTGGATCCAGGAACTCAGCTCGGCTGGGGAGATTTCCCAGTTAGCCTGGTGAACGGGACCCCTTCCCTGGTGGGTGACCTTCAACCCCTTGGGGTGTTGCATTTTCCTAAGAGGCGTTGCGGGATTGAGCCCCAAGTCGGATCTGGGACAACGCGGCCCAGCCAACTCGCCGGCAGACAAGAAGTCCAACTAATATTGGAAATAGCCCAGTATTAGTTGGACTATGAGTGGGGACCGCAGTCTCCCCGTCTCCTGGTGAGTGGTCCAAGGTCACCCAGACGGCTTTCATGCCTAAAGTGGGACTAGAACTCGCCGTCTCCCAGCCTTCACCACTAGACCAAACTGGCTCTTGACAATTGACAATTTATGTCACTCCACGTATGACCATCGTTAAGCCCGGATTTATGATAAGCCAGTTATTAAATGGGTCATCATGTGACAAACCCCCCCCCCCCATTTCAAACCATTTTTGTGGTAGTTATTAAGTGGACATGGCAGTCGTTAAACGAATCCATTATACTCAATGGACGTTTTTCCCCCTGAAACCCAGGGCCTCAGTTTGTGGCAGGGTCTCATTCACACGACGCCTTAAGCCCAGCCAGAGAAAGCAGGCCGCGGCTGGGCTTAGCCGGAGGGTGGCATCAGAGATACCTTCGGTGAGGAAGCCGTCCAGATCTCCGTCAATCTTATTTATGATCACTTTCAGACGCTTCTGCTGCTCCTCCGGGCTCAGTTTGGAAAATTCCTCCACTTCATCCTTTTTTTTGGGGGGGGGAGGGGGCGGGGGGGCAGAGAAACAGCACTAAAATGAGACCTAATTTAGGAAGATCTCTCTCTTTCTGCCTCCCTCTTCCTCTCTCTTTTTTTTTCTGGTCCTGTCTCTCTCTTCCTCTCTTTTTCTTTCTTCCTCTTCTCCCTCCCCTTTTCTTTCTGTCGCGCTCTTTTCTTCTCTTTCTCCCTCTCCCTCTCTTTCTCTATCTTCCTCTTTTTCTCTCTCCTGCTCTCTCTCTTTTCCTTTCTCCTTTTCTTTCTTCCTCTTTCCTTCTGTTTTCCTCTTTCTGACGCTCTCTCTCTTTTTCTCTCTCCCTCTCTCTCTCTTTTTCTCTCTCTCCCTTTCTTTCTGTTCCTCTGTCTCTCTTCCTCTCCGTCTTCCTCTCTTTTCTTCTCTCTCCCTTTTTCTTTCTGGAGTGCTCTTTTTTTTCTCTCTCTCTCCCTCTCCTCCTCTTTCTTCATCTTCCTCTCTTTTTCTCTCTGGCGCTCTGCCTCCCTCTTCTCTCTCCCTCTTTTTCTTCCTGTCGCTCTCCCTCTTTCTCCCTCTCTTTTTCTCTCTCTTTCTTCCTCTCTTTCCTTCTCTCTCCGTTTCTCTCTTTCTCCCTCTTTCCCCCACCCCTCTGCCCACCCACTTCTTTTTAGTAGGAAAGCCAGGATGTGCCCCTCCCCACCAGCCACCCACCCACCCCCAAAGGACCTTAAGAAGCCCTGTTGCACTTAGGGGGTCACCCCTGGCCTTCCCCTGCAGAGCAGTTGCTTCTGCCCCCCGACCCCCCCAATTCCAGGTGGGCTGCCTTAAGATCCCCCCCCCCCCCCTGGGGGGGGGGGTTTCCTCCCTTTCTGCAACCCCCCTCCCCTCCCCTCCCCGGGCTCTTTGCGCCCTCTTCTCTTCTCCCCTCCCAGCCATGCCTGCCCAGGCGCCCCTGCCCGGCGGTGGAAGATGGGCTCGGGTGTCCCACCTGGCCGCCCAGCAGCGCCTCGCGGTCGTAGTCGGCCCGGTGCTCGGCCAAGCCGGGGCCGAAGCCGGCCAGCAGCAGCAGGAGCAGCCCGAGCAGCGGCGGAGGCTCCATGGCTGCTGCAGCCGGGCGGGCCGGAACGGAGGAGGCAGGCGGGGAGGCCGTTCCCCGAGTCTCCTCCCCGAACGGTCCCGGCAGCTGCAGCGGCTCCGCACGAGAGACGCCCCGCGGACGCCGCTTCGGCCGTTGCAACGCCCGGGCCGCGCGGGGGCTCTGCTGGGCGAGGGAGGGGAAGGGGGGGGGCTTGGCCAGGGGACGCCCCCCGGCCTTTAGGGGGTGCAGGAGCCTTGGAAGCTTCTCTCCCACCCCCTCCATCGCCTGGCCTGCTTCTGCAGCCCTGCAGGTGGGTGGGGAGGGGGGGGGGTCCCGGGAGGAGAAAGTCCAGGTGGAACCTGCTCATTGCAAAAACAAACCCCCCAAAAAAAGGGGGGGCATGTCAAGGAGGAGGATCAGACCCCCCCACACACACACTTAACGCAGGGGGTGCAGGATCCTTGCAAAAACACCGCCTTCCCCAGTGCCCCGCATCCCTGCAGGCAGGCAGGTAGGTGGGTGGGTGGGGAGGGGTTTCTTAGGGGGAGAGAGGGTCCCGGGAGAAGGTCCAGGTGGAACCTGCTCATTGCAAAAACAAACCCCAAAAAGGGGGGGGCGATGTCAAGGAGGAGGATCAGACCCCCCACACACACACCACCCTTAACGCAGGGGGTGCAGGATCCTTGCAAAACACGCCTTCCTTCCCAGTGCCTGGGGTGCCCCGCATCCCTGCAGGTGGGTGGGCGGGGAGGGGTTTCTTAGGGGGAGAGAGGGTCCCGGGAGGAGAAGGTCCAGGTGGAACCTGCTCATTGCAAAAACAAACCAAAAAAAGGGGGGGGGCAATGGCCAGAAGGAGGATCAGACCCTTGGAAAAACACCGCCTTCCCCAGTGCCTGGGGTTGCCCCGCATCCCTGCAGGTGGGTGGGTGGGTTGCAGAGTCCGGGTGGAATTGCAATTGCAAAAAGGAGCGATTGCAAGGAGTAAAATCACACACACCACCACCCCCGCCGCCCTCCCCCCCCCAAGTAGAGGGTGCAGGAGCCTTGGAAGCTTCTCTCCCACCCCACTCCCCTCCCATGCTCTGCATCCCGGCAGGTGGGTGGGTGGGTGAGTTTTTTGGCGGGGGTCCCTCCTGGTGGTCTTGGGAGAAAAAGTCCAGGTGGAAGCTGCCCATTGCAAAAAAAGGGGGCGATTGCAAGAAGGACCAGACACCCCCCCTTGGAGAAAAAAAACCCTGCCAGCCCCCCCAGTTCCATGCATCCAGGTGGATGGGTGGATTTTTGGGGGGTCCTGGGAGGCTCCTGCACCCCCTGCGCTGAAAGACGGGGGGGGGCTCTGGTCCTCCTTTTTGCAAAGGGCAGATTTGCGGTCCAGCATTTGATTTCAGCCTAAATTGGGGTGGTTTTTTCCCCCAGCCTCGGCCGCTTAAAATGTGCAGACCAACTCCCAGAATTCCTCAGTCGGTATCTGCAGCTGGGGAATTCTGGGAGTTGAAGTCTTTAAACATCTTAAAAGTTGTTAAAACTTTTTCTCTCCAGACCACTGAAGCCTCCTTTGGGGTGAATGTTAATTTCCTACCAAACTCATCAAATAGGGATTGATTTGGAGGGTTGGGGGGGGGGGAGAAAGGACATTTTGGACTACAACCCCCATAATCCCTAGCTATTGACTATGCTGATTGGGGCCAATGGGGAATGAAGTCCTACTCAGTCCCGCCCCCCCTCCAGCCTTTCTGGGAAAGACAGCGGCTTGTCCCACCCCCGAGTGGGCACAACTAAGGGCAGGCGGCTTCAGCCTCTGCAACTGAGCATCCTCGGGACGGGATAGCGCATGCGCGGCCACGGCTCGGCGCTAGGGAGGGCAAGCATTCAGGGCCCGCCGGCTTCGTTAAGGCGCCGGCGAGCACGCGCGGAAGGTAACCGCGCATGCTCGGTGGCGCCCGCTTTTTTTTTTTTTGACCCCCCAAGCCGGGATACTGCCTCTTCCGAGAGGCTTTTTTTTTTTTTTCTCTTCTCGTCGCGGCACCGGGCTACCGGCGGGGCAAGATGACGTCACAGCGGCGGGACGCACGCAGGCGGAACGGCGCTGCGCGGCGGCGAGTGTAAGTCGGGCTGAGGCGGCGGCGGCGGCGGCGGGCCCGGCGGGCAAGATGGCGGCCGCCCTTCCAGCCGCTTCTCCAGGGCAACCAAGCCGGGCCTCCCCCTCCCCCCGCCCGCAGCCCCCATTCGCACGGCCCCTGCACACGCGTGTCCGCCTGCACGTGTGAAAGGACCCGGAGGGCTCCCTCTGAGGGACGAAGCGGCCCAAAAAGGGGAGGGGTCCCTCGTGGGGGGGGTCGCCCCCTCATCCCCAGGAGGGGCCTCAGTTGGCAGGGCCCCCCCCCCGGAATCCCTCCTTTATTCCTTTTATATGTATGTATGTATATGTGTGAGTGTATCGAATAAAGGAGTTACAGATATATACAAATATATCTGTATACAGATATATAAAAAATAAAGGATTAATATAACTATATATATATATATATAATAAAACAAATAAAGGAATCAGATATAGATATAAAATGAATAAAGGAGTCATAGATATATAAACATATATTTATAAAAAGGAGTCAGATATAGATATATAAAAAATAAAGGATTAATATAATTATATATATGGCTATATGAACTATGGCTATATACGGTAAACATCTTGATTTACGTAGGAAAAACCCCGGCTAAAACAATAATACACATATAGACCTACGAAAAAAGAACAACAGGCATTACTGTTCTAGCCAGGGTTTTTCCTACGTAAATCAAGATGTTTGTATAGCCATAGTTAAGTGACATCCCAAATCACTATTTTCTAGGCTTTATCAGACATTTAAGCAGCATTATGCTGTCTGGTGTCCCGTAAGTCTTACAGCAGACAGCATAATGTCACTTAACTATGGCTATACAAACATCTTGATTTACGTAGGAAAAACCCTGGCTAGAACAGTAATGCACATATAGACCTATGAAAAAAGAAATATATATATATATACATATATATATATATATATATATATATATATTATATATATATATATATATATATATATATAGTGTTTTACCGAGACACTTGGTCTACTCCGAGGAGGCTCCCTCCCGTATTGGGGTAGACCAGGTGCTTCAATAGAAAAACACACTTTCTGCATCCATTGCAGGCCACACCAAGGATCGCGGTTTTGATGCTTCCACCCACACCCACACACCCCAACTTTTGTCCTGTTTTTAAGCCGGAGAAGCTTAAAATCCAACTTTGGACCTTGGAGAGCTTCCAGTCCAAACCTTGGAGACAAATTTGGCCAGGATTCTCCAGGGCGAAATTGACAAGAATGTTGGTTTCTTCCCCCCTCCCCCCCCCAGTGGAAAACCGGAATGAAATTGGGGAATGGTTTTCCTCCAGCTCTGCCAGTCCTTCCTGCAGAGTGGCGGAGGTTTTACATGCTTTCCATACATGAATCCCGAGCCTATTATGGGATGGCACTTCATTCTATTCACCAAGATCAGAGAGCGCCAAAAAAGGTCTTCACTTTATTCTAATTCTGGGATAGCCTGGACCATATTTCCTTGCAATGTTGTTTACAGGTAGTCCTCAGGTTATGACCGCCACTGAGCCCAAAATATTCTGTTGCTCAGTAAGACAGCCGTTACATAAATTGTGCCCCATTTCTCGCCCTTTTTTTAACCACAGCTGTTAAGTGAATCACCGCAGCTGTTAACATGGGCTCCCCTATTGACTTTGCTTGTCAGAATCCAGCTGGGAAGGTTAGAAACGGCGGTCAGAGGATGACTCCCCCCCCTGCCCCTCCCGGGACAGTGCAACCGTCATAAATATGAGCCCGTTGCCAAGTGCCTGGATTTTGATCACGTGACCGTGGGGATGTTGCAACGGTCTTAAAGTGTGAAGAACAGCCCTGGCTCCCTTTTTTCAGTGCCGTTGTAACTTCCGAACGGTCACTAAACGAACGGTTGTAAGTTGAGGACTACCTGTTTTTTCCTGTGTTGCCTTTCCCAATGACGTGGAAATCAAAGGCAAGTTTCGAGCAATTAAAAAACTGGTGGGATCCAGTTGCCCAGGGATTGCTATAAACCTTCACGGCGATGTTTGAAGCCTCGTTCGACTGTGGTAAGCCTTGCAAGTCGACGGCCGAGGTACGGTTGATGGGATCCCGACGGCCAAGGGATCAAGGGATCCTATTTATCCTCCTCCAACCCCCGCCCCCCCCAACGCTGCTTTCCAAACTCGGCACGGGAGGACCGGTTCTTCCCCCGAGGGTTGTGTGACTCTGTGTCTTAACTGCTGAACGTTTTCACCCTGTATAATGTTCTCTTTTCTTTTCCCCCCCAAAGTGGCTGCACAGTTTATCAGGATTAAAAGTCCAATAACAGGACATAACTTTGCCCGTCATGGTACGAAGAGCACTTCTCCTCTTTTTTCTCCTAAATTAACTGGACATTGGTGTAGCGCTCTCAAGAGTCTGCGCGCTTCTTGTGGTGGCGTCACTGGGGCAGAATCGGCCATCCCGCTGCACGGCGTTCTCCTCTTTAGCTAGCTTTGCTCTGCCCCCCCCCCAACCCTTCTGGCTTCTCTCTGCTCCGCCCCCCCCGGCTCCCTGCATGTTTTTGGCCACTGCCACAGGTGCCTTTCCCCAGCCTTCTGCCATCTTCCACAGCTCTCCCACGTCATTCTCTTGCATGGTTGTCTCTCTCTATGGTCATGCCTCACCTGGTAGTTTGGGGGGGGGCGGGCATTCCTAGAAGGTCATCCTGTGGCCATTTCTCTTTCAAAACCAGGACCGTTTTTGGCTGTCAAAGCTGCTGTGCAGGTACTCCTCGACGTGCGACCACCGTCGAGCCCTACATTTCCGTTGCTAAGCGAGGCGGTTGCTAGTTTTGCCCCCGTTTTTACGACCTTCCCTGTCGTGAAGCGAATCACTGCAGTTGTGGAGTTAGTACCACGACGTCCTCGACTTAACAAGCACAATTGACAAGCCCAACATTTCTGTCGCTCAGCGAAACCTTTGTTCGGGGAATTCTGCCCCGTTTTACGACCTTTCTCGCCACGGCCGTTAAGGGAATCAATGTAATTGTTAAGTTAGGAACACGGTTGTGAAGTGAATCTGGCTTCTCCTATTGATTTTGTTTGTCAGAAGGTCGCAAGAGCAGTGACCCCGGGACACGTGACCGGGGACACTTTGGCCGTCATAAATATGAATAGAATAGAATAGAATAGAATAGAATAGAATAGAATAGAATAGAATAACAGTTGGAAGGGACCTTGGAGGTCTTCTAGTCCAACCCCCTGCTTAGGCAAGAAACCCTACACTACTTTAGACAGATGAGTCATCGATTTCAATCACGTGACCATGGAGATGCTGTAATGGTTGTCTGTGGAAAACGGTTGCAAGTCCCTTTTTTCAGTGCCATCGTAACTTCGAACCGTCACTAAATGAACGGTTGTAAGTTAAGGACTACCTGTACAGTGGGTATTTCTCTCTTCCGGTGTCTGGGTTTAGTCCTCTTTGACCGAAGGAGAAATTATAACAAGAAAATAGTGGACGAAGCCCTCTCCATCCTGGAATGTTGACCATGGTTCAGTCCTTGTTCTTCCCTTTCTGGATGTTGTGGCCCGCCAGCGGCCTGTGCGGATCGTGGCTGATCCCAACGATGAGGAGGCTGGTGTGGAGTCGCGCCAGCAGCCTGCGCAGCCGGCACTCGGGTCGAACAGCAAGGAGGCTGAAGAGGATGTGATGCCAGAGGCAGAGACTCAGCCAGGGCCTTCAGACCCTCCAGAGGCTCCTTCAAGTGGAGAGAGCGAAGTGGAGGAGCCTCTCCTCAATGCTCGGGCACGCAGGACTGCCAAAAGGCAGGAGTGGCTACTCAGGAGGAGGAGGTCTCCTCGAGAGTAAGGCTTGAGGATAATTGGCCACTCCCTTAGCCTATTTAAGTCGCACGCAGTTAGTAATTTCTTGCTGGAAACAACGTGTAATTATTACAGAGCAGTTTGGAGAGTGAGTGTCTTATCGTATCTTGTTTTCTGGGCTGGTTGCCAACCTTTGCCGGACTTTGTTTATTCTTGGTACGTTATAACTTTGATAAGGACCGTTGGTGTGTGTCACAATCCTTGGGGATCCAGAGCTGGGGCAGAACACTGGGAGGGTCTTTGGGCCTAATTTGCGGCGTGCATTTTATAAGCAAAGGTCCATCTTAAAACTCTAATAAAAGAGATACTTCTGCAGCTCAGGGTTGAACCGTGGAGTCCTTGGCTCTTAAGGGAGCACCAGAGACTCCTCGGATTGTAAACTGGGTTATGTGGCATCCTTTCCTAAGACCTAAACGTGTTCTTCAGTGGTGAGGGATCCGGAATGCCCTCGCTCAAATTTGATTATGCCTGATGCCCGCTTTGCAGTCGCCTTGACGCTTAGGCTAAGACGCTTCCATTTAATTCTGCTTTTCAGTCTAGTCTACACAACGTCTTGAGCTGCCCTCAAAATTGGCGATTGCTTGTCCAACATTCATGGCTGTTGTTGGGTTTTGTTTTTTTTTTGCTCTTAGTGTATCCGGTTTTTAAAAGGCTTCAAGTCTCGTGGCCCTTTGTATTTGAGTTAAAAATAATCTTCTCTGACATTATATGTCATCTTGTCATCTGATTGGATGGGAGGTGGAATAGACATGTTTCCAGCAAGAGAGAGCATCTGAGCTAAAGGGAAACAGAGGTTTAAGGGTAGCATTTCAGCTTGGTTGCCACACCAGTAGAAACATATTTGCAAGCAAATAAACAAACGTGAATTGATTTTGTTTTGGCATCGAAAAAAAAGCAAAGTTAAGCAAACTCATGTTTTGGAAGGAAGAAAGGAAACCGTGGTAACCCAAACAAATCAGCCACTCATACATAGATTTGTTATTGCCTAGCCTCATTTTTGCTGCAGTTTAAGAGTTTCGAAAATTTTTCTTATGCTGACATAAAACAGTTATAGATGGTTGCATTTTATAGAGGGTTTTTTTTTCTCCCCCAGAATGTAAACCAGCATAAATAAAACTCAGTCTCAACAATGTATTGACTTGTTGTATTATATTACTACAAAATTCTGAAATAAACAATAAACACTTGAGTCTTAGAATAGGGTGAATTCCATTTGTGGAATGGAAAATCCCGTGGAGGTCATTGAAATGGCAAAATAAAAGCAAGATTAGTATAAATAAAAAGAGGATGATTCCATTCAGAATATCAGAATTAAGGGTATTGTGTAACTGCCAATGCCATAGTAATGTGCTTTTTCCATGAGTTAAAAATTAAGTTCCCGATGTCATTTCTGCCCAGAAGTCAAATAATGCAGGGGTCTCCAACCTTGGCAACTTTTAAGACTTGTGGACTTCAATTCCCAGAATTCCTCAGCCAGCACAGCTCCTTTTATCAACATGCTTAATTATAAACCCATTTCAAGAACGTTTTTTTTTTTTTTTAATTTGATTTATATGCCGCCCTTCTCCGGAGACTCAGGGCGGCTTACAGTGCGTTAAGCAATAGCCTTTATACTTTTGTATATTTATACAAAGTCAGCTTATTGCCCCCACAAACTGGGTCCTCATTTTAACTACCTTAGAAAGGATGGAAGGCTGAGTCAACCTTGAGCCTTGGAGAGATTCGAACCAGCAGTAAATTGCAGGCAGCTGTGTTAATAACAGGGTGCTTTAAACCACTGTAGTACCAAGGCTCTTTTTTTCCAGGCCATTCATATTTTGTTGTGTACGGTTGCTCCTGCCTGACCAATAGGATTGCGCATCTTTTAAATGTGGCACCATTTTGCTTTATTGTTTGTAGAACTTGCCCATGATTCAGACATGCTGACTGTACGGCTTACCTATTTTTATTTGCGTTAACGTTCATTCGATTGTTGATTCGCGGGATCGGTGAAGTTTTGTCGTGAAAGTGACCATTTTTTTTTTCCGTTGCTGCTTTTTTATTAAGACGCGGCAGAAACTATTTTAAACTGGTCCATGGCCGTTGCCATGTGCAAAAGGAAAAAAGGAACGTGTTATTTCTGTAAGAATGAACAGTATAGCGATCCACTGCTCGCCGCTAAGTGTTTTCCAAAGGTTCCCTGTGAAATTACTTCGGGTGTCCCACAAGATAGCCTACAAAGCCTTTAAGGAATGAAATGACCATTCAGCTGTGCTTGTCTCGACAACATCGGCTTCAAGTCCCCAATAATGCTAGCTTAAAAGTCATGTGGTGTTAGTTTGGTGGTGTCTGAAGGAATTATCTGCTCCCCAGCAAAGCAGAATAATTGAATTCACTGCATGGTGGACACCAAAGGCTTGGAACCCTTTGCTAGCCGAGGGTTAGGCGATGCGCTGGACTTCTGAACAATCCAAACGTAGGAAAGTCACAGCAAGAGCCTCGTTTTTGAATCGTCTACATTTCAATTAATTCGGTGTGATTAAAATGCAGTCCAAACCAAAACGAAGAGTGGCCATTTATGGTTGCTGCCAAGGCTTCGGAGAGGTTCTGTGCCTTTGGTGTAAATGTTCTGTGACGGCTCCGTGTCCCGGCAAGAAAATACCATTAACGACTGTTTCATTGTTGTTAAAAATGCCTGTCTTTTGTATGTTAACACAGCTATGACGACTTCATGGGCTCAGCCAAAAATGTGATCAGCGAATCTGTTGACGCAGAGGAGAAATATAACATGATGGTAAGTCCTCCCTCCTGACAGTCGGTCAGCCTCTTCATGGTTTGGCGGTTGGGTGATGTGCAAAGGCTTCCTCTCCCGCTGTGACTGTATGCGGGGAGTCCTCGAGTTACGACTGTTTGTCTAGTGACCGTTCAAAGTTAACAACTGAAAAAGTAACGTGCCTGATCCTCGCAGGTACGACCGTTGTAGCAGCCTCACAGTTAAGCAATCGAACTTCGAACACTTGACAACTGGCATGCACTTATGACGGTCACTATTTGAGACTTTCCCAGCTGGCTTCCGAACAGAGTCAGCAGAAGAAGCCGGATTCACTTAAGAGCCACACGGATCACTGAACAACTGCAGTCATTCAGTGATCAACCATGGCAAAAATGGTCGTAAAATCAGGCACAACTCATATAAATAACATCATAACATAACATAACATAACATAACATAACATAACATAACATACATAACATAACATAACATAACATAACATAAGTAACATAACATAATTTATAATATAAATAACAGCCACCTTACTTAGCAATGGAAATTCTAATCCCCAGGTCATAAATCGAGGACTACCTGCAATGTAGAATTTGAAGAATTTGGTCCAGTGCAGTTATCATAACTGAAATAGTTATATTTGTAAGGGATGTGCTAAAACATTGAGAATGATTTGTCTTGATCCATCAATGCACATTTTTAAAAGGTTCCAATTTGTAGTTGTGGCTGCTGTTTGAACCTTTTTTTTTTTTTTTAACTGCTCCACTCTTGGTTTTCCCAAATTCATCGAAAGGGATCCGGTTTCCTTACAGATGGAAGCGGCTAGGAAATAACAGTAAAAATATTTTTCTGTATGCTTTTTACTAGAGATGTCTCCCCATGCAACAGTATGCACTGAATTAACTTAAGAGATGAACCTAGACCATTTCCCTGACGCCAAAGAAGCGTGGAAATGTAGAATAGCAAATTTGGAAATAGCATTTCTTGAGAAAATACGACATTTGATGGAAATGCCCTTAGGGTCACCTCTTTAAATAATTTTGTTTTTCCGTAATCAGAGAAGAGAAGAGGTGGAGAAGAGAAGAATAGAATATAGAATATAGAATAGAATTCTTTATTGGCCAAGTGTGATTGGACACACGAATTTGTCTTTGGTGCCTATGCTCTCAGTGCACAGTGTACATCATGAAGAGCAACATGAATTATTGCCTCTGATAACTGGGCTTTTAAGCTTTACTTTTTTCCTCTGACATTACAAACATATCTGAAAATTGTCATCTGCGAAAGGATCTGTTCTGGATTTGCCCTGTGGTCGGCTGCAAGGGTTTTAATGCATCTTTCAGAATCTGGCACACCACTTTGCCAGAGTTTTACAAACCACAGGACCTCGCACTGTTTACATTTGCCATGGTTTTTTTTTTTCCCCTGAAAACTTCTTTTAAAAAGACCAGCCGCTTGTAGATCTGGGTCGTTTCACCCTAACGATGGGGAAACTGAGGCTTTTAAGCACTGAAGCCCTTGCACTTGAGGTTCACCAGCCAACAAGGAGCTGGTGGGGCTGCCCCAAAGAAGAGAAGGTCAACCTCTTCTCCAGAGCACCAGAAGGCAGGACAAGAAGCAACGGACGGAAGCTAATCAAAGAGAGAAGCAACCTAGAAATAAGGAGAAATTTCCTAACAATGAGAACAATTAATTAGTGGAACAGCCTGACTCCAGAAGTTGTGAATGCTCCAACACTGGAAGTTTTAAAGAAGAGGCTGGACACCATTTGCCTGAAATGGTATAGGACCATGATGGTGAACCCATGGCACGTGTGCCAGAGGTGGCACACAGCGCCCTCTCTGTGGACACACAAGCCGCAGCCCCAGTTCAATTCCGCCATGCATGTGCACGCGCCTCCCACCAGCCAGCTGGTCTTCGGGTCTCTGCTGCGCACGCGGGGGAGGGCATGCACATTGCATTTTAGGGGTTCAGGCGCGCTTTGGGCACTCGGTCCGGAAAAGGTTAGCCATCAATGGTATAGGGTTTCCTGCTTGAGCAAGGGGTTGGACTAGAAGACCTCCAAGGTCCCTTCCAACTCCATTATTTTGTAAGGAAAGGCTGACCACAAGTGGTTGAAAAGCTAAAAATATTTGGGTACTCCGTCCAAGATGATTCTCTTTCAGGTGAGGGTGAATTCTTCCCAAGTTTGCCATGTGCTACATCCGGCCACACCGAGAGGAGATGTAAGTTCTCCGCTCTTGTGATCCCAGGACATCATGAGCTGGTTGTAGGCCTAGGCCTGGGTGTCATTTTTGGTGATAGGTTTTCTGTTCCTGGCTCCTTTTTGGGGTTCCAAGGCCTCTTAAGACAGAAGCAGCCCAGCCCTTTAATTCAGCGGTGGGAATTTTATAGCCAGTTTACAACCTGTGAACTTCTGTGACTCTCAGAATCAGGCTGGGTGCGATGATCTGAAACCTTTGTTCCCTTCTGCAGGCTTCTTTCCAACGCTCTAACAGTCACGACAAAGTCAGGAAAATTGTAGCGGAGGAGGGTCGCACTGCAAGGAACTTGATTGCTTGGAGCGTGCCACTGGAGAACAAGGAAGAGGAGGGTATGTACTTGACGTTGTACCAAATCAGCGTTTCTCAAACTTGGCAGCTTTAAGATGGGTCGACTTCAAACTCCCAGAATTCCCTCGTCAGCCATGGCTGACGAGGGAATTCTGGGAGTTTGAAGTCCACCCATCTTAAAGCTGCCAAGTTTGAGAAACACTGTGCTAATTCATCTCTGCTGGTCTTTGCTGTTATTGGTTTGGTTTGGTGCAGGGTAACCCCGAGTTCTAAGCTGTGATTAATGGCTTCTGTGTTACGTATGTCAGGCCATCATGGCCTGTTGAACAAGTCACAGTTAAAAGAAAAGACACGTAACACCGGTGAACCCTGGTAACAGCCTGGCAGAGATAAGGGCACTAATCTCCACTCCCGAGTCCTTAAAGAAATAAAATTCTTTCTCTTAACAGAAGTTCGTCTTTTTACAGGAAAACCGAAGTGGCAGGTGGGAGCAAAATCGAAGAGGATAAACCAAGGAACACACAAAATTAGCAAACAGGTACGTGCTGTTTTGTTTAACATTCAGGCATCTGAAACAACGCCAATTTCCAGAAAGCTGCAAACGGTCAAATATATCCACGTAGTCATATTTTACTGTTTCCCTGAAAATAAGACCCTGTCTTATATTTTTTTGAACCCTGAAATAAGCGCTTGGCCTTATTTTCGGGGAAGTCTTATTATTTTGGGGCGCATGGAGCAAGATGGGGCTCCTCTTGCCGTCTTACCTGATTCTCAGCTCTGCATTTAAATATTTTCGAGGAGGGCTTATTTTCGGGGGGGGAGACTTATTTTAGCATAGCACATGCTCTCAAAAGCCCCATTGGGCTGGGGATGTCTTATTTTCAGGGAAACAGGGTACTTCTAAAGCAGGGGTGTCAAACTGGATTTCATTGAGGGCCGCATCAGGCTTGTGTTTGACCTCGGGGGGCCGGGGTCAGCGTGGCCAGGGTGGGCATGGCCAGCTCGACATCACCCATGTGGGGGGCGCCTATAGTGGACCGAGCGCTCTGCCAGCATAAATGGGCTCCCGAGTTCCGTTTTCGGCTACAATAACCTCCTGTAACCCTCTGCCAGCAAAAACAGCTCGGGAGAGCCACACGCAGCCCCCCCACCCCACCCCAAGCTCCATTTTCGCTGGCAGAGGCACCAAAGGCCAGTCCTGCGCTATTTCCAGGGCAGCCCCCAGACCTTGAATGCGACACCCCTGTTCTAAAGCATTACATTGCCCGGGCAGCTAACGGGTGGGAGGGGTAGATTTTAAATGAACAGCCAAAAAGAAAGGAAAAAAAATACCTCTTTCAAAAGTGCATCCACATGTGCTGAGAGTACTTTTACATTCTCTTGGGAAGAGGGAGCCAGTGATACTAACCTTTTGAATTACCCCGGGAGTGAAAAAGGCCCACTGTAACACAAATGCCCAACTGTTCAGCGTCAATAATTGCGCTGTATTAAATACAAAACGAAAGCGCCCCTCAGTAAAATGATCACTAAATGCCCCTAATGGAAACTGCACACCCATCCTCCGGAGACCAGCCGGTCTTGCAACAGCAGGCCTGGCCAGCTGACAGGAGATTAATTTCCATATGTTAAGACCACGCAGGGAGCCAGCTCTTAAATAATCTTAAATAAGTTTCTTAAATAATCAATTTGAAAGCCGTTTGACCAAACAAACCTCTCTGCACTTAAGCCAAAATAAGCCCTGGTGTGCTTAAACGTAGGACTGGGAATTGTGTGTTGTGATGGTTTGATTATGGACTATTAATTCATTCAGGGGTGTCGAACCTGGGCAACTTTAAGCCTTCTGGATTTCAACTCCCAGAATTCCTAAGCTGGGGAATTCTGGGAATTGAAGTCCACAAGTTGCCAAGGTTGAAAGCCCCTGAATTAAGCCAAGGAAGCTGGATTCATATGTTGTGTTAAAACCATGATGGGACTTGTTTACTTGGATTAGGGCTAAGTCGCCACTTGCAGTGATAACAAAGCTCGCCAGCTGATAGTTTTCCATGAAACTCCACGATACATTATTCACTTGATGGAAATCAGTGTTTCTCAAACGTGGCCACTTTAAATCGTGTGGACTTCAACTCTCAACACGTGGGGAATTCTGAGAGTTAAAGTCCATGCATCTTAAAGTGGCCAACTTCGAAAAATAACAGCCTGTTCCAAACCCGTGCCTTGTTCCGGAGGTCTTCAATCCACAGGTCTTAAAGTTGCCACGTTTGAGAAACACTAATATAGGTGATCCATGATCCTTCTCAAATCATGGTTAATTGCTTGGTCTCGTGGGCAAACCTGAACAATTTGAGATTTCCTTTAAAAAAGAGACAGTGGAAACTTTGTTTAGCGCATGTGCCTGCTTTTCCAATCTCCTCTGCAGAGCACGGCGCCCGATTGCAAAATCCCGCCAGTCTCCGGGGAGAAGGCCTTCTATAAAAGCCCCACCAAGACAAGGCAGCCGCGGAAAGTGGACCTCCGGGCTCGATACTGGGCATTCCTTTTCGACAACCTAAGGCGCGCAGTGGATGAAATCTACGTCACTTGCGAATCGGATCAGAGCGTGGTCGAATGCAAAGTAAGGCTCTCCTGATTGGTCCACGCGGGGGTGGATGGGGGAGATGGCCATTTGAGCATCATGGATGGTCTTTGGATGCCAAGAGAGATGGATGTTTGATCTTCGGATGTTCTCAGGGCACTATACTGCTTTTAAAAATGCCTATTTGAAAGCCTTTCAAGATTTTTACAATGATGCAACGGAGTGTCACTTCCTCCCCCTTTACTTTACTTCTGTGGCGTGAGTTCGGTTAAAAGCAAGAAACTTAAAGGAAAGAAAAACGGTAATTTAACTGCTCTGTAACTCAGCGAACAGATTTATATGGCCCTTGTTGAGCGGCCAAATAGGGACTGGCAACTTGGTCACTAAGCAAAGCAAAGTAAAAGCACAGTTGTGTGCTTACAATCTTACTTCAGCTTTGCTTTACAGACTCACAAAGGTCAGGATGCGAGGATTGGTTGCAAAGTTACCTTTTCATCATCACAACTTATGAACAGTCGTCGTAGGGGTCCGTCACTAAATGGGGACCGTCTGTACTGTCCTTTCGTTATCTGGGTTTCCGTAAAATACAGTGTGCCGTGGTTGCTTCATCACAGTGCACTTAGTGAGTCAAAACTCAGAAGCTGAAATGTGGTTTATTTGATCTTGGCTTCGTGTCTTCCCAACCAGAGATTAAATCTATGTTCCTTAATGAGCCACTGGGCTAGTCCTGCACTGACTGAATCATTCTCTCCTTTGGAAATTAAAGAGAGTTTTTTTCCCCTTTTAATGAGAGAGTTTAGGCCCAATTACGCCTTCTTCCTTAATTACCATTCATTACTTTTGAGTCGTGCTATTTCACTCCGACTGTCCCGAACGTCATCTCTCTGCTAAACAAATAATTCCCTCAACTAATTAGGGAAACTAGTTAGTAAGTCTGCATTACTATTAATCTTCTCATCGTTCCTATCACCCATCTCCTCCCACTTATGACTGTATGATTCTAACCGTTTTGCTGGTATCCTTAAGATTTATATTGACTGTTTCCCTATGACTATCATTAAGTGTTGTACCTTATGATTCTTGACAAATGTATTTTTTCTTTTATGTACCCCGAGAGCGTGTGCACCAAGACAAATTCCTTGTGTGTCCAATCGCACTTGGCCAATAAAGAATTCTATTCTATTCTATTCTATTCTATTCTATTCTATTCTATTCTATTCTATTCTATTCTATTCTATTCTATTCTATTCTACTCTACTCTACTCTACTCTACTCTACTCTACTCTACTCTACTCTACTCCATTCTATTCCCTCTTCATTCTATTCTGTTCTGTTCTATTCTATTCTGTTCTAACAATCTGTAAATAATAATAATAATAATTCTCCCCTGAAGAGGTTACCTACTTGGGTCACGAAACCTCTGCAAGGCAACAGCCCAGCTTAGAGACCCCACCTTTCTAACCCTGAGCTACGAACCTTCTCTCCTCTTGGTTCTATGGTTTTTCCGTGTCCTTGTGAGATGAAGGGAGACTTTGGGGTACTCCTGGATTTACCAATCCACGGATTCCCTCCTTCGATGTCCCATTGTTCCTGTAGGGGGCACTGTTGAGATTCTGCTGGGACCCCCCCATCGGCTGGGCTTCCTGCTCGCTCTCTTAATTCCCCGCATTGTCCCTCGCCTGCAGAGATAGTTATCGTCCCTCTCGGTGGTAAGCCAGGGAGTTTGATTGATGGCCTGGTATAAACAACGTCTGGGTGGGTCTCGTTCTCTTCATCTGACTTTTGATGGGAAACAGACATCGCCCCCCGTGCTGCCTTTTCCTCCCAACTCAACTGGAAGCTGTTTTGGCTTCCGGGTAACAATAGATTGATTCTTTCAGGTGGCCACCTAGGAAGTGAAACAATTGCAAATTGTTCGATAAGACCCCGGGGGGGAGGAAGTCAGGAGGGCAGGTGGTCCTCGGCTTAACGACCAAAAGGGAGCCCAACATTTCAGTTTGCTAAGTGGGAAACTTGTTAAGTTGAGTTTTGCCTCCTTTTACGACCTTTCCTGCGGCGGTTGTTAAGTGAATCACTGCATTTTAGGAACTCGGTTGTCAGAAGGTCACAAAAGGGGGATCTCGTGACCCTGGAGACACTGGGACCGTCATAAATGTGAGTCAGTTGCCAAGCATCCAAATGTAAATCACGCAACCCTGGGTATGCTGCAACGGTCATATGTGTGAAAAATGGACACAAGTTACTTTTTTTCAGTGCCGTTGTGACCTTGGATGGTCACTGAACAAACTGTTGTAAGTCGAGGACTTCCCAACTGTTGGAAGTTGAGGACTTGTAGTCAAAATTTAGAAACTGATGGTAGTTTTCCTCTTTTAACTGAGTTTGTTTGTTTTTTTTCCTCCCCCTTCTCCCACTTCTGGAAGCCGTTTAGCTAAACCTCTGTGCATAAAACAGGATTTTTGTTAGCTCATGAATATGTAGTTTTTCTCCTGCCACAGAAGACTGCCAAGTCGGCAGCAAGATTAGCGCAGAAATCAAAATCCTAAGTGAATTTGGAAAACAAACAGCGCCTTGTGGCTTCCAAGCCGGCTGTCGGTTTAATACAATTTAATTCACATTAAAAAAAAGAGGAAAAAAAGGAAAAAAGAAGCTCCGACCATGGTTTTCTCACTCAAGAAATTTCCCCAGTAATTTTTATTTTTTTTATTTTTTTTTTACAAAAAACAAAGAAAAAAAGATGAGGTCTGATTGCCTGGCTGGGTAATCGGATTACGATTTTCTAAATATTTATGGCTGAAAGAATTAGTACGTTATTTGTACGACATCTTTGCAGATCCAAGACCTCGTCCAAAAAATTCCAGTGATTTCACTCATGTTATGCTGGGAAGGAAACACTACGCGGCCAAGGCTTCCTTATAACATAACCATGAAAACAAAAACCTTGTTTTCTGAAAAGAGTTGGCAGGGCATAGCGGCAGGATTATCCGACCGTTGCTTTGTTTACGAAATTTAGGGTTTTTTTTTTTAAAAAAAAAACCGCGTGGAATTGCCTACTGCACAAAAGATGCGTTTTGGAAAGGTTTAAATCGTACCGGGATACCTGGTTTGGTGAGAATCCATAACTTCTCCGCTTCCCCCGAACCCACGGCTCAATCTTACCGATTTAATTTTAACCATTGTTTTCAATAAAAATAAAATACTCCCCAGCTTTTAAAAGCGGTCGGTTAGTCAAGCTGTGTCTGGCGGGAAAATGAGAGTTAAGATGCGTGTGTTGATTTTTACAACTGTGGTGTGGGTTTTAAATAATTTTCTGCCCCTGCAGAACGACATGTTTTCTGAAGTCAAATGTTGACTTCTTGTCTTAGCATTAAGCTAAAGGGGGAAAAAACAAGAAAGAAATTACGACCATTTTTCACATTTTCTCTCTCCTTCCTTCCTTCCTCCCTTCCTCCCTTCTCCTTTTCTCTCCTTCCTTCCTTCTTCTTCCCCATTCTCCTTCCTTCCTTCCTTCTCCTTTTCTCTCTTTCCTTCCTTTCTTCCTTCTTTCCTTCCTTCCCCTTTTCTGTCCTTCCTTCCTGCCTGCCTGCAGCCTGCAGTTGTTAAATTAGTCACACAGTCATTAAGTGAATATGGCTTCCTCATTGACTTTGTTTGTCAGAAAGTCACAAAAGGGGATTATGTGACCCCGGGACATTGTGACCGTCATAAATATGGGCCAGTTGTCAAGCATCCGACGGTAAATCACATGACCATGGGGATGCCGCAATGGTCATAAGTGTGCAAAATTGTCGTAAGTCACTTTTTTTTAGTGCTGTTGTAACTTCGATCACTAAATGAACTGTTGTAAGTCAAGGACTACCTGTAGTACCAAAGCAAGTTGCCCCCTGAAGGGTGTGTGTGACAGAGAGAGAGAAAACGAGAGAGAAAGGCAGAGAGAGAGAGAGAGAGAGAGACAGAGAGAGAGAGAGAGAAGAAGAGAGAGAGAGAGAAAACGAGAAAGACAGATCGAGACAGAGAAAACAGAAGAGACGGAGAGACAGAGAAAATGAGAGAGAGAAAAAAACGAGAGAGAAAACAGACAGAAAACGAGAGACAGAGTGAGACAGAGAAAACAAAAGATGGAAAGAGACAGAGAGAAAACGAGAGAAAGTGAAAACGAGAGACAGAGAAAATGAGAGAGAAAGAGAGAGAAAAAAAATGAGAGAAAACAGAGAGACAGAGAGAGACAAAACGAAAGAGAGAGAGACAGAGAAAACGAGAGAGAGAGAGAGAGCAACCTTTCTCAAGTGGTCCAGCGTTTCTACTGCTTCAGCATCCCAGATGATACCTGTGGATAAAAAGGAGACCCGTATCGACGGTCAGGACACAAGAGCCCCACGCGTAGGGATTGTGTGTCGTCCCCACACAAGGGATGGCGCCAACCCTCCGGCGGGGCCCGCCGGTCACGAGCCTGAATTACAAACCAATCGAATCCGTCGCAGCCAATTGGTAAAGTAATTGGTAATTTTAGCTGGACATCCATACGCCGTTATCGGGATGTTGGCCACGAGGGTTTTTCAGAGGCACTTTTGTTTCCACAAAATGGCCCTCGTCGCTTCGGGGAGGAAGACGGGCCTCCCTGCATCGGGGTGGGGGGAGAGCAGCTCCTGCCCCTCGTCTCCAGCTTTTCTCACGTCAGAGTCGAGTTACGGCTGCCCTGCACTGATGCGTCTTTGGGATAAGCCTTTCTCTGAAATAAGTTCCTTTCGGCCATTAAGTGTAATTTGGGTGCGTTGTCAGTCCTGGTAAGATAATTGTGTCTTGTTTGGATGAGCTCAGCGCTAGGAAGCTGCACGTTGTTAGGCTGGGACTTTTAAAAACTTGTTTGTTTGTTTGTTTTTGCAGTTCCTGACTCAGTTGCATTTCTTAGTTACATACTTGGGGCTACGAAATGTTTCTTTTGGGGTGCCTTGCCTTAAAAATGGGGTGAAATGCTCCCGGTTCAGACCAGATCGCCCAATCCGGTAGCGATGGCAGCGGGTGATTCGGAGAACCAGTAGCAAAAATCCCTCCGGCCCCCCCACCATGCCCAGCTGAGCCGCGCAATCATCAGAGGCTTTTTTTTATTATTTTTAAAAGCATTTTTTCTACAACCTTTTCGGCCAAAGAAGTTGTTGAAAAAATGGTTTTAAAAGTTAAAAAAAAAAAAGTTGGGCACGCCCACTCAGTCACATTACCCACCCACCCACCAAGCCATGCCCACAGAACCGGTAGTAACAAATTTTATATTTCACCACTGCCTAAAGAGGATGCCCACCCAGACACCCCTCTGTGAGGGAGATAGGCAGTTAAAAAGTCTGATGTAAAAATGATAAACAAACAAATAAGAAAAAGGGAAGGAAGGAAGGAAAGGAAGGAAGGAAGGAAGGAAGGAAGGAAGGAAGGAAGGAAGGAAGGAAGGAAGGAAGGTTGGTTGGTTACCTGCTTCATTGATAGAGCTTCTGAACTGTTTGGTTTGGTCTGGCTCTGAAAGGTGAAAAAAAGAACATTGGATGGGACGAAAGGAAGGAAGGAAAGGGAAGGAAGGAAGGAAGGAAGGAAGGAAGGAAGGAAGGAAGGAAGGAAGGTAGGTTGGTTACCTGCTTCATTGATAGAGCTTCTGGACTGTTTGGTTTGGTCTGGCTCTGAAAGGTGAAAAAAAGAACATTGGTATGGGAAGGAAGGAAGGAAGGAAGGAGTGTGAAAGAATGAAAGAAAGAAAAAGAAAAGAGAGAAAGAAAAAGAAAGGAAGGAAGAGTCACTTTTTTGTTAATCAGCTACTTCGTTTTGTCCAAATAAATGATGCTCATTTTATTTTGCTTGCATTCAATATTAAAATCTGCCCCCCCCTCAAAGAGCCCTGTTCTTCTGAGGCCACCTCATTTAGGACACCCCACCTCCTTTGATGGCTGAGCGTAGCTTCCAAGGGCTGCACCTGCAGAGCAAATAATACTAGCCCAGAGATGAGGAAGCTAAGAGGAGGCCCAGTAGAAGTTTCCCCATCCTTGAAGGGTGCAGAGAGGGGTACGGGTAGGAGGTGCGGATTGATTCTCCGTAATGCTTGAGGGCAGGGCAAGAACCAGTAATGGAAACTCAACAGAGAGAAAGATCTAAGCTCAAAAGAAGGGAGTTTTCTGACTGAAGCAGCCATTGAGCAGGGGAACAGCCTGGCCTTTGAAATCGTGAGGGCTCCATCGTTCTCCATACTCAATTTTTCCAGCATCCGTGTAGCTCGACTTGAACAATTGGTGCAGACAGGAACTGGATGAGTTTTGTGCCGGTTTGCAAAAGAGGCAGTTCTCCCGATGCTACAGCCCATGCCTCTTACAGGATTACTTATTTTTATGGTTGTTCCGCCACCGCCCCCACCACCCCGTTATTCCTTTATTATTTTATTTCGTTGCTGATAACGTTTCTTCTTCTTTCTAGGAGGTGCTGATGATGTTAGACAATTACGTGCGGGATTTCAAGGCCTTGATCGATTGGATTCAGTTGCAGGAGAAGTTGGAGAAGGCCGATGCTCAAAGCAGGTAAATGGGAAAGATCCTTCCTTCCTTCCTTCCTTCCTTCCTTCCTTCCTTCCTTCCTTCCTTCCTTCCTTTCATTCTCTCCTTTCCTTCCTTTTTCCTTTCCTTCCTTTCCTCTCCCTCCATCTTTCCTCCTTTCCTTTCCTTTCCTTTCCTGTCCTTTCCTTTCCTTTCTTCTATCTTTCCTTTCTTGTCCTGTCCTGTCCTGTCCTTCCCTTCCTTTCCCTTATCCCTTTCTTTCTTCCTTCCCTTCCCTTTCTTATCAAAGGATAAGCCAGCTTTGTACTCATGGCGGGGTCCTACAGGGCTTCCCATTGCATTGCAACATCCAAGGAGTGAGGTGCTATTAATTGCAAGGGAAAGAAAGGTGACTTCTTTGCTGAGTATTCCGCATCCTTTGCAGGCCAACCTCGCTAGCCTGGGAAGTCAAGAAGATGTCTCCAGGGCGTCATGTCATTCCCAGCCCATCGACCGACAGAATCGGCGTGACCTCCAACGCCCGAAGAAGTCTCAATTTCGGGTATGCAAATTAAACAGCTTTTACGATTTCAGGGGTGAAATGGGTGGGCTACAAACAGCCAAACGGAAGCAATTGGTAGCTCAGCAACCAAGGAGATCGTAATTTTGTTTACCGCTTCCCAGCTGCTGAGTCATCACCTGGTTGGGTGGGGAAACGAGGCGAGCTTTCACAGCCACAGAGTGGCCCATTGAGGGTCCCCTCGCCACCTCCATGGGGTGTCCAACCTTGGGAACTTTGAGAGCCGTGGACTTCAACTCCCAGAATTCCCAAGCCAGCATGACAAGCACCAGAAGTTACAACATGCAGAACGGGGCAGATGGTTTTAATGGCCGGAGATCATGAGTTTTCCTTCTCTTAGAGGGCCTCCTGCGACCGTTACCTCGAACCGTCTGGCTCCTTCCGGGGTCAGCTGGGCAGACAAAGTCAAAGCCAGCCACCCAGGAGCAGCTCCCCATTCGGAGAAGGCGGCAGCCCAGAGCCAGGGCCCCCCTGCAGCGCAGAAGCCCTCCCGCCGAACGGGCAAGTATTTTCCCCCTTTCCAGTTCGGCCAGCCTTGTTTGGGTACCCCAGTCCTTTCCAGGCAAGGTGTGCCTTTTTTTTTTTTTTAATTTGATTTATATGCTGCCCTTCTCTGGAGACTCAGGGCGGCTTACAATGCGTTAAGCAATAGCCTTCATCCTTTTTGTATATTTATACAAAGTCAGCTTATTGCCCCCACAAACTGGGTCCTCATTTTACCTACCTTAGAAAGGATGGAAGGCTGAGTCAACCTTGAGCCTTGGAGAGATTCGAACTTACTTTAATTGCAGGCAGCTGGTCTTAATAACCAGCTTAATAACAGGGTGCCTTAGACCACTGTACTACCAAGGCTCTTCCTTGGTAGTCAACGACAAGGCTTGTCGACAGAGGCTGCATTTTAGACATCAGGCCTAAAAAGAGAACGTTATATGGCCATACAAAGGGACACAGTGGCTCAGTGGCTAAGACGCTGAGCTTGTTGATTGAAAGGTCGGCAGTTCAGCGGTTCGAATCCCTAGTGCCGCGTAATGTGGTGAGCTCCCATGACTTGTTCCAGCTTTTGCCAACCTTGCCAACCTAGCAGTTCGAAAGCAGGTCAAAAATGCAAGTAGAAAAATAGGGACCACCTTTGGTGGGAAGGCAACAGCGTTCCATGCGCCTTTGGCGTTGAGTCATGCCGGCCACATGACCACGGAGACGTCTTCGGACAGCGCTGGCTCTTCGGCTTTGAAACGGAGATGAGCAGCGCCCCCTAGAGTCAGGAACGACTAGCACATATGTGCGAGGGGAACCTTTACCTTTACCTATGGCCATACAAATGGAGCCCGCGTAAAAAGCACGCAAAATGCATAGAATTAAAACGAAATGATGTTTCCTCAATACAGGTAGCTCTCGACTTACAACAGTTCATTTAGTGACCGTTCAAAGTTACAACGGCGCTGAAAAAACCTGACTTACGACTGTTTTTCACACTTATGACCGTTGCAGCGTCCCCACGGTCACGTGATCAAAATTCAGACGCTTGGCCACTGACTCATACTTAACGACGGTTGCAGTGTCCCCGGGGTCACGGGATCCCCTTTTGCGACAGGCACAAGTCCGTGGGGGATCCAGATTCGCTTAACAACTGGGTTACTCACTTAACAACTCTGGCAGGTCGTAAGATGGAGTAAACGTACGTTAAAAGCGATAATGGACGGGCGGCTTGCTTTGGGGAGTAGAGGTCTCACACACACACACACACACCGTAATCCTGTTGCCGTTTCTTCTGCTGAAAATAGGTCTCTGCTTATGGGAAGGCCAGAGAGGCTTTTGCAGGCGCTATCCCAGGGGTGAAATGTAAAATTTGGTACTGCTGGTTCTGTGGGCGTGGCTTGGTGGAGGGGTAATGTGACTGGGTGGGCGTAGCCAACTTTTTTTTTTTTTTTTTTTTTTTTACTTTTAAAAGCATTTTTTTCTACAACCTCTTCGGCCGAGGTTTTAAAAGCCTCTGACGATCAGGGAATTGCAGAGTGGAAGTATATGAAGCTTTTTTTTGGTGGGGGGTGGTGTTTGATGTGACATGACAGCGGTTAGTAAATTGCTTAGCATATCAAGAGTTGCCTAAAATCCAGGTCAGTTTAGCTCATTATTATGAAAGTTCAAGAAAGCTTTTTTTTAAATTTTGATTCCGTTCCATCTCTCCTTCCTTCCTCCCTCCCTCTCCTTCTTTCCTTCCCTCCCTTCCTTCGTTCCTTCCCTTCCATCTTTCTCTCCTTCCATCTTCCTTCCTTCCTTCCTTCTTTCCATCCCTCCCTCCCTCCTCCTGTCTCTCTCTCCTTCCTTCCTTCTATCCCTCCTTCTCTCCCTCCCTCCTCTCCTTTCCTTCCCTTCCTTTCTTTCATTCCTCCCTCCCTCTCTCTCTTCTTCCTTCCCTCCCTCCCTCCCTCCCTCCTCTTTCCTTCCCTCCCTTCCCTTCACTCCCACCCTCCTTCCATCTTTCTCTCCTTCCTTCCTCCCTCCCTTCCCTCCCTCCCTCCTTCCTTCTCTCTCCTCTTCCTTCCTTCCATTCCTCCCTCCTTCTCCTTCTTTTCTTCCATTCCTTTCTTTCCTTCCTTCCTTCCTCCTTCCCCTCCCTCCTCCTTCCTTCCCTCCCTCGCCTTCCTTCCCTCCCTCCTTCCATCTCTCCCCCTTCCTTCCTTCCCTTCCTTTCTTTCTTTCCTTCCTCCCTCCCTCCCCTTCCTCCTTCTCTCCCTGATGCACACTAATGGAAGGAGGCTGTTTCAGGGAGAAGGGCAGAAGCCCATCCTCTACCCGCAGGAGAAAGACCCCCTTTTAAATAGATGCTTTAGTTGCAGAAACACCCCCCACCCTTCCAAAGCTCAGCAGGTCTCCTGTGACTTGGTCCTGCCATGTCACTAATAAGGTTAACCGGACAGTCCTTCCAGATGGAGCCCTCTGAAAGGCAGCACATCTGAATGGCTTTTAGACAAGGGGGGGTGGGGGCTCAGCCCAACAGATGGTCTGTCCCTCCCGTGTAATACAAGAGGAAGCAGAGAGGGGGGAGCTCGAGTGCAGTTAAGAGAGTTGTCAAAATAATCCCGTGAAATATTCACGGACAAAACGGGACAAGTAACTAAATCCATCTTGTAATATATCCGGGCTGGGGGATAATGTGTGTTGCCTTCCTTTTTTTAAAAACACTGGTTTCTGCGTTGCGGTAAGTGGCCATATGATGGACATCCCATTTCTCCTGGTCTGCCAGGACATCTTAGAGCAGGGGTCTCCAACCTTGGCAACTTTAAGCCTGGAGGACTTCAACTTCCCCTGGGGAATTCTGGGAGTTGAAGTCCTCCAGGCTTAAAGTTGCCAAGGTTGGAGACCCCTGTCTTAGAATCCCAATATAAAATATCTGTTGGAATTCAATGAGGATCCTCCTTTGGCTAAATAGCTGATACCCGTCAGAAGACGAACCTCGCGGGTTCTGTGACAGGCTTATTTTTTTTTCCCTTTTATGCATGAATATTGCTCCCTATACCGTTTTCTCCAAATTGGAACAGAAGAGAATTTTTGTAACTCTGAGGTCCTTGGTGCTCTCTGAGGTTGGTGGGTTTCTTGCAGATGTTTCATGACCCAACTAGGGAACATCATCAGTGCTAGAAGGGAGTGGGGCGTGCAGGGGGGAGGAGGGGGGAGGACTGTGGGGTCCTTGGTTGTCTCTGAGCTTCGTTGTTTTTCTTGCAGACATTTCCTGACCCAGCTAGGTAACATCACCAGTGCTGGGAGGGAGCAGACAGTGGGGTTTAAATTGGTCTGCTTACAGAATCATAACTGGGCTAGTGGATACAAAGTACAGGTAGTCCTTAACTTATGACCACCATTGAGCCCAAAGTTTCTGTTGTTGAGCAACACAGTGGTTAAGTGAACTTTGGCCCATTTTACAGTAATTTTAGTGCCCGCTGACTGCATAATTTTATTTTTACCCCCTTCGTCTTAACAGACAGTGAAGGCAAAATATTACTGAATGCTTCCTTCGCCCAACGCTGTTTCCGCTGCGAAGTGTTCCTCCTGATTTCTTGGTTGGCTTTTCCCATGTAGAGAGGAGAGATGCTGAAGGCTGGGAGACGGTCCAGCGAGGGAGACCTGTTCGATCCAAATCTTCTGCTTTGGTCCCCAAAACCACTCTGTCTGCGGAATCATCGCACTTGAAGGATGACAGTGACAAAGAAAACGTCATTCTTCCTCCACCGGTCCACAAACCAAAGGGTTCATTGGCCGAGGACAGCACGTCGAAAAATGTGGATCCCATCCCGAAAGACCCTTGCCATCAGTGTGAACATCCACTCACGGAGAGGACTCAGGTAAGCATCACTCAACCTGCAGGGGGTTTTATTTATTTTTATTGATTTCCTATTAAATACATTTCTTAGTGCTTAATCAACATCGTGTTATCTGGGTATTTAATTTGCTTAACAATACACATTTACATTCTTCATCTCCATCCCTTTTCTCCAACCATTGGTAAAATAAATTCCATGTTTGATAATACCGTGTTTCCCCGAAAATAAGACATCCCCTGATAATAAGCCCAATCGGGCTTTTGAGCCCATGCGCTAAAATAAGCCCTCCCCGAAAATATTTAATCCTCCGGTTAGGGTTAGGGAGACAGAACTGGAAATCAGGTAAGACGGCAAGAGGGGCCCCGTCTTGCTCCACGTGCCCCAAAATAATGATTTCCCCGAAAATAAGGCCAAGCGCTTATTTCGGGGTTCAACAAAATATAAGACAGGGTCTTATTTTCGGGGAAACACGGTATTCTACACTTTCTTTCTGATTAATTTTCAATGTCCATCTATCCATTTCTGCACAATCTAGTATCTTCCTGACTATCTCTTCATCTCACGGTATATCTTCATTTTTCCAGTATTGTGTAAATATAATCCTCCCTGCTTTTAAAGAAATGTAATTAAATACATACTTTTCTTATCAATTTTTTTTCTCATATTATACCTAATAAAAACAGTTCAGGTTTGAAATCTACATGTTTATAAAGTCTGCAGGTTTTTGCCTGATTGGCTGTAAGATGGGCTGTGAGAATGAGTAAAGGGGGGAAAGTGAGATTTGGAGGGAGAGGAAAAAATAAAAACATTAAATTGCCTTGAGCAATTTACCCACAGCAAACAAAACTCCGAGGCAGGCAGATTCCTCAAAAGAATAGCTTTATTGGGTATATCATATTGGCACAGATCTGGTGAAAACCGACTCTGAAGATTCCCGCAGTTTTCACCTAATTAAAAGTAAAAGTTTTCCCTCAATCCCAAACAATCAGTCACATGGCCCAATCAAGGCGCTGTCTGGTTGCCTGGTGACATCACTCCTCCTTCCTCTGGCCAAGTGTGAGATTCATGTCCTTGGTTCCCAATCCTCCGTGGATTGCCACGATTCGCTACCAGTGCATGTGTGGTGTGCGCTAAAAGCACGCTGTGTGCTCACTGTGCACCAAGAGTACGCCGTGTGCACATGCACAGTGCACGCTTTGCATGGAAAAAGGAGGCTTGGGAAGGTAAGTAGAACAGCGAGGGGGGGTAGACAGCTGTGCCGCAGGATTTAGCTTCGCTAGAAAGCAGGATTTCCTGCTTTCTAGCTGATATAAACCGCGCGGCCCAGCTGATCGTCGGAAACACCGGTTCAGACGAACTACTAGCTTTTTTTTTACTACCGGTTCACCCAAACAGGTGGGAACCGGTAGCATTTCACCCCTGCCTCAGCCCCAGTGTGGCAACACTGAAGTTCCAAGACGGCTCCGGTCAAGTCAGCTTCAGGGTTGGCAAATACTCCTCGGAGTATCTCCGTTGCTCATCTGTCCATCTATCCCACATTAGTTTGCAGGCCGGGCGTTGGAAGACCTCAAGGTCTCCGAGAAGATCGTTGGACCTTTGCTACCCGTTTCTGAAGTGCCGCTTGTTCTCATAGACGTCGAATGCAACTCCGAGAGTCCACAGGTGGACGGCCACATCGCCTCCATCGCTCCAAAAAGTGATGAAGCAGAAAATGTCAAGAGCGAAAGCGAAATGGACCCTGCAGATATTTCAAACGTAAGTACCTTCATCTATACCAAGGGGTCCTAAATATGAGACCACCAAAAAAAAAAAAAACCCACCCAGCTGCTTTCAGTAAATTCACTCACTCACTCACTTCATTCATATTTCTATGGCTGCCCATCCAAGTCAATGGCTCTGACTGAGTCAGATTAAATTATTATGAGCTCCTATATATACCTACCTGTTTTCCACGAAAAAAGACTCAGAAGGAAGGAAGGTCTAACTAGCAATAGCACTTATATTTATATGCTGCTTCACAGTGCTTTGCAGCCCTCTCTAAGCAGTTTACAGAGTCAGCCTCTTGCCCCCAACAATCTGGGTCCTCCTTTTACCAATCTCGGAAGGATGGAAGGCTGAGTCAACCTTGAGCTGGTCAAGATCGAACTGCTGGCAGTGGGTAGAGTAAGCCTGCAATGCTGCATTGTAACCACCGGGATGAAGGAAGGAAGGAAGGAAGGAAGGAAGGAAGGAAGGAAGGAAGGAAGATAGCAATAGCACTTAGACTTATATACCACTTCACAATGCTTACAGCCCTTCTAAGCGGTTTACAGAGTCAGCCTCTTTCCCCCAACAATTTGGGTCTGACCTTGGAGGGATGGAAGGCTGAGCCAACCTTGAGCCGGTCAGTATCAAACTGCAGGCAGCCGGCAGTCAGCAGAATTAGCTGCAGTACTGCATTCTAACCACTGCACTACCATGGCTATTAAAACATAAATGTAAGGACCAATAAGTCACTTTTCTCGGTGTCGTCGTAACTTTCAACGGTCGCTAAACGAACAGTTGGAAGTCAAGAACTACGTATATCTTTCACTGAGCCACAAACCCGTAAAATTTAGTAGATTCACAGTGATCCTTACCTGGATAGTATTGTTCTGATTTCCCAGTCTGCTTTTCTAACCTCCCGTTTCCCTTTTGCAGTCCATGGCCGAGGTGCTCGCTAAAAAAGAGGAGTTAGCGGACCGCCTGGAAAAAGCCAACGAGGAGGCCATCGCGAGCGCCATCGCCGAAGAGGAGCAGCTGACGAGAGAGATCGAAGCCGAGGAGAACACCGACATCAACCTAGAAACGGACAACGACAGCGACTTCTCTGTGAGTTTGCAGCTCATGGGGGGCGGGGGGGGGACTGACATTGATGGAAGGGCTCTTTTTCCAGAGCCCTGGTCGGCCTCGAAAATACAACGCTGGTCTTTTATATACTATTTGACATTGAAGAATAGCTGAGCCCTCACTCTGTAATAGGGGAGCCAGGAAAAATATACAAACGTATTCTGAATCGTGAGGTTTCCTTTTCTGAACCGTCTAGAAATTAACTGCTTGTTTCCCAAAGTCTGTAGAGTTTTTCCGTCCCCCCAGCCCAGGTCATGGTTGTCCCGAAGGTGCTTTTTCAGGAGACAACTGAACTTTCTTTGTTTTTTCTTTTGAAGATGGTTTTTCTTTTGAAGAGCTGAAGAAGCTTCTTGGATGAGAAGCAAAACGTCTTCAAAAGAAAAAACAAGAAAGTCCAATTGCCTCCTAAAAAATAAGCCCCTTCGGGACAACCATGACTTGGATGACTGAGAATCTCTACAGACTTTTAGCTATATAATTTGGGATGAACACCCTTGGAATGGTGTGGGAGTAGGAATGGATTTCCAGAGGAAAAATTGCAGACTGCAGGAACCATTCGCACCACTCAGGTGAGCCTGAGGACACAGGTAAACCTCCCAAGTGCTTCAAAGACCCTCCAAAAGGATGCAAAGGACCAGCTGTCTGCAAGGAGTATCAATCCTTCCATTCCCCACCATCCAGTCAGAGCCGAAGAAGCTTCTTGGATGAGAAGCGAAACGTCTTCAAAAGGAAAAAACCAGAAAGTCCAGCTGCCTCCTGAAAAAGCACCTTTGGGAGGTGCTTGTTTCCCAGTTAGAGAATTCATGTGGCGCTCTGGGATTTTCAGGGAACTGGGAACTTTTGGGAGAAGAACAAGGACCATTAGAAACTGGAGATTGATTTGAGGACAAACCTTGCTTGTTCTCGGAGAAAGAGTCCCTTTTGCCCAGTTCCCTACCATTTCAAAAACAGGGCTTAATTGTGGTTATTTAAAACAAGCCAGAACATGGGTTAAGATCCTCACTAACAGGTACTCCTCAACTTGTAACCATTCATTTAACGACAGTTTGAAGTCACCATAGCTTCCGAAAAAGTGACTTACGACCTGTACTCGCACTTAAACCGTCCCATCACACCTGTGGTCAAGTGACTGCAATTCAGGCATTTGGCAACTAGTTTGCATTCACGACCAGTTGCTTCATCCTGCAGTCACATGATCCCAAATTGCCACCTTTTTTTGCCAATTTCCCACCAAAAAGGTGGGACCCAGTTTGTGAGGGCAATAAGCTGACTGTATAAATATACAAAAGTATGAAGGCGATTGCTTAACGCATTGTAAGCCGCCCTGAGTCTCTGGAGAAGGGCGGCATATAAATCAAATTTAAATAAATAAATAAATAAATAAATAACCTCTTGAGGAAACTGTATTCCCTTAACAATTGTGTAATTTGCTTTGCACCCAGGCGATTAGCTTAATTGCAGCTGTAAAAAATTGTCATAAAAACGAATCTGACTTGACTTACGGCCCCAACAATTTAGGGCAGAAATCCCAAATCTTAATTCTGGTCATAAGCTGAGGACTCTCTGTCACAGCTGTTGTTCTGGACTGGTCTGCAGAAAGTGGAAAGGAACAGGGGAATTCCTTCTACACTGTTACAGAGCACCTGAAATTCTCTTTTGCATTCTGGATTTTCAGGCCAGCCTGGGCAATGGCAGCATATCCTTCTGCGGCATTTCCATGGACTGGAATGATGTCCTGGCAGATTATGAAGGTACAAATTCTTTTCTCAGACCGAGTTCTGTTTGAAAGAGCCAACATTTACAGTTCATTTCAGAGCCCTGTTTCTCATCACCACCATCGTGCAATTATGGCCAGTTATCCTGGATAACTGGATCAGCTTCAGCTTCAAAAACCCGATTGTCTGGTTTTTTTTACAGCTCGTGAATCGTGGCGCCAAAATAATTCCTGGGGAGACATCGTGGAAGAAGAACCAGCTCGCCCACCGGGCCACGGAATCCACATGCACGAGAAACTCTCTTCTCCGTCTCGCAAGAGGTCTCCACTTTTTAAACGTTTTAATTCCACTATTTGGGGAAAACTATGAATCAGAATCTGTATGAGTAATACCCTGTTTCCCCAAAAATAAGATATCCTCTGATAATAAGCCCAATCGGGTTTTTGAGCGCATGTGCTAAAATAACCCCCTCCCTTTCGAAAATAAGCCCTCCCTGAAAATATTTAAACGCATGCACAGCCGGTCCCTGCCATTTCCTTTGGTTTCCTCCATGCGCCCCAAAATAATAAGACCTTCCTGAAAATAAGGCCAAGCGCTTATTTCGGGGTTCAAAAAAATATAAGATAGAGTCTTATTTTCGGGGAAACACTGTAAATACTGATAATTTAAAGGTAAGGAACTCGCAACCCCATGGACAACGTTCCTCCAGGCCTCCCTGTCCTCTACCATCCTCTGGAGTCCATTTAAGCTCACGCCTACTGCTTCGGTGACTCCATCCAGCCCTCATTCTCTGCCGTCCCCTTCTTCTTTTGCCCTCAATCATTCCCAGCATTAGGCTCTTCTCCAGCGAGTCCTTCCTTTTCATTAGGTGGCCAAAGCACTTGAGTTTCCTCTTCAGGATCTGGCCTTCTAAAGAGCAGTCAGGGTTGATCTCCTCTAGGGCTGGCCGGTTGGATCGCCTTGCAGTCCAAGGGACTCGCAGGAGTCTCCTCCAGCACCAGAGTTCAAAGGCCTTAATTCTTTGGCCTTCTCAGCCTTTCTTATGGTCCAACTTTCACAGCCAGACATTGCAACTGGGAAAACCATAGCCTTGATTATAGGCACTAGGTACAACTATAGAGGTACACTATATCGTACCCTGCAAACGAAGTTTGAACTGGGGATCTTCTAAATGAGACTTTGATGTCTTTGCATCCTTGGTGAAACCCTCCAAGCTGTAACTCTGTTTTTAAACCTTCTGTGCTGTTTATGCAGTGTACTGTAGGTTTCAGCTGCTTCCATGTTATTCCTTTGGTGCTCAGTTTTTCGTGTCTTTTCTTTCCCAAGGACAATTGCAGAATCGAAGAAGAAGCACGAAGAGAAGCAGATGAAGGCTCAGCAGCTGAGAGAGAAGCTCCGCGAAGAGAAAACGCTAAAGCTTCAGAAATTAATGGAAAGGGTAAATTCGCCATGGCTCTTTTTAATGTCCCAATCCTGAAATTGGGCCCCAAAAGTTACGTTTCCCCCAACCGTGTCGTATTACGATCCATACGACCATGATCAATATTCGTGGCAAGTTGCACAATGAAAGATACCATAACGGTTTGGGGGCTTCTTTGACTCTTCATTCTCCCCTGCAGGAAAAAGATGTGAAAAAATGGAAAGAAGAATTGTTGGACCAGAGGCGAAGGATGATGGAGGAAAAATTGCTCCACGCAGAATTTAAACGTGAAGTGCAGTTGCAAGCGATCGTCAAAAAAGCCCAAGAGGAAGAAGCTAAGGTAAGATCGCTCAGCTCAGGATCTCATTGCATTTTATGGACATGATCCTAATTACAAGTTAGTCCAGAGCCCAGCAGTAGAAATCATAATATATCTTTGGTCCAAATTTTGTGTACCCTTGATCTACTAAAATTGCATTAGGCGTCTCCCTTTCAGGCCAGTCACTTGGGCACTGAATCACAATAACAGCGCTCCTCGGCCTGAGGGCCTGTTTGTCTTTTTGAAGTTATTTGTCTTCGGTGTTACCTCAAAACAGTGAGATAGATACCTCAAGGTCTTTTTTCTGAAGCTTTGAAGAAGACTCTGAAGGCCAAGTATGATTTTTAGCAGCTGGATGTTGATATCTGACTTTCCGCCAATGAACTGTTTCCACCAAAGGACACAGTTTTCTCTCTGTCCCTTTTCATCACTAGGTTCAGTTCCTTGAAGACAACCTATCAACGTTATTTTTAAGTGAAATAAACTGAAATAAGCGCAGCCACTTAGATTTGATGGGAAAGCCCTTCCGTTAGAGAAGAGAGATGAATTTTTGCGCCGAGGTTTCTGTTTGCCTGGTTTGGCATCTTAATTCAGAACTGCTTTTTTATTTTTATTTTTTAAAATGTGCTGCCCTTGTCTCAGTTTGATAACTAGAAGGCAGAGCCGTCCTATAAATTTGATGTTCACTACTGTGATGTGGAGAGTTGATTTGTAGGCAAGGTATTTGTGCTACGGTGAGAGCTGATTTTCATTTCCACAGGAGACGGAGAATTTCAAGGGTCTGTGCGTGTGTACACACCGGGTGCTATTTTTGAAAAGTCATGTTTTTAATGCTTTGCGAGCCCTTAAGAAGACCCAGTTGGATAAGTCCATTAGCCTGCTGGCTGCTCCTGCCCTTCCCTTAGAACTGCTGTCATTTCTTTTACCTGCGGGCCCTGGTTTCCTTAATCCCGGGTGACCCCAGCAATCAGATTAACAACCCAACCTGTCATAATTCCCACTTTAGCAGATGTGCTAAAGCATTGCATCGGTTCAGCTGGGCGCGAGATCCCCGGCCTTTTGCACCCCGAGATCGCAGCTAATTGGGTCAGAGCTACCGGTGGAGAAGGGGGGAGGCTGGGGGGGGCATAGGAAAAGAAGGCTGAGACTTTCACAGCTGTTCCCCTTTCCCTTCCCCCCTCCCTCCCACCACCACCCGCTCAGTGAGCTGCAAAAAATCCATCCTGCAAATGTGTTCCACTCGGCAAACAAAGCGGAAAGTTAGACCCTGTCTGGGGATGTTTGACACAGCTGTAAATGGTGGGAGAGAAAGTACGAAAATCAGAAGAGTCAAAAGAGGCCGTTTAGCCTCAGCTCAGGACAGAAATATCCAATGTCTTCCTCTTGCCTTGCGCTTTCCTTCTGCAGATTTGAGAACTAGAGGGCAAGAGCCGAGAGAGAAAGCAAGAGGAAGTGGAAAGGGAGTATGGTACAACGGAAGATGCTTTTTAAAGAGGGACAGAGACCACTGCTTAGGGCAGGGATGGCTAACCTTTTCGGCACTGTGCCGAAACTGGAACATGCACATGCGCTGGAGCACTAGAACCCAGAGGAGAGCAGGTGGCCAGCGCACATGCGCGTGGCAGCTAGCTGCTCTTCCGGTTTCCATCACACGCGTGCACAGTGGCCAGCCGGTCCGGCGTGCATGCGCACAAGCCAGCTGCTCTCTTCCGGGTTCTGGTGCATGCATGTGCGCCGGACAGGTCTGGCCAGCTCACATGCATGTGCCGAAACCCGAAAGAGCAGCTGGCGACAGCAAGTGTGCCCACAGAGAGGGCTCTGCGAGCCACCTCTGGCACACGTGCCACAGGTTCGCCATCACAGGCTTAGGGAATCCGCGTGCATTGGGATGGTGTTTCTCCATCCCAGGCCAGTGAATTCATTCTCAGGAAGCGAGGGTCCCCAGAAATCTAGTTAGGGGACCTTTTGCACAAAAAGGAAGCGCGTTGCACAAATTGCTTTGATCTGATGATGCGGTGGAGGACTTGAGCACTCTTGGAGATCCATCAGGGATCCATCTGTCCTGGAGCTCCAGCTCCAGAGATCTAACAGACATTTCATTCATTCCCCGATAAATTTTCTCTGCTAGTTGGGTAGTGAAATGTCTGCAAGGAAACAGCCAAGCTCAAAAAGCGTCGAGAACCCCACAAATCTTCTCTGATTCCCTTAAGGCAGTGATGGCAACGTGAAGGTGGGTGGACTTCAGCTCCCAGAATTCTCCAGCCGGTCACGTTTAAGTTAACCAAATTACTTCACTTCCCATAACCGAGTGGCGTATAACTGTCTAAAGGGTTTGCCGTTTTATTTTGCTCCAATCCAATTTTTCATCGTGGTTATCGGAGTTCCCAATTCCCTCTTTGGCAGGTGAATGAAATTGCATTCATAAACACGTTGGAAGCCCAGAATAAGCGCCACGATGTTCTGTCCAAACTGAAAGAATACGAACAAAGACTGAATGAATTACAGGAAGAGCGCCAACGAAGGCAGGAAGAGAAGCAAGCCCGCGACGAAGCTGTCCAGGTACCCCTTAACTTCACAAAGGCTAGAAGGAGTTGTAGAAGTCAGTAACAAAGAAGAGAGGAGATGTTAATGGTTTATTGCTTCGCCTTACTACTGTCCTACTTTGGAACAGTATTGTGGTAGCCTGTCTTCCCTCCCTCCCTTCTCTTCCATCTCTTCCTTTTTCTTCTCTTCCTTGTCTTCTCCTCACTCTAAAATGCTACTGAGCTCTGGATCAGCTAGTTAGCCTACATGGAACTCAACATGATGATACGGTCTGTCTGTCTATCTATCTATCTATCTATCTAACATCTATCTGTCCATCAGCCATCCATTGTCTATCTATCTCTATCCATCCATTTTCTAGCTATCTGCATCCAGCCATCAATCATCCATCCATCCATCCATCCCAAAGCTTCTGTCCTTTCTATCGTGTAAACCAATTAGAATTTCCATATTTAACAATGAATTGTTTCCTCTCTAGGAACGGAAACGAGCTTTGGAAGCGGAGCGTCAGGCCCGGGTGGAAGAGCTGCTAATGAAGAGGAAAGAACAAGAAGCTCGGATTGAGCAGCAGAGGCAGGAGAAGGAGAAAGCCAGGGAAGATGCAGCTCGGGAGCGGGCCAGGTAGCCGTTGTGAACCACTTCCAGTTTTTAATTTAATTCCAACCCAAGAGTTTCGGTCAAGTGTTTTTCAACCTTGCCAACTTTAAGATGCATGGACTTCGATTCCCGGAGGCTGGGGGATTCTGGGAGTCAAAGTCCACCCATCTTAAACTTGCCATGAATTGAGAAATGTTTGCAAATAGAATGTGCAAATGCTAAATTCATTTATTGGGGATCTAACCCTAGAAAATAGAGACACCCATAAAGGCATTGGAGTATGTTGGAACTACTGGATCAGGGCTGAAATCCAGCAGGTTCTGACAAGTTCTGGAGAACCGGTAGCGGAAATTTTGAGTAGTTCGGAGAACTGGCAAATATCACCTCTGGTTGGCCCCAGAATGGGGTGGGAATGGAGATTTTGCAATATCCTTCCCCGAGGAGTGGGGAGGGAATGGGGATTTTGCAGTAGTCTTCCCCTGCCAAGCCACACCATGCCCCACCAAGCCACGCTCACAGAACCGATACCAAAAAAAATTTGGATTTCACCACTGTATTGGATGAATGGAGGGAAAGAGACATACACAAGATGAGTTTCTGGATTTTACTACTCTTGATAAGATGAGAAAAGAAGATAAAATAAAATGATAAGATAAGATAACTTTAATGTTATTTTTTTACTGCGAGCATACTGGCCCACATTAAAAATGAGTGAAATGTTCTGCTTTGGATACCACAAAGCCCCCTCCCAGAAGGTAAGGAAAACAGGCCATGAAGAGGATGTGTAGGGTCCCAGACAATCGTGCCATGTCCTGGATAGAAGGAAGTGAATTTCCAGTCTTTTCTGCCGTCCTCACCACTCTCTGCACCGCCTTCCTGTCTGAACCAGAAAAGATGTTGCTGCATTCGAGTGCCTTCATTTTTCCATGTCTCTGCTCTTTGCGTAGAGATCGGGAAGAGAGATTAGCTGCTCTGACCGCAGCCCAGCAAGAAGCCATGGAGGAGCTCCAGAAAAAGATCCAGTTGAAGGTATGGACCAGAAAGACATCTCCATAAACTCACAGAGCAGTGGTTCTCAACCTGGGATCTGTGGACCCCGGCGAGGGGTGGGGGGGTGGGACAACGACACGATGTCACAAGGGCTTGAGGCAAAGTTACGATTTAAATCTTAAGTCTTGGGGGGTGCGTGGCCGTGGTTTGCAACCACAAAAGGTATTTAAAGGGGGTGAAGTTAAGGTTGAGAGCCACCGGCCTAGAGATCTCTGTCAGGCCTGCTGTTAACCTTCCAACCAATCAGGGGACGCGCCTCTAACCTTTCGATCACACGCAGCACGATGAGAGCATCCGGAGGCACATGGAGCAGATCGAACAGAGGAAAGAAAAAGCCGCCGAATTAAGCAGCGGAAGACATGCCAACACGGACTACGCGCCCAAGCTCACCCCCTACGAGCGAAAGAAGCAGTGTTCCCTCTGCAATGTTGTGGTAGGACTCTCCCTCTTACTAGCCTCTTGAGACCAAAGTGTGCCTCAGCCATCGAGGCCTTCTTAGCTGTGTCCAGATAGCAATAGCACTCAGACTTGTAAAACGCTTCACAGTGCTTTCCAGCCCTCTCTAAGCGGTTTTCAGAGTCAGCATATTTGCCCCCAACAATCTGGGTCTTCGTTTTACCCACCTTGAAAGGATGGAAGGCTGAGTCAACCTTGAGCTGGTCAGGATCGAACTCCAGACTGTGGGCAGAGTTAGCCTGCAATACTGCATTCTAACCACTGTAACACCAAGGAAGGAAGGAAGGAAGGAAGCAATAGCCCTTAGACTTATATACCGCTCCACAGTGCTTTTACAGCCCTCTCTAAGCAGTTTACAGAGTCAGCATTTTGCCCCCAACAATCTGGGTCCTCATTTTACCTATCTCGGAAGGACGGAAGGCTGCGTCAACCTTGAGCCGGTGAGACCCGAACTGCCAAACTGCTGGCAACTGGTGATCAGCAGAAGTAGCCTGCACTACTGCATTCTAACCACTGTGCCACCGCGGCTCCCTCACGATGAGGATCACTCAAAGGGGAGAGTAGATCTTCCCCGCCATTTCTTCCTTGTAGAGATCCTCCAAGACAAAGCATTTCTGCAGAGCAGAAGAAACTTCCCACTGCTTTTCCCTGGGCCAGATGTTGAGGCATCCCTTCCCAGTTGACACCCTCCTCCAGATGTGTCAGGCCTTGAGCTTTGCCGGTTGGGCTGGGTTGACTCAATATCGATGGAGATCCTCCATCAACCAGGGTGTCATGGTTGTCCCAAAAGTGCTTTTCCCAAAGGCAGCTGGACTTCCCCGTTTCTTTCCTTGGAAAACATTTCGCTTCTCATCCAAGAAGCTTCTTCAGTTCCGAAAGGTGCAAATTGGGAAGGGACACCTCAACATCTGGCCTGGAGAAAAGCAGTGAAGGACAGTGGAGAACCATCTCCTCTTTGCCCAGCCAGGTCCATCAAACTTCTCCCCTGTAGCAGCTGGCCTAGCTATGACCTGTTGGGTTGGCTTTCTCAAGTTTTGGCATGAATGAACTGAGCAAATGTCGCGCCTTTTCCAGATTTCCTCGGAGGTGTATCTCTTTAGCCACATTAAGGGGAAGAAGCATCAACAAGCCGTGAGAGAAAACAGCAGCATCCAAGGCCGAGAACTCTCCGATGAAGAAGTGGTAAGTCGTCTCTCTATTTTTTCCCCCTAATTTTTATTATCCAACAGAAAATGGTTGTTATGTTGGCACAGCCTTGATCCAATTACTGGAAGATCTGAAGGATTTGTAAACAAGGACAGTGTAACAGGCAGCAGATATAAGCAGTGTTTCTCAACCTTGACAACTTTTTGTTCTGACCTAGGCTTCCTGAGTCAGTAAAACACACGAGTAGTCCCAAAAACCTCTTTTATTTCAACGGCTGTGAATTCTGTTCATTCACAGATGAGTCCCAAATAGTTGTACAGAGTCCTTCGGGATAAGGCTGATAATCACCCATCTTTATCTCCCTTGACACGCTGCCAAAGACCTAATTGGCAAAGCCACACGGAGTCCAGAATCAAACAGAGCTTCAGGCTTTAAACTGCACAGAATTAACAACGTTGCTTCCTGCAAAGGCCCACGTCTCTTTTTAAGTCTTATGGGAGGGGCCAATCATCTCCAGGCCTTACTCCCGAGTCGTCCCTTTTGTTTGAACTGTTCTTGCCTTCTGACAGCTCTGTGCATGCACGCACGGGGAACAGGCTCCCCCTGTTCCTCTGCCTCACTGAGGTCCGACTCTGGAGGCTCCGGAGGCAGCACGTACCTCCCAGATGGCCCTTTCTCTGCCTTCGACGCAGAGCCTTCGTCCGAGCCTTCCCCAGACTCCAGGACTGGCCCATGTTCCTCCCCAGCCTCCTCACTGTCCGACTCTGCTGCCAGCTCCTCTGGCCGCCGGTGGACCACAACACTTTTAAGATGTCTGGACTTCAAGTCCCAGAATTCCTTAGCCAATTCTGGAAGTTGAAATACACACATCTTAAAGGTGTCCAGGTTGAGAAACGTTAGGTTAGAGCCTGGGTCTTAACACAGCCCATAAATGAATTTGAGGATTCAAGAGACCCTAAGTCTAAATAACCAGTCAGAAGAGTAGAAACATTTGTGGAAGACATGTTCACTACATTGTCCTACTCGGAGCAAGAAGATGGAGAGATACCCAGCTGCAGTGGGACTTAAACCTTTCAGGAAAACTGGAGCTGAGCTTTTTGGAACTACCGTTTTTTATGCAACACTCTGACTGGGTTAACACGTGATGGCAAGCTATACTGTTTCTTTGGGGCGGGCTTGATGGATTCCGTCAACATCCTGGAAGTTCAGTCATCATCAATGGTTGCTTTGGTCAATGGGTCTTTTGATGCGATCCATTAATGCTTAGGTATTCCTGAGGAAATCCTGAAAGAAATACTCTGTCATGGACCGACTCTTATTTTCCAATCCTGTGTTCAAGATCGCTCTTTCCTGCAGGACATATTGAACAGAAGAAGTCTTCCTTTAATCTTTAATTCTCCTGAGAGCTTGGTACCTTTTCTGAATTTTTCCCCATTTTGCTTGGAATCCGGAAGTACCCTGTTGTTTGTTGAGTTAATTCGTTTTAATCGGTTTTACGATTAAAACAGTCAGCAAAGTATTATGATAAATTCTAATATAATTTGGTCTTTCTTACTACATACAGCTCTGGGCAAAATTTATATCCGTCTAGAACAACAACATTTATGATTTGCGTACTTAAGAGTAAAATTTGAAAATACAGGAATAAATAATGTGGTTGAGTCAGCTGAGTTTTACTTCTCTCTGTTCCCCATTTTATTTTTAATCAATGGAGGCACCTCTAGGTGAATGCACTATTCCTACTTAAAGTTATTGCTTTTCACCTCTGATGCCTTCATATTAAATGACCCTTCTTCTCTGATGTATAAGATTTTTATTTATACTACCTCTGACCTAATGAAATTTCACCTTTAGCCTCCTGCACTTGACACTTCGGATAACATACACTTGATCTTTGACACATTTTTGTTTTAAGCCCAGAATGGGTAAGAGCTGCCTGCCACACAACCGAAATAACTCCATCGGAGAGGTCAATTCCAGACAAGGTTTCCATACTGAACCACAAAACTTGTCTTTAGCGTTAGAAAATTCTATTGACAAAGATTACAGCGTAGAATCCAAATCCTGGAAGTTATTGTTGTGGTTTTTTTAAAAATTGTTGTTGTTGTTGTTATTATTATTATTATTATTATTATTATCTATTTTATTCATTAAACATGAAACTCAGTCAACTGAACATTTTAAAATGTGTCACAAATACCATTGACTGGTTCTAATGGTTGATCCGGGTTGCTGCCAGCGTCCTAGGTATCAACCAAGTACCTTCTTAAGATGTACCATGTTCCAAGTAGTGCAGTTTTTTCAAGTTCCACTGGTGTTATTGCAGAAAGCTGTAATTTCTTGATGCATTTTGGGAAATTCTTGGACATGGTACCAAGTGCCCCAATGACAGTGGGTATCACTGTTACATATTTTATCCATAATTGCGTAATGTCGATGGCCAACTTGCCATATTTTCTGATTTTTTCCAGTTGTTTTTCTTCGACTCTGTGTTCCAAGTGACGATCCGTCTGTATTCGAAATTATTATTATTATTATTATTATTATTATTATTATTATTATTATTAATCATTGCACAGTCAGCCAGATGTTCAGACTCGGTTTGGCATTTTTGTATACCTATCAAATCCTTACCAAGGACCTGGGTTAGGCAGATGTGGATGTTTCATGATGTTATATCCAGATCTGCTATCCCAGATCCTTTGTAAGGACTTTACATAGCTCTTCACAGCCCTCTCTAAGCAGTTTACAGAGTCAGCATCTTGGTCCCCAACAATCTGGGTCCTCGTTTTACCCATCTCGGAAGGATGGAAGGTTGAGTCAATCTTCAGCCAGTCAGCATTGAACTCCAGACTGTGGGCAGAGTTTGCCTGCAATGTTGCACTCTAATCACTAGGCAGGCAGGCAAGAAGGAAGGAAGGAAGGAAAGAAGATAACAAAAGCACTTAGACTTATATACCGCTTCACAGTACTCTTGTAAACAAAAATATACTCCGACATTACCAGTTTTAATACTCTCTGGCTTTTGAACGGTGGGTTTCTCATTTTTAGGGTGCAGGAACGGAAGCCAGAGTGGGGTACAATCTTTTCAGTGTTCCCATTGCTCTCTCCTTTCTTCTAGGAACATCTCTCCTTAAAGAAATACATTGTGGACATTGTGATAGAAAACACGGTTCCCTCCGAGCCTGGAAAAGACAGCGAAGAGAGGCAGAGGTCAAAAAAGAAAGCCAAGAAATTGAAGGCACGGATGAGCTCAAGGTATCGGCTTTGGAAACGCACATAAACTCATACACACACACACACACACACATGTAGTCTTTGTTACAACAGTTTGTTTAGTAACTGTTCAAAGTTAAAACGGCACTGAAAAAAACCTGATTTAGGACAATTTTTCACACTTACGACCAACTGTCTCAAATTTATGACGGTTGCAGTGTCCTGGGGTCATGTGATCCCCTTTTGCAACCTTCTGTCAAGCAAAGTCAACGGGGAAGGCAGGTTCACTGAACAGTCATGTGATTTGACTTAACAACTGCAGTGATTCACTTAACAACTGGGGCAAGAAAGGTCGTAAAATGGGACAAAACTCACTTTACAAATGTTTAGTCTAGCAACAGAAATTTTGGACTCAATTGGGGTCATAAGTCAAAGACTACCTGCATATACATATAATATATATATTATTTATCATTAAACCTTTTCATGCAAACAAAGAGATAGATAGATAGATAGATAGATAGATAGATAGATAGATAGATAGATAGACAGATAGACAGATAGATAGTTTTTTTTTTCATTAGTTCTTTTGCATGAAAAGGCTTAAATGTATTTATTTGTGCCCTTCAGAAAAGCTGCTGTGAAAGTCTGGAAAAAATGCAAAACCCTTTTGAAGTTATTTGCTCTAGGAACATCTTGAAAATAGCACTGATGAGTCTAATTTATGGCCACTTTCTCTGATTGAGGAAGAAAACGGGGTATTGATCCAGCCCCTGCCTTCCACCTGTTAAGAGCTTTCTTCCTAATTGGATGCCAGAGCCCTGCCAAAAACTCTGCCCTCTCCCAGCGCACAATAGCAGGTTTTAAGTACGTCTAAACCAGGCCTATTTTTCTTCCCGGCTATTGATTTTTAAAATGAAGTATCAAAGAAAATCAATAGTAATCAACAAATAGAAGCTCGTCGGCCGGAGTGTCAGATCCCCGGGCTGGGTTTAATCAATTTTGTTGCCTGCCACGACCAAGAAAGTTAGAAATATCTTAAAAGGGAAAGTGAGTTGTCAGACCTGCCATTTGTCAACGGGCTAAAAAAATGTGACAAGTCGATCGTCGTACTTTGGGAGTTTGGAGGTTTCCGATGCAGATGTTCCATGCTTCGACCTAGACTTTATAAATGGATTCCTAGATTCCTTCCACTTAGTCGAAATCCAGACTCAGCAATAACATTCTGGCATGGTGAAATTGAGTCCTGTTGAATCATCACTTTGCTTTTTTTGGGGGGGGGGGGTATTTTTTATTTTTAGTTGAAATTTATTATATAGGTAGTCCTCAACTTACAACAAATCATTTAGTGACCGTTCGAAGTTACGACAGCACAGAAAACGGGGGACCGTTTTTCACACTTATGACGGCATTCCCATCGTCACCATGATCAAAATTCGGAGGCTTGGCAACTGGCTCATATTTATGACTGTTGCAGTGTCCCGGAGTCACGTAATCTCCTTTTGCGACCTTCTGTCAAGCAAATCAATGGGGAAGGCAGATTCACTTAACAATTGTGTGACTAACTTTAACAACTGCAATGAGTCAATTAACCACTGTGGCAAGAAAGCTCGTAAAACGGGGCCAAGCTTCACAAAATATCTCGCTTAGCAACAGAAATTTGGGGCTTAATTATGGTCGTAAGTCGAGGATTACCTGTAATATAAAATACAAAGAGAAACAAAAGATAAAAAGGGAAAAGGGGAGGAAGACAAAGCGAAGTGGAGTGCGAAGTAAAAAAGAAAGGAAAAAAATGACTTCCAGTTACTTTCAGTGCAGACAAATACAAAATACAGTTATAACCTCAACTTTTTACTTTACATGTTTAATAAGCGCTAGCCATTTCTGTAACAAACCTAATCTAATCATCAAAACCCAACCAGTCAATTTTATTACACTCACACACCAGCATTACCAATAAAAGAACTTAAACAATAATAATAGTAAAAAAATAATAATAGAAGACAAACAGAATATTATATCTCAATTAGTGCTGGATTATCACTGGGCAGTTAAAGTTTGCTTAATTTTGCACACAGCTTAACAGAATTTGGCCAAATTTTTCGGTGCAGTCAAACAAAAAATACAGTTATAACCTCAACTTTTTATTTTACATATTTAGTAAGTAATAGCCATTTTTATAATAAACGTAATCCAATCATCAAAATAAAATATCAAAGTTTCCCTTTTTTTATTTTTTTGTCTCTTTGTTTGTAGCATAAAGTCCAGAAGCTGTTTCTAAGTAGAAGTAAAACTGGATGCATTCTTTTCTTTAATTAAAACAGTTAATTTTGCCATATCTGCCAGCTCCATCAGTTTTTCCGTCCGTTCTTCCATTGTGGGAATTAACGTATCTTTCCATTTTTGCACGTATAGAATTCTCGCCGCAGTCAACATATATAATGACCGAGTTCCAATTTTTTTTTTTTCAAGATCTTTCTCGGGTGTTTTGGGGGGGTTTTTTTGTGGCGTTTAGCCCTTTCGTTGTACAGCTGTGGATCGAGATAGCAGATGTTCCCCCGTTTTGACTGGCGTCTTTACGGCATGGACTATTTTGCGTTAAGATTTATTTTCCAGATAGTTTCATGTATTGGGTTTTTATTTTATTTTTTTTTTCCTCTCCAGCACACTGAACCTGATAGAGCTTTGTTTACCACATTCAGTAAGACTTTGTAATATAAAGGGAAGTGATTCATAGCATAACCCATTTTTCTCCCAGCCTCAAGTTCTCAAAAAATATTGGATTTCAACTCTTGCTACCCCAGGAGAGTAAAGCAGGAACATCTTGGTGTGTGTGTGTGTGTGTGTGTGTGTGTGTGTGTGTGTGTTTTTAAAGTCAAAATCCAACTTACAAATGCTTGTGCGTTTATTTGTAACAAAATGTGCTAGCTGGAAACTGTGCTACCAACTTCTTCTGATTTTATGCACTGAAGTTACACCGCCTTCCTCCCACAATGTCTGTCACTCAGTATGATGGGTTAATCAAAACGCTGTTATCAAGAAAGGTATGGAAAACATAAGCCAGCGAGAAAACAACCCCGGGGCATGTATTTAGGGAGATAAATATTTGCCAAACGCAGAGAAGTGAACTCCTTGCCATCTTGAGAAACTTGAAAATCAACTTTCCTGCTTATTTGGCTGAGCCCCTCATGTCTGCTTCAGAATTCTTCCTTTCTCCTCTTAGGAAAAGCCCCAATCTTTTTATCCCGGCCTTAAAAGCTTTTCGTATCCGGAGAGTCTCCCTGCTTAGCCGCCCACGTCAGTCTGTCTCACGCACCCCATCGGTTTAGGGACACTTAACTGACGTTGGAAATGTCGAAGAGGAACACATAAGAGGGGCAATTCGCTTCTATTTTCCACCCGCCTCCTTCTACAACATCAAAGGGAGAGAACCAGGAGACCTGGGTAGTCCTTGATTTACGGATTAAAGCCTTACCTACAACTCCCCTGAACTGGATCAAGAAACCTTACGAATATCGTTTGAAAGGGGCCGTTTAACAAGTCAGTTCTAGTTAGAGCAGAGGTGGGTTTCAGCAGGTTCTGACCAGTTCTAGAGAACCGGTAGCAGGCATTTTGAGTAGTTCGGAGAACCAGTAAATACCACCTCTGATTGGCCCCATCCCCATCTATTCTCTGCCTCCCGAGTCCTACCGGATCGGGAGGAAATGGAGATTTTGCAGTATCCTTCCCCTGCCACGCCCACAGAACCGGTAGTAAAACAATTTGAAACCCACCACTGAGTTAGAGGTAGCACAACTTAACAACCACTGTTAAGGATATTCTTGGCTCATAACTGATGTTATGGGTTATTGAGTAGAGTACCCCTTGAGTATGCACATGAAAGCAACGTTTAAGGCCTTTGGACTTCAATTCCCAGAATTCCCCAGAATTTACTTTCGCTAGGCCTGTTAAGGGCTGTTTTTCGAGTTGCTGATGGGATGGTGTGTTTTATACCCATTTTGGCTCCAGCAAAATTAAGCGCCGTCCAAGGAACAGTTGCCCTTCTCTCAGACCCTGTGGCAAGTCTCCAAGATAAACCCAAATTCTTTTTTTTCCCATTTGATTCTAATTCTGATTTACATTTCCCCAAAGTGAACCAGCCATTCATAGATCTCTTTTCTGTTTGCAGGGAAACTCATGTGGGTTACATCAATGGCTTTTAGCAAACTGTTAATGAGATGCAAATCATTCACTTGGGTGCTTTTTTTAAAAAAAACAGTATTTTTGTTTTCTCACAATGAGCAAATTGCCATCGGTATTAGAGAGTAAATCCAGTTCTGTAATTTACAGTTGTTTATGAATTGATATATTCCTTAGTCTCTGAAGTGCCCTAAGCTTGTTTTCATATTTAAAGTGTTTTAAATCTCTCCGGTAGTACCTATGACGGCTGGGCTTGCTGCAGCTTATAAAAACTTCAAACATTTTGCCACGGGATGAATGAAACCTAAAGCAGGATTGAGAATAGCAAACAGGGTTTGGCAGGATAGAATTACTTTCCAATTAATCAAGGTTTTCAAGAAGCCCGCTAATTTCTACCCCCTTGTTAATATGAAAAAAAAAAGGAGAGAAGGTAAAATGGTAAATGGAACGAAATGCTCAGCGCAGAATGTGCTTTCTAGACACCCTAACTGACGTTTTCCGCTGTTCCTTTTCATCTTAGGGCAAAGGAGTACGAGAACGGAGTGGAGTCCAAAAATGTCTCCTGTGAGTCTCCGTACAAAGCAAAGTAAGTCCTTCATCCAGATGGAAGCTTTTGTCCATCAAATTTGCACCCAGAACATCAGAACAAAAATGTTGTCTTGTGGATAGGATACCTGTCCCATTCTGGTACCTTTACCCCCATTGATGGCGAGCCCCAGCCGGGCTCGACACTTTAGCTTTTGAGGTCTGCAGCTCCTAAAATGGTAGGAATTAACCGTTACGGTGAATCAGTGACAGGATTATGAGAGGCTCCATCAATAGAACATAGATTCCTAGGGATGGAAGGGGCCCTTGGAGGTCTTCTAGTCCAACCCCCTACTCAAGGCAGGAGACCTTATACAATCCCAATCAAATGACTGTCTTGGAAACCTCCAGGGATGGAGCACCCATAACTTCAGGAGGCAAGAAGTTCCATTGATTAATTTCTCCTTTATTCAAGGCTTTGATAAGTTTCCATCTGTTATTTCTTGCCCTCCTGCCCTCTGGTGCTTTGGAGAATAGGTTGTCCTCCTCCTCTTTGTGGCAGCCCTGCCCAAATTTTGAAAGACTGCTATCATGTCCCCCCCCCCCCAGTCCTTTCCTTGGGTAGACTAGACCCGTGATGGTGAACCAATGGCACACGTGCCAGAGGTGGCATGCAGCACTCTCTCTGTGAGCACACGAGCTGTCACCTCAGTTCAGCTCCGCCAAGCGTGTGTGCGCACCTCCCGCTGGGTAGCTGGTCTTCGGGTCTCTGCCGCACATGCACAGGGGACGTACTGGGGGCTGTGCACGCATGCACGGGGGCGGGGCACATCCGGGTGGCTGCGTGCGCATGCATGGGGGTGGCACGGACGCATGTGGAAGCCACATCGACAGGCGGGGCGCATTCACGGGGCCACACATGCATTGCATTTTGGGGGTTCGGGCATACGCGTGTGCATCCACACGCATTTCTGGCACTCGGTCCAGAAAAGGTTAGCCATCACTGGACTAGACATACTTAGTTCCCTTAACTGTTCATCGTACGATTTAGGGAGAACAGATAAATAAACAGATGACTGGAAGGGAAAGAAATGGAGCTGAGCTAATATAATTATGTATCGGTAGTCCTCAATTTACATTAAGGTTGTAAGTCACAATCGTCTTTAAGTGAGTCATCGCAGGATCGAACCAGTTTCATGACATTTTTTGCAGCAGTTGTTCAGCGAATCAGACACGTTGGTCGTAAAGTGAGCCCTTTGTTCGCTATGGTCCAGTTTTGCCCATAAAAAATTTCCCCCATTGGTTTCCCTATTTGTCTTCTCCTTGTTATCCCTCCATCCCGCATCCATCAAACCTGCTTAATCTTCTTTGGCCCTAAATCTGAAGGTTTTGCTTTCTTGCTTGTTTTTGATCCAATAAGCATCCTCTTCCTTGCCTTTCTTTAAACTTTGGTGTAGAATTCCTCCTTCAATATTTAAAGCTCCCTCTTATTCCTCAGCGGGCCTATTTTGGCCGCTGTCCTGGGTATACCCCTAATCTGAGTTTCTTGTTAAAAGGGAAGCTGGTTTCCTATTTTAGTTTTGGGGACGGAAAAGGTTTAGGATTTGCTGCAGGCCAAAGAGACAGAAAAAACTTGCAGCCCATTCCTTTGGGGAGAGACGTAATAAGAGAACCGTTGCCAGTAGGATAATAAGCTAAATTGTCTTTATGGAACAAAACAAGAAAGAAAATAAACTTTGCATCTAGCTTTACCATTTCCAGTGTACACAGTGATTGTAGTGCTGATTAAAGGCAATGTTGCAACCAATTGTAAATGTAAATACTCTTACACAGCTTGTTGTTGCCACTATAAATATTGACAAATCTAAAGATGGTAGGCGTAGCAAAAAAAAAAGAGAGAGGCTCGCATACCCAGAAGTCATGAGTTGGTATAAAATTGCCTCTTTTAGATGTCAGCATTACATAAATTACATTTATGCTGGGTGGTTTTGCCCATCTGACTAGAAGATTTGCTTAAGAAGAATGGAGCCAAGTCTTAAGCTGTCCTTCTCTTGGTGCCCGCTTACCCCCAGAATAGGAATATAATCTTCTCTCTGGCAGTTGCCCACATCCAACTGAACTATAGTTCCTGAAGGGTCCATAATCATGGAAGACAGGTGAATAAAGTCGTCTTCCACCCAATTCTCTTTTCTTCCCTTGGCTTGACTTCTTAGAGATAGACCTGAAGTCTCTTTCAGATCTCATGATGGACGTGTCACTGATGGCCTCTTCCAGATCTGAAGGTGGAAACATCTTTGTATATACCTGTTGGAGCTTATGACTTCTTCAGGAGTGTAGGTCCACTCTTTGTTTCTTTTACAATTTGGCATCTACCTGCATTTCCAAATTATGGAAAGAGGTGGAAAACTTTGTAGAACATCCTGGAAGTCTCATTTTGGTTTCAACCTTTTAAAAAAAAAGATATTTAAAACTTTAAAAAAAATCTCCATTGCCATCAATCAGATAGCAAGGTCGGATATTAGTTAAATAAATACAAGCAAAATAAACTTCTCACACATCCTGAAACTTGACAGAGGTTCTGAGTTCCCATCAATTGTCACCAAAGAAGAGCCTGGAAGCAGGAAATAAGATTCCCTTCACTGAGCCAACAAACAGCTCAGTCCAAAAATTCACCTCAATCTGGGCCAAGAATTTAAGCAATATGGTCAGAAATGAAGTAATCAAAAGGAAAGGTAATTTTATATTCTGCACCGAGCCAAGAAAAGGAGGAAGAAGACGGTTTTACGATGAGTCTTAAAAAGAAATGAATGGGAGGAAAATGTAAAAACATAGAATTCCATTTGACTTGATTAGAGCTGGAAATACGTTTCTGAAGCCAGAATGTACAATTGTCTCTTGAAAACTAAACGATCTGCCTTACGAAATGCTTTCTAGTGACAGGAAGGTATGTTTTCTTTTAAAACAAAAAAAACCCCCAAAACCCTCAGTTTTTGAATAAAACTATTTTAGAAAGTAAACATTGCTTCCAAGCCTGTTTATAGTTGTTAACGATATAAGTTGTGGTCCTAAATGCATTAGAACCATTTTCACCCACCCCCGTTCTGTAGATCTCTTGGGACTGCAATACTTTGAGTTTCCTAGTTAAGGTGGAGGAAACAAACAAACTGGTTTGCAGCTTGTTTACCTGATGTTCTCTTTGTTTTGGTACAGTTTCCTTAAGAGCAGTTACTATTTCTTTTACATTATTTCCATTATTTCACGGTGTGCTCTCTGCTTCCCATATTCTTCGAAATTGCCGCTTTGAAATACAATGACTGATACATCATTTTAAAAATGGTGTTTTTTTCTTTTGCAAAATAAGTACTAACCCACTCCATGATTTATTTTTTTTTAAACTACACCCAACCATCCTACAAGCCAGGAAAAGGAGTGGGGTGTTCTCTAGCTGCCTTTTACTAAAATAGAGTACCGTATTTTTCAGAGTATAAGACGCACCTTAGTTTTTGGGGAGGAAAATAAGAAAAAAGCTGATTGGCAGGTGGATTGGCTTCCCAGAACACCCCCAACTGGCTGTTCCCAGAGGTGAATTTTAGCAACAGGTTCCTTGGTTGTGAGCTCTGTGCCTTGCTTTTTTTTTCTGCCTCTGAAACTTCTGAAATTCCGTTTCAGAAAAAAACTTTTTCCTGCCTCTGAAAGCCTCCGAAACAGAGCTTCAGAAAAAAAAGCCTCTGAAGCATAGCTGGCTGGAGAATTCTGGGAGTCGAAGTCCACAAGTCTTAAAGCTGCCAAGTTTGAAGACCTCTGCCTTATGGCAAGGTTGACTCCCAACTACAGTTCTTTCTTTCCAGATTCTGTCTGATAATGGCCAGTCTAATGCCTGTCTGGCTTTTCCCTGCTTTGAGGGTTAACGTTAAAAGTGTTCAAGAATATAGTAGAATCTTCTACAGGCAAACCCAGGAATAGTCGAAGGCCTCTGCAGAGAGTCAGTTGTGCCCATCCTCTCCCGGGCCCATTTACCTAGGAGAAGCCCCATGGAAACCCTTCACCGTCAACGTACCCCTGACGTGGTACTGGTTGCCTCTTTTAATCATCGTACAGTGAAGATGGTCTCATTGAAATATTACTGGAATGTAACTTTCCCAGTTCTGAACGCTATTTCCTCCTCCCTCCCTCCCTCCTTTCTTTCCCCCCTTTTTTTCTTTCGATAACATGAAAGGCTACAACGACTGGTGAAAGATTTGCTGAAGCAGCTTCAGATTCAAGATGGTAGCAAAATCTCTGCTCTGGATAGGATTTTGGGAGAGGTTTCACGGATCCTGGAAAAAGAGGTAAGGCCCCTTTTCTTCTTGCTCAACGCCAAATTAGCTCGTGCCCATTTTGATGCAAGTGTAAATCCTTACGTACAGTCTTGGCTGGAGATTCATAAATCTCTTGAGTTTCTCAGATGCTCGTGGTGGCTTGGCTCACAGATCACGTAGGCCACGAGCCATAGTTTGCAAGCCGCAGTGGCTGGGTTTCCACTTTGCCGTAAGCCGCAAACAAGCCAACGTTCAGGAGAAAAAGCACAGTCAAATTCTGAATATTTGTTATTATGCTTAAGGTATTTGAAATGCTGAGATTAAATGAATGGAAAAGATTAGAAAGCTAAAGTAGGTTGATGTGCCATTCTGTATTTCTTCCCCAGTGTTGCTTTAAAATAGACTCTTGGCTATAAATATAGCCAATTGGCTATATATAATATATAATATAGCCAATTATATAAAAATATTATCCAGTTAATGTTAATTAGATGAATGTGATAAAATTAATTTCTCCATTAAATGCATTATTCTAAAGCATCAACAGAAACATTTTATTTCTTTCACAACTGTAACGCTTCTATAGCTGTTTCTGATGTTAGGAAGGTTTTCACCATTAGATCAACACCCCAAACTCTTTAATGCCAAATAGGGAGATGAGTACCATTATTCCATTTCCCCTCCCCCCCAATAATTAAATTAATTGCCTTTCCAAAATCAACACATCAAGCTCTGAACAGTGTTTGCCAAGTCTGACACTCAAATGTCAGAATTTTACATATTCAGTATGTTCTCTATCAGCGTTTCCATTTTATTATTTTCTGATTTTTGTTTTACATCTGAGAGAGAGCTCTTTATCTTTTTTCCACAGTCAGTTTTTTTTTATGAAATTGCATTAAAGCAAATTACTAGCATGCTAAAACTGATGAACCAATAAAAGGTTGGTTCTATCGCTTGACATAAAACGTGCAGTACAATTACGTTTAAAAGGAGATCTGATTTTTAAGACGGCCAGCTCTTTTATCTAAAAATGTCCTTCTGCAATGATCTTGCCAAGCAGGGTCATTGCTAGTTTGAAATCATCACTGGAATGAGAATTTTCCATAATTAAAATCGCGGTCCAGGAGGTGCAAGCAGCCCTTCATAACTTTCAGATTGATGGATTGAGGGGGAGGCTTTCCTGTATTAAGTTTGGAAAGAGAAGGAATAATCGTACTGGAGAACGTGTTCCCTTCAACAGTTTTCCATCCAGTTTTAATTTGTTGCCCCTGAAGCCTTTGCGATCTTTCACAACACCTTCGTGAGAATCCTTAACACTTTAAAAGCATGCCCTCCTCCATTAAAACCAACTTCACGTTGGTTGATTGAGTTGAACAGTTCCTCTGTCTATTGCAGGGGTCAGCAACCCACAGCTCTGGAGCCACATGTGGCTCTTTCATCCCTCTGCTTCAGCTCCCTGTCACCGGTCGGCGCCACAATTTTGAGAGGAGCTTCCGGTTGGGTGGGGGAGCACGCCATGCCAGAAGGAGACTCTATGGCAAGGGGTGGATTTTCTGGTCGGCTCCACAATTGATAGGGTTTTTGGTTAGGACAGGTAGAGGAAAAAGGACGCTGCGCTAGGAGGAGACTCTATGGCAGGGGAACTGGACTTCCTGTCGGCTCCAGAATTGAGTGGGGGGCTTCCGGTTAGGACCTTTGTGGCTCTTTGAATGTTTAAGGCTGCCGACCCCTGGTCTATTGATTGAAAACGAATTTAAAATTGGGTTTTGAGTAGCAGGAGAATAAGATCAACTTTGTGCAGCTTATCAGCAACTTATCCTGACATGTGTATGCCATTACTGCAAGTAAACAGAATTTAAATGAGATAGATTTGACCAGGAATTCCTCTGCCCTCCTTCTAATTATGCAGCCTCTTTTTTTAAAAAAAAAAATATCCAGCCAGGCCTGCTGCTCCGAACTGGCAGGATGTCACACACAACCCCTTCCTAAGTGAGTTCAAATCTGCCAAAGTTTATAAGCCGGTGGAAGTTAGAAAGGCAAAACGCTTCCTGACCCGTGCCGCCGAGTGTAATGTGGTACAATATCAGATTCTGGCAAAGCCAGCCTCCGTTTGGGTTCATTGCAATGCAAGTACCAGAAGCGGTGGAAGAAAAATAAATAAGGAACAATCTGGCTGAAAGATTTGGGTTAGGCGACATCCATCACAAGGTTCTTTTCTGGAAAAGGAAAGCGTGTGATGCGTCTCGTTTGGAGTTTATCACACAGCGTTATGAGTGTCCATCTTAGCCTTATTTGATAGCTCATCTGTGGCTTTCTACATGAAGTTAAATCCATCTCCTGGGGGGAGGAAGAGGAAGAAAAGAGGAGGAGGAAGGAGAAAAAGGAGAAAGGAGGAGGAGGAGGAAATGGAGGAAAGAAGAAGAGGAGGACGAGAAAATAGAAGAAGAAGAACAAGAAGAGGAAGAGGAAGGGCAGAGGAAGAGAAGAGAAAGAAAGGAAGAGGAGGAGGAGGAATGGAGGAAAGAAGAAGAGGAAGAAGAGAAAATAGAAGAAAAAGAACAAGAAGAGAAGAGGAAGGGCAGAGGAAGAGAAGGAAGAAGAGAAGGAAGGAGAAGAAGAAAGGAAGAGGAGGGGGAGGGGAGGAAAGAAGAAGGGGGAGGAAATAGAAGAAAAAGAACAGGAAGAGGAATGGAGAGGAGGAGGAAGAGAAAGAAAGGAAGAAGAGGAGGAAATAGAAAAAGGAACAAGAAGAGGAAGAGGAAGGGCAGAGGAAGAGAAGGAAGAAGAGGAGAAGGAAGGAGAAGAAAGGAGGAAGAGGAGGTGGAGGAAAGAAGAGGAGGTGGAGGAGGAAATAGAAAAAGAACAAAAAAAGGAGGAAGAGAAAGAATTCCCCATCTTGATATGAACAAGCCATCTTTCCCACATCTCATGCAAGAAACTGGTTTTAAAAATACTGTTTCCCTTCTTCTGAAGGTTCTCTTCATTTTTTTTTTATCATTAATGAAATTTCTTCTTTTCATTCTCTATAATCCTTGCGATATTTTTACGCCATCTGCCCAGAATAGCCAGTGGAATAAAACGGTTTAAAGTGGATTAAATTATATCGCCAGTTAAAAAGCTACCATTGGGTTCAACCCGGGAAGGGTTTGTGTGTTTTTATTTATTTTTTTTAAAAGCAAACAAAACCCAAATTTTATGCAGCTTGCAACACTTCTGTAACTCAAAGGTTTATTGGGATAGAGCTGACCCTGTAATAGGACCGTGGCTTTAGTATAAATAATTTAAATCTTATACAGAAGACAAACTGTTCTTTAGGCCTCGGGGTGGATTAGGATAAGCAAACATATGTACAATATTACAAATACCTGTTCTTAATTGGCCCCTGTAAGGCGAGGGTGTGTATATATTTTAACAGGAAAACATAGATTCTTGTGACTAGCATTGATATCCATCAGCTAATAGAAAAATAGATACGGATTTTCCCAGGGATTGCTATAAACATGAACTTTCAATGTTTTTTTTCAAACAACCCTGTGGTTTAATCAAACCTGTATTTTGCCCCTTATCGCCAGTAGGTATCTGTCTTTCAGTCTTACAGTTGGAAGTAGCATAGATTGTATTTCTGATTCTTTCTGTAATTACACCATTGCTAATTGTGTCGTAATACAGTAACCTAAACAAACGTTTATTGAATTTTCTTCGCAAATTCGCCGCAAGTTGTACTATTACAAGGGAGACATTGGGGAGCGAATGCGCAGAGCAAACAACCTCAGTGAATAATGCTATTGACTTTCTTTTGGGAAAAAAAATTACAGCCTTTTTTCAGTCTAAATAGGCTGAATAAATTAGCAACTAGGACGAGGAGAAAAAAAACCCCAATCGGGTGTTACACACAGTAAAAAATAAATAAATCGTAAGTTCGAAAGCAAAATTCTTATATCCGGTAACAAAAATAAATTCACCAAAATGTTCATCCTTGTGATAGATAGATAAATGAATAAATAATGTTGGGGAACAAAATGCCTTTCAGAAAATAATTCCATCAATTTGATATCCTGCCCGTTGCGTTGCGGCACCCGCTCCCATCATGCCCCTATTTATGATCTTCTGACCTGGAAGATGGAATGTGTAGTCCAACACGTGGCTCTCTAGACTCTGAATTCTTTTCTTTCCCCCCTCCCCAAGACTTGTTTTGACTCAACGTCAAAAAGGCTGGATGGGTCACTTCATTGAAGACTAAAATGAAGGTCTCTGCACCACAAACTCCATATAATTCTTGGGTTTTCTATGATGGGGGGGGTTGTGTTCTTCTAAGTCAGGGGTGTCAAACTCAATTTCATTGAGGGCCACATCAGGGTTGTGTTTGACCTTGGGGGGGGCGGGGTGAGTGAGGCCAGGGTGGGCATGGCCAGCTCAACATCACTCATGTTGGGGGCGCCTGTGGTGGCCCAAGTGTCAATGAAAACAGGCTCCTGAGCTCTGTTTTCAGCTGCGACAGCCTCCTGCAACCCTCTGCCGGTGAAAACGGAGCTCAGGAGGGCCGCGTGCGGTCCTCCCGAGCTCTGTTTTCGCTGGCAGAGGCACCGCTGGCCAGTCCGCTGTTCCCAGGGCCAGATCTAAGCACCCCTCTGGCCGGATCTAGCCCCTGGAGTTTACCCCTGTCCTACGTCAACGATTACTTGGCCATAGAGAGACATCCTTCAAAACCATGGGAGATATCTGGGCTACGTTGACCCAACTGTCTTCTTAAGGCTGGTTGTTATCTCACCAGTTTCATACCTCTTTCTCCTCCTCCTTCTCTTCCTCCTTCCCTCCTCCTCCTTCACCTTCTCTTCCTCCTTCCCTCCTCCTTCTTCACCTTCTCTTCCTCCTCCTCTTTTTCCTCTTTCTCCTCCTCTTCCTCTTTTCCTCCTTCTGTTCCTCCTCTTCTTCCTCCTCCTCTCCTCCTCCTCCTCCTCTTCCTCTTCCTCTTGGAGCATATGCACTAAGACAAATACCTTGTGTGTCCAATTACATTTTGCCAATAAAAA